CCTGTCCAAAGCTGGTGTGTCCTCGACTTGTAATGAAAGCCAAGAATGCTGAAGGCCTTTTCATTTAGGAATCTGCAAGATCATGACTGTGATATCTACGTTGAGATAAGGTGGACCTCTTGAGATTTTTCAGATGGGGTGGAAAAGCACAGATTTTTCACTGTTTTTACAGTGACTTTACAAAAAGAGAGAAGAAACACACCATTCTCAGGTGGTAAGCAGGAGTGTCAACAGGATACAGAATAAGCAGCATTTACCATGAGTGCATTTATTGTGCACTTGGAATTATTTGCAATACTCTCAGCATCACTCATTTTCTCAACACCACTGCTGTTTGTGAGTTATTTTGGGATATTCGTTTTTCTTTTTTATTACCTTCCTTACCAAATTAGGCTGGGCAAAAAGGGGCTGGTCAACAGCGTACATCCTATGCAATATGATTTTATGGTGCAATAAGCAAAATTTGTGTAGTAAATGTAACTGCCGTTAAAGAGCAGTAAAAGTACTGTCATTTTTTATTTGTCAGCTCAAACAAGTCCTCTGTCAGCCATGTCTGTGTTTGTGGCAAATGCAGTCTATAGCATAAATAGCTCAGAGGTAACCAGAGCCTTTTCTATAGGTAAATAAATAGACCACAGAATAAATTATTTGTGCTATTTACATAAAGGTTGCTTTTTGAGTGTGCATTTCTGTTAAGATTGTTTAACTAATTTACAGCACATGCCGTAATATATTTCTATTAATTTGGGCCTAATACAATCTTAGGGCGAAATTACACTTAAAACAATGAAAAGAAGCAACTCCTTGATAAACATTGACTGAAGTCACTTTCACTGCAACACTGAGTGAAGCAAGTTTGACTGCTTGTGTATGTGTAATGAAAGAAAGCCACTTCTTGCTGTTGTGGTTATCGTTTTCGCTGCTCACAGCTTGGGGAACACCAGACAGTTCACATATTTTCTCTACTCCAGCTTGAACCAACTGTTTTAACGTTCTTGAGGTTCAGAGCAATATTGTGGGCTCTCCGGGGGTCTCCATGAGCTTGATTGGGAAACAATTGCTATTTAGAATTTGGTGTTAGGTGTTACTCAGATTAAACTGAATTTAAATCTTCCTCCGTTTGCAGAAGCAGAGGTTGAAGCTACATGTGCAGGTGACTCTATTGCCTCGTGCCTCTCAATTTGAGAAGCCCAGAGAACTAATTCTCAAAACACCCTGGCTGGATCTTTTGTGTGTTTTTTGTCCTCTAAGTTTGATGAAAATATTAAGTTTAATAATGTCACTTAAGTTTAATAATCATAATAATAAGTGGTGTTTGTATATGTGTTAATAAATATTTGGTCTTCATCTCAGTTGTCTGTTTCTATGAGTGGCCATATTTTCCTATTTAGATAAGATTTTGTCAGGTGTCAGAGATCACAAGCTTCATACTAATAATAATGCAATCAAAATATACACCTTAAATGTATAATTCATAATTTTCTATTAATAAAATATTTCTTAAATGTAATACTAGAAGGTTCACGATAGTCGATAATGTCAGCCAGCAGTGCTTTACAAGTAAAAACTGCTTATATAAAGCACAGAGCGTGTTGATTTTGCTGTGCATGCTCCACGTGTTCTCATACATTTTCATATACTGCATTTTTTTCTATTTAATTTTTTCTGGGTTTTTTTTGGTGATATCACAACAACATGAGCTGTTTTTGGCAGCTTAGTTTCCATATATGGGCTGAACAGTTTGAATAGTGAATTGTGTATTTTAAAACTTACAAAATGCAACAATATTTGCACACTCCATCAAACTTTTATTTTGAAAAAACAAGAACCTTTCTGACCTGACATTTATTTGTAGTTTTGCAGTCTCATTAAATGTGCTTTTTAAATTATTTCTTCTCTGCTATCTACACTAACTGCTGCTAGCTTGTATACAACTGTATAATGACACTGTGATAAGACTCTAGAAAGCCAGTCTTTGTCATAGCCTACACATTTCTAAGCATTCCATAACTTAGTATATGTTGTTCTGCTGTTTGATCTCTGTGCAAAGCGAGATGGATCTCCAAAGATCTAATCAGATTTTTTTCTACACTATGCAGCAGTATAAAAGTTAGTTGATATCACTTTTGCAAATTTCTGTGCATAAAAAAAATCTGATCAATAATAGAGTAAAAATATAGCCGCAAGTGGCAATGAGCGGGTTCAAGCATGCAACAGCAGCATGGGCCCTCCTGCACGTTTAGCCCATTAGGCCTAAAAAGGCCTCAAGCTTTTGGTTTAGCCCATTAGGCCTAAAAAGGCCTTAAGCTTTTGGTTTAGCCCATTAGGCCTAAAAAGGCCTCAAGCTTTTGGTTTAGCCCATTAGACCTAAAAAGGCCTCAAGCTGTGGGTCTTATTCATAGGCAGAGTGAATAGAACTGATAGGAAGTCAGTTCATCAAAAGGCCTTCAGTTGCCATAAACAAGAAGCAGTGTTTTAAACACATTATAGGTTTGCATTCATATGTACTGATCTACACTGCTTTGTAGACCATCCAAGAAGTTGCACTTGCACAGTGGATTGGTTGGTTCTATATTTAAGCCATTGATTTTTTGTAGGCCATAATGAGGCCCAATGCACTCATAAGAGGCCCTATTGGTGTGAGGAGCTCAGTGAAAGTGGGTCAGAATTAGCGAAAAGGCCACAGTATGGTATTGTTCTTGATCAGGGACCATATCCAAAGACATTCACTAAGTTTTGGTCAGAATGACCTTTTGACCTTTGTATAATAAACCTTTGTATAGTGAAATCTTTGAATGAATAAGCTAAAATAAAAGACAAGCAGTGCAATTTTTGGCATAACATGTAATTCGAAAATTGTTCATGTGAGTGAACTGAGTCACACGGTAACAATCGTTTATATGTCGACCTTGTAATAACATTGTAATAGCATTTTAATTGATTTTTAAGTGTTTTGGAGTGCTAAGGCGCCCCCTAAAGGCCAATCTGGACCAAAATTGGCATACACCATTCAAGTAAATATGTAAATATCCCTAAAGTTTGGAGATGATCTGACCAATGACTGTTGAGTTATAGCAAATCAAGCTAGCAATGCCATGTTTGCAGTAATTAATTGGTTGATCCTCAATACACTGAGTGGAACTGTCAAAATGTTTTTGATAATTCTTGAGGATCAGTGTCTTCTGAATCTTATGGTACTAACTTGATGAAAATTGGCAAAAAATCCTGAGACTAGTTCGCAAGAATATGTTTTTCACATTATGCAAATTAGCTCAAAAACTAAGGGGCTGGGGCAAAAATTGAGTGTGGGTGCACTTGTTCAGCAAGTCCCAATCAGCAGAAAAAAGAATTTTGTCTCTATCTCACTCTGATCAAAAGTTACAGGCAAAAATATGAGTAAAGTTGAGAAAAATGAAAAGTTGAAACATAGGACTAAAGTAAAGTATGAGCTCAGTGAAAGTGGGTCAGAATTAGTGAAAAGGCCACAGTATGGTATGACTCTTGATCAGGGACCATATCCAAAGATGTTTACCAAGTTTTGGTCAGACTGACCTTTTGACCTTTGTATAATAAGCCATCGTATAATGTAGTCTTCGAATGAATAAGCCAAAATACAACACAAACAGTACAATTTGTGACAGAACATGTACTTGGAAAGTTGTTCATGTGAGTGACCTGAGTTGTATGGCACCATTTGTTTATCTGTCGACCTTGTAATAACATTGTTATAGCATTTTAATTGATTTTTAAGTGTTTTGGAGTGCTAAGGCGCCCCCTAAAGGCCAATCTGGACCAAAATTGGCATACACCATTACAGTCCAAATTTGTAAACGTCCTTAAAGTTTGGACATGATCTGACCAATGACTGTTGAGTTATAGCAAATCAAGCTAACAATGCCATGGTCGCAGTAATTAATTGATTGATCCACATGACCCTGAGTAGAAAAGTCAAAATGTTTTTGCTAATTATTTACCTAGAGATGCCAAACAATTTTTCAAAAAGATCAAAAAGATTGGATCAAAATCCAGGGACTAGTTCGAAAAGTAGGCTTTTTAAACAGTTACCGATTACAAAAAAACTATGCATTTTTGTAATAAATATGCATTTGCAAAATTGTTTGGAATAACATCCTACATATGATACACAAGGATGTTCAAGCAAACTTGTAATAAAATAGTAATAATATGTAATAATATGTTAATTTTTATGAATAGCACCCCCCAGTGGTCAAATTTTTTAAACTTGATTGGTTGTTAGAAAGTGGCTATATGTAGAGATCATTCAAGTTTCATGATGATTGGTCAATGTTAAGCCTGTCAAAAGCCTGCTAAATGCTGATTGGCCGATGGTGACCATGTACTTCAATTAATCAAATTGTCCTTATGGATTCACTTATAGTCTGGCCAACAGATGGTATTTGCAAAGTTTCAATTATTGACCTGCAGGCTCTTCTGAATTTTTTGACACCAAAAACATGAGGATCGGGCAAAAATTGCAGGACTAGTTCGCAAAAGTAGGTTTCGCATATTATGCAAATTAGCTCAAAATCTAAGTGGGCGGAGCTAAATGGTCCAAATGACAGAGTTGTTTATTTGGACCCAAGGAACTTGGAAAAAATTATGGCTTGTCTGGCAAAAATCTGGTTTAGGAGTTATAGACCCAAATGCGTTGACCTGCGCTATAGCTCCCCCTTGTGGCCGACTGGGCTGATTCCTTGCGCCTGAGTAGCGGGAGGGAGTACTACCTATTGACTGAGTTTGGTGTCTCTAGGACTTACGGTTTAGGCTGTGCGTTCTGTTTCAGGGAAGAAAAGGAATAGGAAGAAAAATCTTGACAATTACAATAGGGTTCAATGCATTGCATGCTTGAACCCTAATTAATCCAGCACTGTTATTCATATTGCGAAGTAGTGGCAGTAATTCTGGAGGGCATTTAGTTTTCACACAATTTCATATGAAAAATGCAGACTTTTAAAAAATAAAATAAAAAATACAAATAAAAAGGTTGCCAATTTTACTACATGACAGCACACACACACAAATGGTACTCTGGGAATTTATTAGATCTATGGCACTGCTGACGTTAACAAGAGATATATGTCAACCGGGATCTGATGAACAGGTTCAAACCAATAGTTGCAGTGGTTTCAGGCCTACAATACGACATGAAATAGATATGAAAGACAAGGCGTACAGATTACAAACAAAAAGAATGAAGTAACCAGTGTTTCATTTTAGTCCCTGTGATTTTTCTTAAATAAAACAGAGGTACAAGATAAATAACACTGAGCACCATATGAGTAAGTATGTTCCTCTTACATGAAAGACTGGATTGTACCAAATTTTCAACACAGGAAGAAAACATTGGCATTGCACATGATAAAACATGTATTTACTTAATAAACAATGTGTTTCCCATATTCCTGATTGCATGTGAGGCTATAGCAAATACATTAACTGTGAAATATGATTTGAAGAATCATAAGGATTTTATAATGGGTTACAATATAGATGAAAAAAATAATGCTTATCATCAGATGTGCTCCAACACATAATTCAGTCCTACTGTACAATGGAGACATTGACGATAAGCAAATCAAAATTAGACTGTGAGACATGGCAAATACACAGCCATTTTTATAGCTAAACAAATGCATACCTAAGGAAAAGGTATTGCATTCTAGGATGCACTTCAATTACTGGGCCCTTTCACATGATGTCTTTGAAACATTAGTACTAAGCTATGTCACATGTCAGAAACCTTCAGAGTATGTCTGCTAGAAAAGGTATTATGTTTATATATTTCTATGCACTATACATTGATTTTTGTCATTCATGATAATTGACACACCAACACCACAAGACATACGGACAGATGAAGTCCCAGAGGTCATAGAACAATTGAGGTTTTTTTTTTCCATGTTCAGTGTAACCTTTGTTTTATCTATGATACTCCAAGTCTTCACTCAACCCAGTTCAGCAGTCACACAAGCGCTTCTTACTCAACAGTGCAGTGCAAATGCATGCTGATTACAATACAGTCAGTGGAGTTGACTGTGTGAAGAAAAAAATACTTTCTTATAAAAGATGAAGTAAAAAAGCAGCACATTCTTATTCATTTTTGTACAAGGGAAACAAACTTTGGTTTGAAAAGAAAAATATTGCTATGCCTTGTAGCATTATGTACACTTGCATGTCAAAGACCTTTTCGCTAAAGTATAAGGTTATATACAGTTTTTTTTTTCTTCAGGCTCAGGCAGCATTTGTTTTGACATGTATAAGCAAACATGTATGCAATAAGCATGGGCTTCAGCACCATTAGTGATACCGTGCATAAGCTGCCTGCTGGATGCATACTTTTGCTTCAAATAACTCCTGGATTATAATCACTTGTTTGTATTGCACATGGCCACCACAGTTTATGTTATGCAAAGATCTTAATTTTTCTTGATCTAATGCCTGGTATTTTTGAAGATTCAAATTTTTTGCTGTACAAATGTCTCTAGTTTAATAATTATCCGAGCTGTACATTCCATTACCCTCATTGCCACTTCAGAAGTGTACCTATCGTTAGGAATCTGTGGAAAAGGCAACAGGTCAGGATAGCGGGTTCTCAGGCTGTCAACACCATAACCTTCCAAGATGTGGACATCTTTAGCCAGCCCAGTAAGCTGAGTGCTGTATTCTTCCACTTTCTGTGCCAGTGCTGTGGGCTTCACATCTTTGTCTGATTTCCCTCTGACTGCATAGTCTGCAGCAATTAATGCTAGTTTGGTGGCCAGATAGCACTTAAAACACACCCACTCGTTGGCATTTTTGTGAAGGTCATTTCGTGCAGCTGAAAAGTTGGCTCTTGCCTGCCTTAGCCACCTTCGAGCCTCCACAGGATTGCCAACAGACTTAAAAGATGGTGGCACAAAGAAGCGGTTTGAATGCGAGTTTCCTGCATAGCTGGTAAACTGTTCTCGAAACTGTTGCCTCTCAGATTTATGGCTTGTTGCTTCTTGGTTCCATGATGTGTAAAACCTTTGAAAAGAGAACTTCTCTGACTGGAAGCGAGAAGACGATGCAGAGAAAGTTCTCCTTGATGCTCTGTCTGTGGTCTGTTCTGCCTGTGCTTGCTTCTCCATCCTGCTGATTTCATTTTGTAAATGCTTGAAGACCTCTGTGGCAATATCAAGGTTTTCTGCATTTTTATCTGGATGCCATTTAAGATACAACCGTCTTATTATCTTCTTTCTTTCGGTTTCAGGAAGTTTCCAAGCCTGTTCCACAACTGATGTCACTTCTTTCAAAATTTCAGGTAATGCATTAAGCTTAATCTTTTTTGGAGACTTTGTTGGAGGGGTTATGTGATTTTCCTTGCCAGGAAAAATTGGTGGTACCATTCTGGGTCCTGAGGCATGACTCTCTGATGGGCTTGTAGGTGTTGTTGGCACACCGTCTCGAATATGGGTGCTCTCATCTTGTCTAGAGAATTTATACAGATCAAGGGAGCTTACGATTTTGTATTCACTATATCCTATGTCAATTTGGAAGTATTTACCAAGAAAGCTTGAGTTGTCCTCCTCCTCTCTCTCTACCTCTTGAACAATAATGGCATATGTATAGGTTGGCTGATAAGACCCTAAAAAGTCTCCTCCCTCAGAGTCAACCAGGTAGCCAACGTATTCTCCAGGATAGAACACGTTCATAGGGTCCATTAGAAGGATATGATGTATCTCTGCAGGTATGGGTGTCCCAGGAAGAGGAAGTTCAAGCTTTGAGGGCTCAGTTGAATCATACTTGACACCAAGATTGTCCAGCTTTTCTGTGATTCTGTATATGTCATTGCATCCCAGCATGGCAATAAGATAAGAAGTGTCAGAGATCAGATTGTCTGTTGCAGACTTGAGGGTCATTGCAAGAGCAAGCAGGAAATTGATATCCTTACTATCTGAATGTTGAATGTAGAGGTGGATGACTGATGTGCCATATCTTTTTAGAAAGGCCAGAGTTTCACTCCGGCTATGTGGAATAGGACTGCAGCCTTTCACCCGCAGTGTAGTCTGTAGCTTCTCAAAACAGGACACCTTCAAACCCTCACACAAAGCTTTGCACAGCCGTATTGCCTTTTCCTCATTGACCATGTACGCATTGTCATTCTCATGCTTCATTATCCGTATTAGTCCCGTGATGAACTGCTCAGAGGAAAGTAACAGCTGAAGTCGGCCCTGAAGTGAGCAAAGTGCTCCAAACTGACACATTTTCTGAGACTCTTCATCGAGTTGTTCCTCTAAGATACTACTCAAGAGTCTGGGCCTCATTTTCTGTGGAAGCAACATAATGAGCTTCGTGTGAAAGGCATGGTCTTTGCCTAGATAGCACTGACTCATATCAACAAGCATCTGGACTCCAACATTACCCTGGATTCTGCTCTTGTAATGCGGTGCATCATCAAAGACCAAACTATTTGACTTGGCTAGTCGACCATCATGACTCGGCAGGTAAAACATGATATCTCTGAGGCTTTCTAGGTCTTTGCGAACTTGTACTGGGTCATTCTGGAGACTTTTGAAGAGTCCAGATACTGCTCTTTTTACTGTCCTCATTTCATTTGGGTCAAGCTGTTTGCCTTCTGAACTTCTGTATATGCGACACAACACTTCAACATATTGTTTTGTTGATACAACATCCTCAGTTCCCAATACTTTGAACAGTTGGTGAAAGGTGCCAAGTTCAAGTGGCAGTTTGTACAGATATGGTTTGAAGTCTGATTCATTGTCCAGATTTATGACAACCTCCTCTGGTTTTAGAAGTTTCCAACCTTCCTCAACCATAACAAATGCCACTCCCCGTAACTGGTAACGGAATTCCCGTTTATCTGAATTAAGGAATTCATAGGTGCTCCTCAAAACTTTGTTTCTTGTTTTGACCGTGTCATCATCCAGATTTGTGATGCTACAGATGTTCTTGCAGTTGCTAATGACCTTCTCCAAAAGAGGGTCTAAATTGACATTTAACACTGTCAAAACTTGGTCAAGCTGCTCTTGTCCTGTAAGGGTGCTTCCTTCTTGCTCTTTTATGCTTCCTGGAGTGGCTTTCTCTGGTAGAATAGGACAAGAGGTCCAGAGTAATTGCATGATATCTGTTTGTTTAAATTTTGGATTAACTTGAGACCCATTGAAACGAATTAGAGAGAGTGTCCCATTTATTTCTTGATGCTGAGGATGAAGTCTGACAAGTTCCGCTGGTGCACGCTCTGGATAGAGGAATGGTATCATGGAGAGTTCTTTGAGGAATGCTCCCTCAAACAGATCTGTCCTCTCATTGAAAATGTGATTCAGGAGAACATCAACAACTGTCTGGACTTTTTCATTAGACCAGTTCTCTGTTTGAGATTTGATGCTGATCTCTTTCGCAAACTGCAGAACTTGCTGCTGAGACACAATGTACTTTAAACCTATCTTGCGGAGGAATGTAATCCATGAGGGTAAGAACAAGGTTCCATTTTTTGGTTTCATCATTTGCTCAATTTTCCTGAAGAAATCAGGGGGGATGAAAGACTTTGGTGGAAGCATCACTTCAAATACTTTCACAGTTTGGTCAAAGAAGGCCTTGGCTGGTTTTAGTCTGCTTGTTGAGTCATAAATAAATGACAGACTCTCCAGTTTTTCGTAGAGTTGATCCTTTATGTCACAAGGCTCCTCCATTGCCAATAACCTCTCCTTTAGATAGATGAGATGATGGATTTTGGCATCATGTGACAAAATGTCAAACTTTGGAAGGAGATGTTTCAGGTAGACTTCCAGATCATCTATTGGGGTGCACCCAAGGAAGGTGTAGAGTTCTCTCAGCTGTGGATTGTCAACTAGAAATGTTGAGGATGTAGTATGTGCCCATTTTTCCATGTCAACGGAGGGAATGCTTTTGGTCAGAATGTAACAAGCTCCAAAGTTTGCAATGCTAATATGTCGGCCATTAACAGCCTTGTAGCATGGGAGCAACTTCAGACCTTGTCTATCATCTTGGCACAGGTTGATCAAATTAGAGTTGAAGTATAACAAGAGTGCTTCAAAGTCTTTGTCTATCAAATTCCCTGCTTTGAAAGCTGATGTCTGAATCATGTACTCAAGGGCTCTCAGAATGCTTGAAGGACTGTCTATATTTGCTGTGTGCTGGGCTATTAGAGGCAAGATTGGATTCTCTTTGGCACATATTTTGTTTACAGCCACCTGAAAGCATCCTGCTTTCATCAGGGTGTGGAAGACTTTGTCATTCTGTCCATTGGGAAAAATGGCAGCATACATTAGACTCAGGGGTAACAAAACATCATATTCTGGCACAACTAACTTGTTGCTGGACACCATGAACTTGATCCCTGGTAGTAGAGCCCAGTCTTTAAGGATGTCCAGGACTGTCTCTAAAGTTGGCTTAAGTTCTGTCTGTTCTTCTTTGACAGCAATATTCTCACTGATAAAGTGCCATGCACTTTTCAGCCAAGATTCACTTGCGTAGTTTTCTCTCCACTTGACAGAGACCCTTGTTCTGTACTCTCGAGGTAGGACAGATCCCAATAAATCTCCAAAGCTGCTTATGTCAAAGACCTTTGCCACACCTGCTTTAAAAAGAATGTTGCTGTATCTCATGTACAGGGTGTGCATGAACAGCTCTTTCCTGGAGGAGATTAGTTCATGATGATTAGTCAGGAATTTTGGCCGTTTAGAGTCAAACACCTGCAAAATGTTGTCCATTGTCAAAAGCAGTGGCAGGCCCTCTATTCTGATGTCATCCTCCTCTATGTCTTTGAAGCAATAGTCCACTAGAAGTTTTAGACTGTGGAAGAGTTTGAAGTTAGACTGCTGAAGTCGACAGGGCAGTTTTCCAACTTGGCATGATGCGTCTGGAGATGAGAATGTTCCCAGGAATTTTCGGACATCTTCTGGTGTCACATAGCTGACGGGAATACCTGCATCTTCCAGGCAGAAGTACAGGCTAGCTGTTTCATCACAACTGTGGACCAAGTTAAAGCCAACATCCAGAAGCATGGACTTCAGCCTGTAGACATTTTCTGCCACAGACTTTCGTGTGGTAATGTTGTATTCTGTGTTTTTCAGGTGCTGCAACTCATCCTGCAGCAAGTTGTCAAAGAATGCTCTGCCTTTAGTTGAAGCAGATGTGTTCACCCAGGAAATGTATACTGCTGAGTGCATATCAGTGTTATCCATGTGTGGTGCTCTGACAACAGGGAGGAGTCTCTTCAGGTCTACATGAATGCACTGATAGATTGCCTTTACCAAGCAGTACCAGTCTGGCTGAATGTCAAGTCTGTTTACTGGGAAGAAAAACAAGAACTTTCTCAAAATGTCTTTGACAACATGGATTGGTGTTCCCTGAAGAACTGTCATGGTGGGATCAGGCCCAGGAAAGAGCCTACGTTTTAGCTGGATCAGCAGCTCCACATAAGCAGGAGCTATTAGTGCTGTCATTAGATTATTGTTCCAGTCACTCCTCACTCCAACTCCATTGTCATCCCTCCACAAGTTTCTTCTGGCAGAATCCAATGCAAAATGCCCATTCACATGAAATGGCAGGCCAGTCTCTAGAGAAAGGGGGAGAAAGCAGAATGCTCTGTGGGCTTTTTTATAGTTGTGGCTAGTGCATGCTGCCACTCCTCCCCGAGGAAAGAGTGTTATGTCCTCGTTTTTGTGAGCTGAAATTACACTCTTGGACACCTTTTCCATGACAGAGAAGCCAGATCTGTTGCACACCAGCCAGGTTGTTGAGTTCCCATCTGAGTCTTCAATGTCCATTGTGTATGTAATTTGTTGTACTGGGATTTGGTCCAGCTGCCTTTTCTTTGTCACACTGTCCACTACAGAAGCATGAAACTGCTTGCGTTTAAGACGATCACCATCTGTGATTTTTGCGGTCACAGAATATAGTGTTTTCAGTTCTCCTGTCCCAATTTCTATTTCACATATTGAAATTTTTTCCATGTGGTTCAAAAACATAAGTAGTTCTGCACCATCAGTTCGTAATTTGTCCAGGAGATTCTGTACCATTCTGTCTGAAGCAGGTACTGAGCTGATCTCAGAAATTTTTGCCATTTCTACACTGCGAATGGGAAAGCGGAACATCGTGCAGCGCTCCAGCTTGAAATAATTTCCCAAATACAAGTTCAGGACATCAGAAAATTGCGACCTGAAGTCAGAATCCAAATCTCGAAACATTCGTCCTGGGCTAACAGAGGTTGCCCCAGGTGCATAACGTGCATGTGGATCAAAGATACAAAGAATGTCGTTATTTGAGATGAAAGATGGACAGTCAGTGATGTGATACACTGAATTGAATCCAATACCATACTGTCCAGTTTTACCAGGGTTTGCCTCTTTTGTCCCTCGACCAAGATTCTGGATCCCTCTAATATCATCCTCTGTAAATGGCTGATTGTTGTACACACAGAGTGATGGACCTTGCATGGGTACCCACTTGTCATCAAATATCCTGTCAGTTGGATGTGTTCTGGGATCACAGACAAAGTATATCTCTGTTGCTTTGGCATCATCTGCATTCTGAAGGAGCTCTTTCAGCATCTCCTTCTCAGATGGATAAGCATTGAGGATGCTCTTGATTCTGCTCGTGAGTTTCTCCTTTTGCCCAAACTCACTACCAAGAGTAGTGAAACAGATATTAGAAGCATACCTTTCCAAAGCTTTGTGGCGTTTCGGAACTGCACCTAATTTCACTGCTACCTCTCTTGGGATATCTCCATGACAATACTTCACAGTTGTATCTCTGACCTTAATCCAAGGGCAGTCATTGTAGCACAGTGACTTAGACTGTTGCAAAGTGAGATTGCTGTCAGGCAAGAGTATCTGTCCATAGTTACTTTGGCAGAACTCTTGAGTTTTGTCTCTAATCAAACTCCATATTCCTTCACTGATGATTCTGCGACATAGCTGAAAGTTGTCCTCAGTAAGAGATCTTCTCCCACATTCATTCTTGATCATTTCTAGTACAGCTGAGAAATTTTCAACTGTGAAGCTTGGCTGAACGCCCACATTCTCAAACAGCTCACGGCAGCTGTTTCTATACTTGTTAGGAAGCTGGTACAGATATGGAGCTGCATCAAAGTTCAAGTGAAATGCCACTTTAGATGGATTAACATATGTGTTTTCTACTAGAATTGAGCAGAACGTTTTCAGCTCATCCATAATTTCTTCCTTTGCAGTTTTGGACTGCATCATCTCTTCATGCAAATATTTGTAACAAGCATTTGTGATGTTTTCTTGATACAGTGTGACACCATCAAATGATTTTGAGAGTTCTCTGAGTTGGCTTATGACTAACCCAACAGCTGGCTTTTTTATCAGTCCAAGAAAGTCTTTCACAGCTAGAGAAATCGGACCACATCCTTTAAAAGATGGAGAGTTCTCATTCAGGATTGGCTTCATCAAGCACACAGTGTCCTGATGTTCTGTTGTGAAAAGTTCTGTTGCAGAGAACATTGTTGACTGGGGGAAATTATTTCCATGCCAAGGGAGTGAAAAGCCAGCAGGCTTTGTCAAGAAAGGAAGGAATTTGATGTTTTGTAATTTTTCAACATATTCATCTCCTCTTGGGTCTCTCATTTTCAGTTTCTCATCAATGAGACTAAGCAGAATACTGCTCCTGTGACATGCGGCTACATGGTCTGTTTCATTAAGCATCATAACAGACTCGGCCCGTTCAGTCAAATCTTCCCACGAGAGGTCATCTTTCACCATACCCAGCTGCACTAACTTCACTAGGCATACTGGATTCAGATAGTCTTTCAAACTTCCCGCAGGGAACCGCCCATCATCGCTGTTGTACAGTTTGGCAACTCTTCCTTCTGGATGTATGAGTCGAGATGGCAGAACAAGTCTGTTTGATGGCCCTGAGCACGGAATACATGGAGTCTCCCTCAAAATGGTTGCAAAGTCCTCCAATTTTTCATTGAGGACGTAGTACATCAGGGGGTCACAAAGGTCTTTGTCGATGTCTTGTATATGTGGGAAGAAGACATCTGAGAAGAACTGTCTCTCTGTGAGTGTGTTCTCCATCAGTTTCCCTTTACAGCCAGCATCATCAAAGCCTTCTTTGACCCAGTCTGGCAGCTCAACAGCACAGAGGTCTTGGGAGCCACACTTCTTAAGGTATTTCATAAATATTTTGAAGGCAGCAGGTCCAACATCAGGTCTGCAGAGCAAAGAGTCATCCAAGAACCTGACATACTTGATTGACACCCAGGTTTTGCCATCTGAGAAGACTTTTGCATGGTCATCATCTCCACCTTTGGCGATTTCCTGATATACTCCTTGGCAAATCAAATTAAAGTCATCATGTACAACACCAGGGTCGGGCCAGGCTGCGTAATAGTTGTATTCAAGGAGTTCCCCATTTTCTGACATAGTTCGCAGCATACTAAGTGCAGCCAGGTATGCCTGTACAATGACATGTCTCATGAAAATTGAGTTCCATTCTCCTTTTGTGTCTGTTTTCCAGATTTCTTTACGATTTGACGTAACAGCAAAACATCCATTTATGTGCACAGGCAGTCCAGTTTTTATTCTGAGAGGTAAGTAGCAGAACACTTCTCCAATTGGGCTTGCACTTGTTTTCACTGTCCATTTTCGATTGTCTTCCTCAGAGAGCAGAACTGCTACACCCCCACATGGCACCAGTCCTAGCCGTTTTCCACTTTCATTCAAGGAGAACTTCAGAGCTTCAGCCACATCCATACATGAACAAATGAGCCAGTTTGTGTTTTCCACACCTTTCTGAGGCATTTCATCAGTGAGTCTCTTGGTTTGAGAGCCTTTAGCTGCCATCTCAAAGTATGAGGATGGATCCTCTTCAGAACCTCTGAAAAGGGGTGACTGTAGATCAAGAATTCGCCTGAACACATTGTGGTACTCCTCCACTACAATTCTGATGATGCAGCCAGACCTAGGAATATCAGCTGGTACTCTGTTGGTGGCTGCAACCTTTTTCATGACTTTGGCTGCAGATTTCAGAATACTAAGGGGACCATATGATGCTTTGGAAGACCATACGCTCTTGTTTATTGTGACTACATCCTGTGCAGCAGCAGGATTTGACTCCTCAGATTTCAAATACTTCAGGACCATTGTGCCAACATGCTGTGTGAAAAGAATCAGCCGGTGGCCACAGATGCTAAATTCATCAACTAGTGAATAGATATCTGTGGTGTTGTAGTACATGCTGCTGATTTCACTCACTGCTGCTTCCTGCTCTGTTCTGAACGGAAGCCTGAAGAGTGTTCCATCATACTTGTAAGGGGACTCTTGTGCCAGAGGAAGCTGACAGTTGAAGACATTAATGAATGGTCTGAATTGGTTAGGAAACTTCCTCAGTCGTTTCTGCTGTTTGCTCCAGTTGATCTTAATACCTGGGTTTGATTTGTCCCTGATGTGTTTGCTGATGTGATTGATGTTAGGATCAAACATGATCATGAACTCTCTGCTCATGATGATGGGTATGTCAGTCACATGATAAACAGAGTTGAACCCTAACCCAAATTTGCCCACCTTGTCTGCTTCGCATCTTTTCATGGATCCACCTAGTCGAGTTATGTTGAGGAAGTCTGTGTCAGAGAAAACAGAATTGTTGAATGACCACAAAGAAGGACCATGGCAGACAATCATTCCAGGGTCCAGTAGGTTTTCTCGTATATCGAGATTCTTTCTCATGTCAATCAGAAAACTGCATTCAGTAGCATTTGCATCGTCAGCATTCTGCAGGAGCTCTTTGAAGATGTCTGCAACAGATGGATATTCCTCTAGGATATTCTTTATCCTCACAGTTAAAGGTTCTCTCTGCCCAGACTGTTCGAAGCCAAGGTTCTCTGGGTTTATCAGCCTTGTACTCAAACAAGGAACTCTTAACCACTCTGCAGTTTTCATGGGAATGTCATCATGTACAAGGATGATGGGCTCTGAGGTATCATCAAGCAAGTCATTCAAATCATCAACTTTGATGTCGCAGTAGGTGCATTCATGAATTGGCTTCATGATCAATTTGCTTGGATCTTTGTAGCAAAAAATTGGTACATGCATGTCAACTTCCACTGCTATTTGGTTGCTGTATAGCCAACGTAAGATGTTAATTAGGAGTAGGAGATTATGTTTGCTTTCTTCTTTTGACATCTCCTGTTCACTCCTTTCTTGAATTGTTTTAACCACATCAAACACATGACTGGGAACAACTTCATCAATAGAACCACAGAATTTGAAGAGTTTGTGGAACTTTGCGATGGTCTTTGGTAATGAGTACAAGTAGGGTTGTAGATCCAGATCTGGTACAGGCTTCAGGACAGTGTGGCCAGGAGATGCAAATGTTTTCCCAGTCCAAACCCAGTCAAAGGACAAAGACTTCACTGCTTCTCTTGCATTTTCTAAGTGAACTTGCATGAAGTCATAGATTTCAAAAAGTATCTGCTGAAACTGATACCAATCCTCTGTGGTGAATGCTTGGGATCTGTGCCAGTCATTTACTGCTTTTAAATGCTGAAGCACTTGGTCAACTTGGGGGTCCATGGATAACTTTAGGGCTTTTTTCATGCCAGCAGATGTTCTTTCCACCAGTGCTACAGAAGAACCAACAAGCACTGCATGAGATATATCACACATTTCAGAGAGGGAAGAAATATTACAAGAGTCTCCCATCCAGGCAAGAGACTTGGGGTAATTCAAAGGTCTGTCTTTGCAGACAGGGACCCACTTTAAGTTCTGCAGGGACACCTGAGCTTCTGAAGACTTAATCAACTTTGTTTGCTTGTTTAGGATTGTAAGAAGGGTTCTCGCCTTCTTCAGAAGAGGCTCCCACTCTGGCGTAGGACTTTCCACTAACTCTTCAATTTTCTGGGCAACCTGAAGTACATCTTTTTCAGTAAGCTGCACCTCATTCTTAAGTCCTAGCTGCCTTAGAGAATGAAGAACATCAGAAGATGACATATATGCGTCCGGTGGAAATCTCGTCTTTTCTTCCATGTAGAAGAGATTTTGCAGTATTTCCAGCTCAGGATCAAAAAAGTCTGTTGCCGCAAGTGCTTTAGCTGAGGACGAATATATGAACTTTAGAGATGAAAGGCAAGTGATCACTGCTTTGTTTTCATTCTTGAGAAATGACAAATGAGTAAGGGCCCACAGCATAATCTTTTTCACTTCTTCTTTGGTGTAGAACCCTTTCTCAATGTCCTGGACAATCACCTTCACCAGTTCAGTGCTCTTAACTTGCTCCATATTTAACAGCCCAGTGAGACGGATAGTTGCCTCATCACTGCTGTCAACTACATTGATGGATAACTTAACATCTGCAGGATACTTGGCAGTATGGTGCAACGCTCTGCCTCCTTTTCAGAGAGGTAAAGGATGGGGTGCCTTTCTCTGAATATTGTCCCACTTTCACAAACATGGGGAGCTCTTGAATGATACGTTTTTCCTTCTCAGTGACATCTGTAAGACCAGCCAAGAAGCTTCTGAGGGCAATCTTTTGTTTGTTGGAAAGTGCTGATACTTGACTAACCAGCCTCTGGGATGAGGCCCTGTCCATAATCTGCAGTAGCGTGCTTGGAGACAGTGGATGGATGTAATTTTTCAATTGTGGGTGTTGCAAACATGGATCTAGTTTTTTCAAGACAACCCCTCCAACCTTTTTTATGACTTCAAGCAGGATCTCAGAGACAGGGCCCTCTTCTTCATTCACAATAATGATGGGAGATGGAGTCTTGAGGCGCAACAGATCCAAAGATTCTATACTGTCATTCAGTGGCACATTTGGAATCAAAGGCATGTCTTCAAAGGTACTAAGGTCATCAGCAAAATTAATGTAGAGATGTTTCCAAACCATTCGGATCCAGGATAATGAGGGATGCTTCTTGTCTTGATCATCAGGGCTCCACTGTACAGAAAAGTCTCTGGAAGGCCAGGCTGTTGTAAGGATTTCTTTGATGAGACGTGCTGATCTCTCTGGGGTTAGAACTTGAACTTGAGTGCAGGGCCTTCCTGAAAAAAAGGAAGAAAAATATGATTAGCTATTCCCCAAACACGATTTGTATTTAAAATACTAGAGAAAATAATGTTTTTTGGGCCTTTGTAATGGAAAACTGCACTGCTGATGTTATTTCGGTCCTTAGGATTTTGCAATAAAGCAGATGTAATAAATCACATTCTTCCACTTCCTTTTTATTGTCTTTTTATTATTTACACATTTAAGTGTTCTGGAGTCATTCTGATCAGGTAGTAGCTTTTAACCATCCATAAATCAGTGTGAGGAAACATCAAGCATACTGAGTACATTATGATTCCCGTAAACAAGCAGATTTTCATTTAATTGCAGTGCACACATTGTAAGGATGTTTTAAAGTAAAGGAAGCATGTGACAATGGTGTAACTATGGCAATGTTTCCTAATCTACTCCTTAGAGACTCACAAAGTCTATGTTTTTGTCTGCGCTCCCAAGTCTATCATGTATGTTTCATGATTGCTTGGTTCAGGTGTGCTGGGAGCTGGAATGTTGGACAGGCCGGACTGGGAAACACTGAGTGAGGCTAGACTCAGTTAGTTTTTCTGGATTTAATGACATACAGCATAATAATAGTATAATATAGTATATTCATAATGCAATGTTTTTCATGACTAAATGTAGAATAGTAGGAGGCTTTTCCTGGTTGTAGTTGTAAACAAGTAAATGAGAATCAGTTAACACAGCTGAAAAAGGGAAAAATGTACACAAATAACAATTCAGACAAATTAAACTTCTGTAAGATAAACACAATGCTTCCTTCACTTTAAAGTGAAAACAGGTAATAGAACACACATAATGTAAAATAATATACAGTACTGTGCAGAAGTCAAAGACCACCCTTAATTTAATTTCCAGTCAAAATGGCCAGTCAATATATTGAGTTATTATCATTATTATTAATTATTATTATTATTGTTATTATTATTTATGAAGTTAATTTTGCAGCTTTAAAACAACAGAAAATATATATTAACGGAAAATGAAAGAAGCCTCAACAACTAAATTTATCATTTTAATCATTTCAAAAATTTCAGTATTTAGCATCCACTCTTTGCCTTTATTGCAGCTTTCATTCTTTTCCGGATACTTGCCTTCACTTTTTCAAAAGAAGTCTGCAGGCACATTTTTCTACACCTCCAAAGTTCAGCTTTATAAGTTGGTTGCGTTTTCTGCTTCCCATCCATTACAATCCAAGTAATCACAAACACATTCAATACTGTTGAGCTCTGGCCTCTGGGGTGGACAAGCCAATTCTTTTTTTGAAAATACCAGAAGGTACTTTGGTTTGTTGAACTGTATTTTCCCAGTGCAGATATGCAAGTGGATTATCTTATATCTAACCTCCTCAGGAAATATCTCCTGAAAAAATAAATAAGTTGTACTTAATGGCCACTTTGACTGGAAATTAAATAAATGAAGGGTGGTCTGATTTTGCACAGTGGTGTATAATAAGTACACACTTCAAAAAATTACAATCACAGCACAAAAAGTCAAAGCAGAGAATATAAAGATTGTGGATATTTGTAACATCCACAGCAAGAGAAAGAGCACAAATCCCAAATTGAACTTTGCTGACATGCTTTACATGCTGTAAACACACAAAATTGTCTCAAACAAGTTGACACTGAACTGTGTCAATGTGTTAGTTCCTTTCCTTAGTCTTCAATTTCACTTTGAGATCACTTCATCTGAGATGTGTTTGCTGGTCTGTGTGAGAGTTTTACAGTGAGCAGAGCAGCAGCTTTCAGTGCAGGTGTATTATTGTTTGCCATATGTCATAGCTACTGGCTGGATGGACTTCTATTCATGATTCTGATCATCATTACACTGCAAATTTGGTTAGTGCTTTGGCAGTACAATCCATCAAAAGCACAAGTATAGCACATGTTATATTAGGTTATATTAGGTTGTGATATTTAGCGCTGCAAATTATTGAAACTGTGATCCGTTGAAGAGGAAAATGCCTTCTCCACCTCTACAGGCATGACACAACACACAGAGTACTTACCTGAACAACCCCAAAGATATTGCTGAACTGGGATTCAAATTCAAAACCAGGATCAGGGTAAAAAACAATTAGTTACACAAATAAATACAACAAATGTTCTGTACATGACAAAACATGATTACAGCAAACAAAAAAGCTTTCACAATGAATTGCTTAAGTTTAATTACATTTTGTACACTCTAATAATCATAGGTGGGTAGTAACTAGTTAGATTTATTCGATTACATGTACTTTTATTTCTTCTCAAGTACATTTGTGAGGAAAAGAATATACGTTTTATTTTTTTTTAATATCACTTTTAGTTAATGACATTTAGGCTGTTTTCACAACCAGTTCGTTTTCTGAAGTTCGAACCAGAGTTTGGGCTTTTGTGAAATTGGATCTTTTTCATTTGGTTCGGTTTGGTTGCAACAGCTGAAGTGCAACAAAAATACCACAAGTCGAGGGTTCGCCGATTGGCTGGGACACAAGCACTCTTGTACGTTCACATTAGGGCCAAAAATGACAATTTTTTATTTTCACTAGCCTAAAATCTAGCCCAGATCTGTTCCTCATATATTATTAATATGAATATATTTTCCTACTCTTACTTTGTAATTAAGTACGCTAAACATGTGAATTACAATCAAAGCCATAAAATAAATCTTACTTGATTTCTGCATCTTTATGATGCAGAAATCAAGTAAGGCTTGAAACTTGACTTGACTTGACTTGACATGATTGAATAGTTTGTGAATAGTTTGTCGATTTGAATTAAACCATTCAGAGTGCTGATGTTTTGTCAAAAATATGTTCCGTGATCCATGTGCCAAGATAAAACGCACTGCTTTGCTTTTATTTTGTTGGTCGTCTGCCATTATTTGCAGCAGAGAGTGCATTTAAACAGAACAACAGTGTCAAGAGTGAAACGTTTAAACAGGCAGATTTTGTGGACAGTACAGTGCTAACATGCTGCTAGAGGAAGCAGAAAAGCATGATTTGATGCTGAATTTTCTTACGAATCTTCACAAATCGCATTCACACCAGCAGCGAACTGGAAGCAGACCAAGGATTCGCTTGGACAAAGGTATCTTTGGCAGACCATGCTTCATTGGCTTAGTGCACACCTGAGTACAGGTGGACTGTCCACACTGGTCAAAACGAACAGAACTAAAAAGGTTTAAAGTGGTCCGATTTGTCCACACCACACAATATACAAAGATGTGCAATTACAGTGGTTCTCAAAGCTGGTCCTGATTCAACTAATAAACTTAAAGATCTTTCTGAGGTGAACTGGGTATGTTGGTATAGGGGAGACACTACAACATACTTGAGGAACTAATTACTTTAGGAGTTTTAGGACTTTGTACTTACTTGTACTTTAATTGTTTTATTATTATTTTTGAAAACTTTTTTTATTTTTGGAACCTTTAGTCGTTTTTTTCAGAGACACAGCAATATTTTTACTTGAATATGGGTTTAGATTATTCCACCCACCTCTGCTCATAATACTGTGACTGTTTAGTCCTGCAGTGTAATTTAGGGACAATATAAATGTTGGTCCCTCACTTCATACCCATGTCAGCAGCAACAGAAATTATGACACATTTCACTGACTTAAAACAGTCCATTTGTGAACAGCACAGAGAGACCACAGAGATATGAAGGACTATATTTTCTAAGCTCAGTGGGAGAGATTGTGTATTCAGCATATTTCACTGACATGCCACGCTCTCTTTTGACATAGTCATGTTTAGGCCTGCAACAGAGTCAAATATCCCCTGCGAGCACATTACATTAAAAATGTGCCTATAGGCCTTAGCTTCCACATTGCTGTGAGAGGGTAAATGTGAGTTAGTTCACCGGCATAATAGAACAATGCATGTGATCTTAAGTTTTATTTATTTACCTCTGCTTTTGGCTGCTTCTTTCAGGCTGTTCATGATTTGTGGAGGAATGCTTTCTAGTATGAATCTTCCTTCCAAACCTGGATAAAGGGACCTAATGGGGAAATATACATTTTTATTTTATTTTTTTTTAAGTAAGACATACTATTCTAATGCAATTGTAATTGTATAAACATGCATTAAGGAACCAAAATTTCAGCCACGGAAACATTTTGGCCAAATACTGTCAAAAATGTTACTTTCAGTTTTCAACTAAAAGAGAAAAAAAGGCCAAAAATTGTGGCCAAAAAAAACAAAAACAAATGATTAAATAGGTCTACAACACTGTCAAAATCTAACATTTAAATGGTAATGGAAATGAGAAAATGCTGTTTGTTTCCTTCGCTCTCCTGCACCAGTCAGGACAGATGCATTCAAACAGATAGATAATCTGTAGCCTCAGTTTTTGAAATGATGACACAGCGACAGAGCCAAAGTGCAGAACATAACTAAAAATAATGGAATTCCATGTCTTGGATGACCAATGGTTCTCTGTTGTGGTTTGATTTCATGTCATATATTGTAGCCTACATACTGCATTAGTAGCAAGTTTATTTTATGTTAACTCCTTAAATGGCTAGAGCCCACTGGCAGGCCCAAAGTTTTATTACACACTTCTATAATCTAAGAACAGCTCAGCAAGTTTGCACTGTAGACCTTGTAGTTACTGAATAATTAGCCTTAGATTTTAAAAGGTTAACTGTTTTTATCTATTGTCAGCTCAGTTTTGTCCTATTGGAAGCAGATTTTACCAATATCAAAAGTGTATTTTCTTTATTACCTAGTGGCATTTATGTTTAGCATGTTTATTCTAAAGCATAAATAATGGAAAAGCATCATTATTATTAAAATACAAATGTAAGTACAAATGTTTCAATTTCTAAATCTGAATGCATGCTGCACACAGTACTAGACTATGCTACAAATGTAACAGTCATTGAAAACACTATTTAAGACCATACCTCGGATACTCTTCGGAGGCAATATACACAGCATCCTTGTCACTCACAGAGGAGGAAAACGCAACATAAGTCTCATTTTGCAAAGGCAGCAGCTCCAGTCCAATGAGGTCACTGTAACAGGCATCGCTGAGGATAAACTCGAGCAGAAGCAGTTTCTCCTGGGAGGGCCCTTTGTGCCTAGTTTTCCTCAGCGTCTGTCGTACAAAAGCAGGGGTCACTTTCTTTAGGCTATCAGGTTTGGTGACAAATGTGGACAGGACCGCTGCAATGGTGGCTGGCACTTGGGCCACCGTCATCCCTGAGCTCTGGAGGTATTTGATTACTGTCTCTGTACTGTCCTTTGTGGAGTCCAGCTCTGAAAACACTGTGTCTTCCACTTGGACCCAAGTGCTGCTGAGTGAGTAGATGACTGGCTGCTGGAGCAAGTCATGGAACAGGGGTTCAAGAATAGGTCTCCAGTGTGGACGTATCTTGTTGGGATCAGGCCAGGCACCATAAATGCCTCTGGGTGAAAGGGGGAAATCTTGGTCCTTCTTGGTCTGAATACGCTTAATCGTCTCTATGATGAGTGTGTAGTAAGCCCTTGGGATGACCGTTACGACAAGCAGTTCATTCCAAAGAGCTGCTGGGTCCCTCCACTGGTCCACCTCCCGCCATTTGATGCTCCTGCGGTTGTCAGTCAGGCCAAAGAAGCCGCTGACATGCACTGGTAACCCTGTCATACTTTCCTCTCCCAGCGGAAGCGGAAGGAAACAGAATGCTCGGCCTGAAAAGCTGGAAGTTGCGCCCTTGTCTTCATCAATAAGAGTCAGTGGCAAAGCTATGCCAATGGTTGGGATGAACTTCAAGTCATCTGCAAGGGAGTCTAGTTCACCGCACATGCCTCGCCCACCAACGCCATTACAAACCAGCCAGGTGGTCTTCTGGCTCTCCTTGGCAGTTCCATCCTGTACCTCAATGGTCAGCTGATATGTTGCGCAGGTGACTGAATCACTTGGCACACCATTGCTGTAGCTGTCTATGGCCAAGCCCAGAGTTTTCAGAGAGTTGGGCCGCTCAAGCTTGTGTTCAGCATTCTCACCTGCTGTGACCTGGAACAGCATCCTTTCAGTACCATCCGACTCACGAACATGCAGAGAGACCCTCTGTACACTCTTCAGAAAGAGCAGCACTGTGTCTGCATCAGCCTTGAAGGACTCAAAAAGCTCTAGAACTTTCTCTTTATTGTAGATGTTGCCACTCAGCTGAGAAGGTTTCATGCGGAGGGGGAAGCGAAAAAGTGTTCCTGGAAAGTTGCCCTCTTTGATAGTCTTCTCTGAGCTACCAAACAGGCCCAAGAATGGTGCAAACTGGTCAGTAAGCTCCAATATTTCCTTTATGTCAGACTTCAAGTTCCAGCACTGACCAGACTCATGAACGCCAAACAGCATCTGATGAGGGTCCAGCATCCCAATTTGATCTCCACTGAATATGCTTGGGACATCTGGAAGGAGATGGTGGAGAATAATATTGTGTGGGTTTTAGTAAAGCACAAAAACAAGATTAGAAAATCTTCTCATTTCAGGTGTGTGATATTTACTGGTTTTGTAAATCAGCTGGTATTTGAGGTGCTGAATGCATAAAGGTTCTCCAGAGTCTGACTCAGTGCTTGTGTCCATTACAACCTCTTAGCCTAAAGGTAGACTACATATATCTTTTATTTATAAGTAGGAGATCGCTGTCGTCTACACAATAATGAACTTAACCATAACCAGTACCTGTTATGTGGTAAACAGAGTTGAATCCAATACCAAATCGACCAACTTTCAAAGGGTCCTCCCTTTTCCTGCTCCTCGCAATCTCCTGAATACCATTCCAGTCCTCTGCTGTGAAAACTGCATCATTGTATACATACAAAGCCGTTCCTGACAAAGACACAATCAGAATTCAGTTATATGATGTGCTTTGTACAATGAAAAACCTGAATACAATAAAGACAGCAAGGGTTCATTCTCTTCAAGACACATTTCCAAGATATTATGAGAGACATTTTATATTATTACAAAAAATACACAGCACTGTGCAAAAAGCAAGAGATCATGCTTGATTTATTTACTTTCCAGTCAAAATAGCCATAATAAATTTGCAACTTTTTCATTTTTCCATGTGAAGAAAAAGGCATAAAAAATATACTCAACATAAAAAATGACACAAAAAGCCAAACAACTAAATGTAATTTCAGATTTTTCAGTACTTAGTGTGTCCACCCTTTGTCTCCTTTACAGATAACATTCTTTTTGGGAGACTTGCAATTGTGAAGAAATCCGCAGTGATATTCCACGTTTCTTGTAAACATCTGAAAAGTTCAGTCTTAGAGGTTGGTTGCATTTTCTGCTTTTCACAACTCAAGTAATTTCAAACATATTCAATGATGCCAAGGTGGCCAGTTCATTGTTATGAGAACACCAGCAGATTTTTGTTTTTTGTCTATTTCCTTTTCTCAGTAATGGCTCTTTGTGTACTCTGACTTTTGCACAGTACTGTAAATATTCAAGGTAAAATATTTTCTTTTACCTTGATACTGGGCCATATCGTGTGACCACAGTGACTCCACCCCATATTCAGTCTCATTGTACAAAAACCTAACCTCTGTTGCTCCCGCATCCTCTGCATTCTGAATCAGCTCCTACAAAAGGCAGACATAATATGACTCACCAATGTGGTTCATAGACACTAACAGACACCCTGCTCATTAGCTCTGCTTTAATAGGATAAAGATGGTTTGAAAAAATATTTGCTTTAGTCCTGCTTCACTAAGACGATCAGGTGAGTGCATCTACTTGAAGACAATGGCTTCTCAGTTCCTATTTTGTATCGTGTACCTTTTCTGTAACATCTAATTTTACCTTTTTAATAGGACACTAGACAAGATGACCTTGCTAGATAATAAGAGCACACTGTCAGCAAAGCACATCTAGAGTACTATGAGATTTGATATTCCCACATGAGGAATAAAATTGCAGTGTTCCTCTAAAACTTTTCTGACATCTACAACAAAAATGTTATTATGTGCTGCTGTTACAGCTATCAGACTCCTACACTCTCCAGCTCAAAATGAAAACACCCCTCCAGATTCTGTAGCTTATTATTGTATAGGAATTTATCAAGTTATCTCCCTATTGTTGGTCGATGCCAACTGCTAGTTCTCCACTATTTTTTGCACAGCTACCTCCCATAACAAGACATCTCTGAGCTGCTTGTCAAACAAAACTGAAAGAAAGGTCCACATGCTAAATCCGCATATGTGATCTAAGGGACACCCCTGTGTGGCTAGCATTGTAATGTAACAACTGGAAGAGAGGCCACTTTTTTGAGAGACCCCAGCCAATTAGGCTCTTGGAAACTTCCAGCCACAGGTGGCATTGCTGAGAATCAATTACAATAAGATACATGTGCCAAATAAGAGCCACATAGGAATGCTTTCTGGCATCAGGTGAAACCATTTCATAAATGTTGTGTAAAAGGTAAGCATCAAGGAACAGTTTATTGGCCATATGCAAATACTGTTTTATCCCTTATGCATATGCATTTAAGTGTAGTTTGCACAAAACATAGAAAAAGACTATAAATATTGGAAGACAGGCAGATTACAGATAACGTTTCAGCAACTAGTGGACGCTGTTTTTGCATAGATTTTTCTTTGCCATTTAAAACCAGGCATAAATCTTCGTTAGTACTTCAAAAGCATGCTATTGGGAGACTTTCTTTAATGATGGCAGCAGGCATTGTGACTAAACAGGTGCATGAGCCAAGACATGCTGTAAAAAATATTTACAAACAGAATTACATTATTTCAGCTCTCAGGATCAGATGTACGTGTGTGAGAAGACGCAGTGCAAAACATGCTGTGATATGTCTGCAATATGTGTTGTACTTTTGCTCGTATGTACATCTGGACCCTAGCTTTCAACTCATTTTATAATGATCATCATGACACTTACTTTCAATATCTGTCCACCCTCTGGATATCGCCGTAAAATATCTTTCAGGAACTCTACCAAAGGTGGAGTAGTTTGTCCAAATCTCCCTGTAAGAGAGCATTAGACTGGTAACAACAATCTTACCCATAAAACATAGAAAGAGGAAATACTGAAGTGAATATAAATTTTGTTTTAATTGACAGGGACTCTAAATTAGCTCTATGTCTGTCTGGAAAAAGTTTGAGTTAATCTGTACACTGGCATATTTACTGTCCACAACATTGTTCCTAGTCTCACCTCCCCCTCTCAGGCCTCGTCCATGCAGCGTCATGAATATTTCACGACTCCCTGGTGGTACCAAGGATCCAACTTCAACTCTGTCGTTAATCTACAGAAGTGGAAAAAAAACACAAATTACCTTAAATTACATATTATCAATAACTGTATTTACAGTAAACCAATGTGTTTCTTTAAAATCACACCAATGTTTTCATTGCTTACATTTAGATTAGTTAGATTATGAATCCTTGATTTAGATAATGCATAGCAAGGTATTTTCTGTGAGGCAGTGTGTGATTACAGTCAATCTCAGCTCCTTTACACTTGATTTATGTGACAGTTATGAAGCCACCCACAGGGTCATTTTGAACATCTCAACATTTCTGTGTGGACCCCTCCTCCAGCAGATGCAGCTGAGAGAAGAACCAGAGTCAAAAGCGCAGAGTCAATGCACAGAGAGATATAGAGACATGGATCAAGTGAGTACCTAAGTACTTTCTCCTTGAGTTTGTCTCTTTTCACCATTAGCATCATTCTTTCTAATGCACTTATTTAAACGCCTCTGACAAGTCAAAAAGGCTAGAGAGCATTTCCAATTATCCCTTGAGTCACCAGGATATACAATCTCTCCCTTTTTCTCCACAGATCTATGCACAGCTTGGAACTGGGCCAGCTCAGATCCTGCTGTCTTTGACTTTCCAAGGTGAAAGCTACAGCTTCTGCTAACTCACCCACTGTGCTCAGCATACTCTGGCACACGCAGCTGCAGCCTGTTCAAACCAGCAAGCAAACCAGAGCATATGATCAGACCATCCACTCTTAAGTGATTACTACACACATCAGTTATATCTAAATGCTGATGGTGAAGTCATAAAATGGGGCTGATGAAAATGTTCCATGAAAATGTACAATGTTCACAGGATTATCTTCTAAGTGAATCGTATATTCATTAAAACCTATGGTAGAAATTTTAGCCTATGCAATTATTTAGTTATAGATAGCCAGAATCAGTGCAATCAGTATGTCAACATATTATAATCAAGCATTTACTAGACTGAAAAAAGTGCAATTCAAATGTTTTCATAATTTCCACATGAATAAAATATACTACATCAACACAATGCTGTTTTGGCTATGATATCATTGATGTGATCAAGCTGAAATGATGAACATTCGAATTCAATGTAAATTCAATGCAATACTTCTCTCTAACATCAACTAGGACTGGGTACTTCTCAGAGTGCTTCGGTTCTAATTCCAATACTGATGCATAGACTTTGATACAGATACTTTGATACTACCTTTTTGTTATATTTTCTTTTAAATCACAAATTGGGTTTGTTATTTGAAGTGAGTGTGCACTAGGAATGTATCAGGAATGTAATTTAGACAGCATGCTTAATTGCTTCACCAATGCTAAGACTGACTACTTAAGTAGAGAAATTTGATATTGAATGACATGGAATTTTTTCCATATAATATTATCATATATTACACATAACGAAATCACTACATATTAGTAAGTATTAGTAGTATTAAAGTAATTAAGGTAATATCATGAAAGTACTGAATTTCAAAAGCTCTGCACACAATATCTCCACACACAAGTGCACACAGAATTCACTTGAAAATGAAATGTCATGAAAAGTAACTCACCTAGCAGTTTCCCACAAATACTAGTTATAATGTTACAGGTACAGCCATATGCAAAGTTTGGGTGCCCCAGTCAAATGACATGTTTTGTCGATTTTCTAAGTGAAAATTAGGCACAATTACTGTTAATTTGCTGAATTTAACATACAGGATGTTAAACTGTTGCCTGTGCCACAGTTATAGCACATTATTAATTTTATGTTTTGTTTTTTTTACAGTATGTTAAAATAAACAGAAATTGTGCACTAAAACTTTCAATGCAATGCCATACTTAAGCTTGTTTCCTGTAGAGGATGTGTTAATGTATTTTCACTTAGAAAATAAACAAAACATGTAATTCAATTAGGGTGTTCAAACTTTGCTATATGACTGTCTACTAGAATGAACCAACACAACAGTATCACATAGTTACTTTACAGATAAATCCTGTTTAAATGCCACAACTCATGTCTGTCTACTGTTACAATGCTCACAAAATTAGCTATATACATGAATATTTAAATGACTTAGTTGGCCTTCTTTATAATACATTAAATGAAGGGATTATAAAGAATATTAAAAGAGGGGACCTATACACCCCAATTAAAATATACTAAAGGGCTCGGTTCAGCACAGCAAAGCATGTAAAGATAAAACCATTGGGTCTCATTCATCAACTGTTCTTAAGAAGAAATTTCTTCCTTAAACCCACTTATGCAGATTCTGACATTCACCAATGTTTTGTTATTTGGGATTTGTTCTTAGGTAAGAACAGAATCTACAAACACTCAGGAGCACTAAGGTGCGAACAATTCTGTGGTTTAAGAACGCGTCACGAATCTGATGTAGACTTTTTCTTATGACTTTTCTCAAGAACAAATTTAAGAAAAAAACTTGTTGGTGAATGAGGCCCAGTGTCTTTAATGAAACACAAAGTTGGCAAGAGAAAAGTCATAATGAACAGCTGATCAGCTGCACTGACTTTTTCCCCTCATTTCTTTCAGTGTTAATAAATAATAAAAAAGTGGTCAAAATGTAAAAGATACAGGAAACAATAACTTCAAATCAAATTCAAATCATATCATCAGCTTTTTTTCCACTCAACACAAATGTGGTATTGATTAAAAGTTAACAATCTTCACCTTCTGAGAATCTTAGAATTTCACAGCTTGTTTCAATGAGCTATTAAATAAAAGAGATATTAAATATCAAATTACATCCTGCTTTGGTTATCACCAGCGGTAACTGGGACTTTTATGGGTTAAATCGTTTATCTTTGTTTGACATATTTGATGCTTTGAAAGACTGCCAGGAATGCATGCTGGGAAGCCCAACTTGTCACAGCATCTCCAGCAAGAATCACCAAAAGCTAAAAATTCCCAAGCTTATTACAGACGCTGGACTAATGCCAACACCAGAGGTAACTCTTTTTATTATCTAACAAAAAAAGTTACATTAGCAGAACACACCACTCACTCCAAAAAAATTAGCTATTCACTTGCTCTAAAACTATTTAAGCTGAGTTGGACCTTCAACTGGACCCTCACTCTGAATGACTGTATCAAGATCTGAGGACTGCTTTGACTGTGACTATTTTTGAGCCTGATATAAGTAAGCTTAGTGCTCACCCACCTGCTCTTTTCATTCATGGAGGCTTCCCTCCTTTAGGGCCAGGCGTGTAGTGTAGTCAAGGCAAGCAGTCAGAAAACTGCTTCAGTTCAAGTCATGCTCACCTTGAGGCCTTCAGGTCAAGAGTTCATTGTGTAAACCTTTCTTCATATTCTTTATTTATAATTTTAATTTTACTGTCAATAGACCACACTCTTTTCGGGAAAATACTTCTCCTTTTCACAATAAAATGTGCAGACAACAGAGCCTAAACTGTAAAACCACACTGTAAAATCACACTAAAACTGTAGGCAGCCTGCTAGCAAACAAACACCTCAGTGAAGTACGCAGAAGAGCTCTCTCAGGATTGGAACAAAATGAACAAACAGCCAGCAGAACAAGTATCTGAGGTGACTGACAGCATGTCATTAACTGACCCATTAACCGACAAATAAACAATTGTTTGGCCAACGTTATTGCTTAAAAAAATTATTAAATTTGATCTAATCTCTTATTGAATAGTTGTATTTATCATTCAAGTTGAATTCAAGTTATCAATCAAGTTGAATGATAAACACAGGAAGGTTTTGACTTGTATGTATGAGAGTGCTATAGGTTCTGCTACACAGGCATACTAAAATGTGTGCCTTTAAAAATAGTGTTTACAACCATTTTTCTGGAAGACGAAAGACCTATCGGGAGCAAATGTTCGCAAGTGAGAAGACAGACAACTGTTTTGTCTATGTTCTCAGAGAGAAACTGTGATGAACAGTGGTTTGAGTAAATGACACAAGGTTGTGCATAATTATACCTTTCCAGAGCTACTGAGGTACAGTGAGCCAAAGCTGGCCCTGGCCTTGGCATTTATGTTACTATGCAAGTAATGAGTAGTAAATATAACTTTGGAACCAAGTACAACTTTCAGTAGCCCATCATTGTATGTTTGTATGAAAAAGATTGAGCACCCCGGTCAAAAAAATCTTTTGTTGAGTTTCTAAGTGAAAATAAGCATAGATCCTCTCTAGAGAACACACTTTAACACACTACACATTTTAATGCACAACTACTTTTTACTCGCTGAATTTAATGCATTGGAAAAAATAAAACATTTGCAGAAAATTGCCTTATTTAAGTTTGTTCCCTGTGGATGATGTGTTAACTTTTGTTTTACTTAGAAATTCAATAAAACATGTAATTTGACCAGGGGTACCTAAACTTTTGCATATGGCTGCGTGTTCTAGTCAGTTAATCAGCTTATTCGTTTCGTCATATTATAATAAATATATAATAACTGTGAGCCCCTCAGTTTTAACAAAACCAGGTCTTAATGTAGAGCATGTTTGATATGGTTTCGAGCCCTTTAGGTCACACACGTGCTTGTACACACTGTTCTAATGTTCCAATACAGAATTAATGTGATTTGTGTGCTCATAAGTGTGCATATATCAAATATTTTACAATGTCTTGAAATGTGGCTCAGCCAATCAGATTTCAACCTGGAACCTTTTGTTTATAATTTTGATTTTGTTGGGTTGAATCCTTGATTTTAGGTTTACTGGCTCACGAATAATCACTGACTAATGATGGTCGGTTTTTGGTCAAAAAAATTTGTCCAAAATTTCCTTCCTTTCTTTTAATTCATTCAAAAAAACTAAACTTGTTCTTCTTGGATGATGTTTCAATATAAAACAGAATGAGCATTAATTGATTCATATATTTGAGTCTAGGAAACAGTCAGATAAAGACTTAATATGTGCTGATATGTGTTAGCACATTCAAAAGAAACCTTAGACCACTATGCGCAGATGTCTTAAATAGAAGCAGAATAAATAATCACTCACATGTTTTTGCCTTCGGCATGAACGAAACACCACCAGCATCAAAGAGGTACTGTTTAGGGAGAATGGGCCATAGCCCCTCTGTGTTTATGCCAATATCAGTGCGAACATAAAGAGAAGGCTCAAGAAATTGAGATTTAGATTTTAATAAACCATTCACCATTTCAAGGAGGGACAAACCTATAACAATTACAATGATGAAGAAATCATAATGAATGAGTGATAAAGGCAGATACACATCCTGAAAATATAGAAAGATTAAAACAAAAAACAAGCTCAATATTTTGTCTAGTCAAAGAAGTCTCCTGTTAGATTTATTATCCACAAATGGAGAAACTTGTTTTAGAGTCTGACACATTTCCACAGAGCGAACAACAGAGGCATGGGTATTCGAAAGGCACGAACTTGCCTATGTGCACTGTGCTAAACAGAGAAGTGAGAAGTGCAAATCTGCGTGTCATGAGTTCTTACCCTGGACTGAGTACAGATAACAACACAATGGGCCACATTCTAAACAGCCTGGCTGCTGCTCAATCTCTAAATCACTTTGTTATAGTGGATTATAAACCCAAATATTTGGGTGCTCACTGGGGTCACGTGGAGAAGGCAGTCTGAGGGAATTTGTCTAATTTGGGAAACAACAATCTAATAGATAGTCATTATCTCTAATAAATAGGTCAAACTGTTGAGATATATATAGTACTGTGCAGAAGTCAGAAACCACCTTTATTTATTTAATTTCCAGTCAAAACCCCCACTATGCAAGTTACTCATTTTTCAGTATCAGAAAAAAGTGTGTTTAACGGAAAAAAAAATCAGCATTTAGTGTGTCTACACTTTGCCTTGGCTACAGCTTCCAATTTTTTGGAGGGAGACTTGATGTCAGTTTTTGAAAGAAAAAGGGAAGTTTTTCCACACCTTCAAAGTTCAGTCTCTATAGTTAATCTCTCTTAATGCACTTCAGATATTGCTTAAATACACAGTCAAGTACAGGGTAACACATGAAACTGCACTAAAAAGCTAATTTAGAGTTAATACCTAAAATATCATTAGGGATATATATCAATATCTGAGTGGCTTTTCCTTTGTTTCCTAGTGTGTCTCATAGTTGAAAACTCAACTCAAGAAAACTGTTTTATGAACCACATCAGCAAACTGTTATTGGGTTTGCAGTGTGCCGCTTCTTTTTACTCACCACTTTTCCATTATGAAACAGCTGCTGCTCACATACAGGGAAATCCGTTTCTTCGTAAATGAGCAGCTTGATCTGTTGGACTGGTGTAGACCAAGGGACGTGAAAGACCCTACAGCCAAGATAATCATGACTGACTGTCACCAGCAGCAACCTAAAAGCATAAAAACAGGGACAATTAGGCTGTGAGAGTAGTGGATGAAAACATTATTCAAATGACAAATATTAACATAGTCATCAGATGGTAAAAGGAGTAGGAAACTCCGGTCCTAGGGGCTGGATTCCTGCTTGGTCAGGTGATATTAAGATATCACAGTTAAATTAGTCTTTACAGTAGTTCTGGAAGGGGTGTGACAGTAACCGATTTTTTTTTAACAGAACAATCACCGTAATTTCTAAATGGGTTTTTGATACATACGCATGGTCAAAACTAAAGCAAAATGTTGGGGGCAGTCACATAAGGAGTCTTATGTGACTGCCCCCAGATTTTTGCTTCTTCTGCTGAGGTGAAAAAGGCACAGAAACCACTGCATTTTCCACTCCTTGACTGATGGAGCATCTTTAAGTGAATGCACTGGGAAGCACCTAATAGAAATGAATGGTTTCTACTATGACATTAGCTCTGTTACACAAACCAAATTATCCTGTTTGAAAAGAGGGTAGGATCCTTAAACTGCACAGCGCATCTCCTTGGTATCATCATAAGAAGTCTAGGTTCATGCACAATAAAAGGTGATTCTTCAGCATTAGAGGTAAGCAGACCATAGCCGAAGATGTTTTGTGACTGAACTTGTTAAAGGGGAACTCTGCTGTTTTTTGAGAGGTTTATTTGTGAGAAGCTTTGTTCTAGAGAAACTTACCAAGTCAGAATTGTTCATCATCAGACACCTGAGGATGCTTCCAAAAGCTCCCTCACAGAAAGCTATTACATGACATGGTTATGAATACAGAGACATTGTTCATGAGGGTTTTGTGATAAAGTTTTGGTCTAAAATGTTTTTTAATCCATTCATGGTGGAGGGACACATGAAGGGTGTTCTAAGGCAAAACCCCAAAGAAAGCTTATTTTTTCAGACTGACCATTATTTTACCACAATCAACATTACATACATAAACTTAAAGGACATGTATAGGTTCACTGTTGTTTTGGATAGTAAATAAAATGGCTTTGTTTGCATTGTTGACATCAGGATTCCTGGTTCCTGTCACAACCACTGTAAGGAAGCAGCAGTTAGTGAGTTTCTCTGCAAATGAACCATTTCGCATCAAACCAATCTGAACGACTTTGTTTACATCTCAACCAATAAATTATGTAAAAATTTAGAAAAATTGGTGAAATCCCCCTTTAAGCAATTTAGTTGTCTGGCTTGACATTTACAGGGACAAACACTCATTCTGCAAGGGTGGGATTTTCTAAGGTTGCATGGAAGGTGCTGTAGGTTTCTCCATCACCAACAGATGTTTGTTATTTTCCTCACAAGGCTCCGAGTCTGTTGCCAAGTGCCAGTAAGAAACTTAATCATTACAGGATGTTCAATAATTATTTCTCCCAATTGTGTCATCTTTGATATTGGTTTGCTATGTAATTACAATAGAGCATTAGTTGTTGAAACAGCTCCCTGCTCTAATGGACATGAATGACAAGGTCCCAGAACATGCTGACAAGTAAACTACTGGTTCCCATGTAGTTTATCTAAGGCTCTGAAGCATTATTATTATTATTATTATTATTATTATTATTATTATTATTACTATTATCATCATCATAATTTTGGAGGCTCTAAATGACTTTATGTTCTGTGTGAAGCCACATGTAGATAAGTCTTCGGCTTACCACGGATCGTGATTGGCTGCCATCGCTTTCCAGCCAGTGTCTCCTTATGTGCCTTCCCGTGTATACATTCATTCAGCTGCAGTCTTTTTCCGCACTGGCTCTGGGCTCAGTTATCTTCACCGCTATCTTCCTTAAATCCCCGGTTCGCTCTTCATTTATTCGTTTCGTTTCAGTTCAGTTCATGGCAGCAGCAGCAGCGTTAAGATCAGCCCATGATGCTGCTGTAATAAGCTTTATTTAGCCGTGTTTTCCTTTCGGACCCGCCTCCAATGAGGTATCAATGCAGTCAATGCAGTCTAATGAGCTGCCAGCTATTCCCGTATTGAGTTTCGCTCCTCTGCGTTTCTCCACAGATTCGTCAAAGTCCTCCACTCCGCCTTGCTGTGATTTGTCCTGTAGGCGAAAAGGAGAGTCAGGCTGTGAGATCAAGAGAAAAGCAGGAGCTTCCACCGCGGTAAATCCCCCCAAACGAGGCGTTTCTTAAAGCCTAACGGTAGTGCTGTAAGCTAACAGGCTGCTGTAGCCGCGGCTTTGGCTGCACGAGGCCGCGCTGCATGCTGGGATTTGTAGTTAAAGGTGACATTTTGTGTTTTTTCAGCTAAGTATCGCTGAATGAAAAAAGCTATGGTTTTCTCGTCAAAGTGTAATTTCAGTTTGATGAGAAAAAGTATTTTACTACGCTATATCTGAAACAACACCTCCCAAAAACAGCTTCAATTCATAATGTTATAATGTACTAATAGATAATTAGAGAAATAGTCATTATATAAAAGGCCATTGCATACATTAGCGTTTCCCCACCATTTCGATTCTATGCCATTTTAAAAATATATAAAAAGAGATTAAAATACACGGGTAGACGTGACATGCCCATGTTTAAATCTCTGTATTAGTTTACTCAACAAAATAATCTCACTTATACTTTCCAAAGCTGCTTTAGTGGCATTTGTGGCGCAGTCCACCCGATGACGTCATGCAACCTCAGTCAAGGACTCTCAGCGCTGACTTGCGCCAAAAAATTAGCTACCAATAAACTATGTGTTTCTCCAGCATCATCAAATGCTAAGCAGTACAGAAACTGTTCCCAATCTCCACTGCCAGCAGCTAAACGATACGGATACGGATGGATAAACGACGACTTCAGATGGATTATACAGGTCATGCACTCACTGTAGTCCTTTTTTCTTCCTGCACTGCCGCAGTAAGTCGATAGATGAGCGCTCACCCCAGGCTCAGACAGATGAGCACTCTGCAGAGCTCTCCTTATTGTCCCATGTGTAAGTAGTACGTTGATATGGTGAGCAAAGCTCACTTCCCTGGGTTGGTGGGTCGCTGAGCTGGTGGTCTAAGCAGGACGACTGTGTGGAGGCTGTTACCATGCAGGACACCTGGGATTCCCTTCAGCTTGATCTAGGAGCTGAAGTCCCCCATCCCTTCCTCTCCTGCATCTCAGCAACAAAGTGTTCTTAAAGCGACAGCAAACTCAGTATTGTAGAAACACAGTAATGTAGCCCAGCCTAGAAGTCCAGAGGAGTCATGGTGTTATGGCCACAACATCACCTTTAAATCAGAATCAGAGTCACTTTATTTGTTAGCACTAAACAGGAAAAGAGAGATAAAGACACAGTGATAGCAAATAAAAACACAAACAGTATGTGTGTGTATATATATATATATATATATATATATATATATATATATATATATATATATATATATATACATACCGATCAGGCATAACGTTATGACCATGGTGCTGCTGGAGTTTTTAAACACCTCAGTGTCACTGCTGGACTGAGAATAGTCCAACCAAAAATATCCAGCCAAAAGTGTCCTGTGGGCAGCATCCTGGGACCACTGATGAAGGACTAGAGGATGACCAACACAAACTGTGCAGCAGCAGATGAGCTATTGTCTCTGACATCTTCAAGGTGAACTGACCAGGTAGGAGTGAAGAACAAGGTAAAAGGGGGCTAACAAAGTATGCAGAGAAACAGATGGACTACAGTCTGTAATTGTAGAACTACAAAGTGCACCTGTATAGTAAGTGGAGTTGATAAAATGGACAGTGAGCATAGAAACAAGGAAGTGGTCATAATGTTATGCCTTATCGGTGTATATATACATACAAAATATTATTTTATATCATACTACATACTAGTTTCATAATATATCACTATAAACTATATAACTCTGAAACTCAGTTTAGCTTCATATAGGCCCTTTAAAGCAAGCAGAATTATTTACCAAAATAGTATAACATTACTCATAAAGTAAAAAATGTCTAAAAATAAGTTTTATCATTTTATGCATAGAAACTTTTATGCATAGGGACTACAGTCTGTAACTGTAGAAGTACAAAGTGCACCTATATGGTGAGCGGACACGATAAAATGAATAAGTGTATATAGAAGGTAAGTGTATTTAATAAATTGTCCAGTGAGTGAATGTAACTAATTTTAGGGTTAATTATGCAAGGCACAGGGAGCAAACTCTAGACACATTTCACAGTGTATACATTTCATTATGCAAAATTATGTCTGCAAAATTTGGTGAATATTGCTAGGTGTAAATTGCAGCTGTGTAAATGTATACAGTAACATATTACAGTTAGAATGGGTTGTTTTCGGGAAAGGATGCTGGTTTAGCAAAGATATGACATTGGAAAAGAAATAAGAATGTGGACGAAGCAAAGGAAAAAAATATATGTATGGCTATATGGTCTGTATATTATACAAAAATCATTCAAATTTGGTCTCCTAATTTATTTTAATTTTCATTTCATAATCCAGGGTGAGGACCCTGAGGACCCAGGTCTACTGTTTGCTAATTTTCCTTACTAAACCTGAAAAATAACCAGGTTAGCGTGTGTTTAAGTGGGGTAGTCATCAAATTGTGCTGCACTCCAGCTTAAACGTCAACAGTTAACAGTTTAGTTAGGTTGCAAAAAGATAACCTAAAGCCCAACTCCTGTCCCACACTGCCCATCTTACGCCAGGGGGCTTCATCTAGTTACCCTACTTCAGCAAGAGGATTGAGAAACAGTAGAGGGCAGCATACTCACACTCATTCCCATAACATTACTGAGGGCTCGTGAGCCAAACTAAATCGAATGAAAGTAAGAAAGTAAGTTAAAAAAGGTAAAAATGTAGATAGTGAGTTCTGCAGGGGATCCTGCCAGTGATTATTATTATTGTTATTATTATTATTAGTAGTAGTAGTAATAATAGTAGTTGTAAAGTAAATAATTGCCCTTCTGTACTGTAAATAATTGCCCTACAGGTACTTTCTCTACTTTTTTTCTATATATACACTATATAGACAAATGTATTGGGACACACGTTAATCAACTTAATCATTAATTCTAGGTGTTTCATTCAGTCTCATTGCCACAGGTGTATAAACTCAAGCACCTAGCCATGCAGTTACAAACCTTTACAAACATTTGTAAAAGAATGGGTCATTCTAAATTTGAATTTGAGCGTGGTACTGTAATAGGATGCCACCGTTGAAATAAGTCAGTTCATGAAGTTTCTTCCCTCTTAGATATTCCATGATCAACTGTGGGTGGTGTTATTGAAAAGGGGAAGCATTTAAGAACCACAGCAACTCATCCACGAAGTGACAGACCACGTAAAGTTACAGAGTGGGTCGCTGAGTGCTGAGAATCATAGTTCATAAAAGTTGCCAGCGCTCTGCTGACTCAATAACTGCAGAGTTTCAAACCTCCTCTGGCATTAACATCAACACAAAAACTGTGCGCCGAAAGCTTCATGGCATGGGTTTTCATGGCTGAGCAGCTGCATGCAAGCCTTACATCACCAAGCGTCGGATGGAGTGGTATAAAGCACGCTGCTACTGGACTCTGGAGCAGTGGAAACGTATTCTGTGGAGTGATGAATCACACTTCTATATCTGGCTGTCTGATGGACGAGTCTGGGTTTGGTGACTGCCAGGAGAACTCTACCTGCCTGACTGCATTGTGCCAACTGTGAAGTTTGGTGGAGGAGGCATAATGCTATGGGGTTGATTTTCAGGGGTTGGCCTAGGCCCCCTTAGTTCCAGTGAAGGGAAATCTTAATGCTTCAGCAGAACAAGACATTTTGGACAATTGTATGTTTTCAACTTTGTGGGAACAGCTTGGAAATGGCCCTTCTCTGTTCCAGCATGACTGTGTCCCAGTGCACAAAGCAAGGTCCATAAAGGCATGATTGAGTGAGTTTGACCTCAGCGCATCAAACACCTATGAGATGAACTAGAACAGAGATTGCAAGCCAGGCCCTCTCATCCGGCATCAGTGTCTGGCCTTACAAATGCTCTTCTGTATAAATGGGCAAAAATTCCCACAGACACACTTCAAAATCTTGTAGACAGCTGTTATAGCTGCAAAGGGGAACCAACTCCACATTAATGCCTATGGATTTAGAATGGGATGTCATAAAAGCTCCTGTAGTTGTAGTGTGTAGGTGTCCTAATACTTTTGTCCATCTATATATAGATATATATATATATATATATATATATATATATATATGTCATTGTAAAACCGATTAGTGACATTAAAAGCATGTCTAATAGTTATTATAAGAATAATTTATTTATTTTTGTTGTTGTTTTCCTAACATGTTTGTTACTCAGGGTGTGCAGGATGTTTCATTTGCATACGAAAGGTGAGACCAATCAGTGACCAGCATGTGTGACGTCACGCAATCTGTAGGGCATGATTTTTTCACCCTCGTTTTTCTGCGGGTGACTGTGGAAAACTAACCAATCATAGAACAGAAGACAAGATCCTACACCAATCCGAGCGCAGGGGGCGTGGCTTGTAGGAATACGGGTGGGAAAAACTCTAACGCGTCTGTAAGGCGTTGAAATGAAATGAGCTGAACGGAGAGGCGCCGAGTGTTTTGGGCTTTGATCCACCGAAGCAAACCGAGCAAAACTGAGTGAGGATGACCTCCACACTTCGGCGAATCGTCCTGTAGTCATGAAACAGACCTCACACTGCGATCCATAGGCAGAGTTTAGCAGGTAACGGACTGAACGAGAGGAAGAGGTGCGCTGGTGAGTTAAGCTACGTTGCGTGAGCTCTTTGCGGTTCAGCTAACGCTTTGATGTGTCCTGCGTGCTGATCACAGATCAGATTACAGGGGCTCCGCCGCTGCCGTGCTGCTGCTTTTGATCTGAGCGCTGACTTTGTCCGGGCTGCTCTCCGTGTTGCTCTCGGGCTGGAAGGAGAAGCAGCAGCAGCAGCAGCAACGGTGCAATGCAGGAGGGAAGAGGGTAAAGAAACCTCCTGGAACAGCCTGGGCTTCTTCTGATAACTTCAGGACACAATCAGTCACTGCTGGTAAGACAGGATGACATGATAACGAATCTGCAGCATCTTTGTCGTGACTTCAGTTGCCTTTTGTGATAGAAAGTAAACAGAAGTTTGTGATGTGCCACCTCTTATCTTTTTCTATTCATAAGGGTGATGCTTTACAATGTCTGCAATCTCAGGCAGCCTTTCATTTTCAGCACTTTTTAAACGTGCTTTGTCTTATAGAGTGGTAGACCTGCACACTGCAGTCTTATTCACTGTATAATCAGGTGTAATTTACAATAATAGAGACATTTGATTATGTTTTGAGCTTCTTATGATTGAAAGCAGCTGCTTTGTCCCATCAGGGGTTTATAGATTTTAATATTGTGATTTTATTTGGATTTCTTCTCCATATGAAGTCTCTTGTAAAATGACAGTATTTTTCATGACTTTAATTTCACAGTTAACATCGTGGAGACCACCCGGATGGCTTCAGCACAAGGACACACCTGGCGTCCTGTCCTGAGGATCATTTTTCTGCATTTATTACTAGTATGTTTCACTCACAGCTCATTTACAATTAAGTTGAGAGAAAACAAGTGAGGGAAACCCAAAGTATATGAAGTGGAAAAAGATGTATTTTGTGCAGCATTGTTATTGGCAGTGTCTGTCAGTGGTAATAGGTATTTGATACGCTTGTCTGGCCTTCAGAGCCCAGGGCTTAGTGTCACCACCGTGTCCTTTTAGGATTTAGCTCATATTCTGGCATTCATAAGTGTGATGAAATGCTGGAATTCTTATCTATGGGAGATCATACTTTATGTCCTTCTCAGGTTGCGATAATGGCAGAGGAGAGAAGAGAATGCAGGGAACAGGAGTACAAGGACCAGTTTGGGAACTGTATCGCCTGCAGGCATTGCGACGCCGGACAAGAACTATCAAAGGTTTGGGCTGTTCTCTTTTTCTTTTTTTTTGGCTGTAGCATGGAGGTATCCTCAGAGGACCGAGCAATCAGCTAACAAATCTACACTGTAAAAAGTAATAAGTTAGTTCAACCTAAAACAATTGCTTTATGTAACATCAAGCAATTTAATTGGTTTTATTTAAGTCATCACTTTGAGTGACAACACAAAAAAAAAATCAGTTCAAACCTCAGAATCACTTTGAATCAACTTCTGCCCTGTTACACTTTTTACAACACGTGTCAGAAGTGAATTATTCTTCTGAATTTATTTGACAAGTACAAATCATAAATGTGTATGATTAGGTGATTGTCCTCTTTTCTCTTTTACTCATGTGGATAAGAAATTGAGATTGTTTTTTTATTTGTTCTTTGGGAAAAAAAGATACATAGAACACTTATTTTAAGCTCTTCATGCCTTAAAAAAGACAAAAATGACACCTCCTCAAAATTAATCACTCTTATAAAAATAAATAAATATGCTAGAAAGGTTTCTTCATACAGTATCATTGAAGAACAACTTTTGGTTCCTGGAAACTTAAGTTTGTGATTTTGTATGTGTGAGTGTGAAGAACATTTTGTAAAGTTTATAGAACCTCCACATAAGATATAGGTTCTAGGAAGAACCCTTAAATTGATATAGAACCATCACATTATGTTACATGTACAAATAGGAGTGTCAAAAAGCATTAATTGGATGATACCATAGAAGAGCAACTATGGCTTTTTAGAGGACCATTTTATAAATGTGATGTGATTGTGTGATTGTGAAGAACGTTTGTAAAGTTTAAGGAGCTTCCACATCAGGTAAAGGTCCATTATGTGAAGGGTCTTAAAGCTTTAAAAGGTTCCTCCCACTCACACATCACTTTTACAAAAATGGTTCCTTTTGATGGTTCTTTTTTAAACATCACTAAAAGAACCATGTGTGGTACTTTAAGCACTTAAAAGGTTCTTCACACTCAAAGTTCTTTAGGGGACCATGGTGTTCTATGGTGTGAATTAAAAAACCTTTTTGTGGCATCTTTATTTTTAAGAGTGTACCTGATTAATAATACACAATAAGCTGTAATTTGAATTTTCTGCAGCCGAGAGCCAAATCACCCTGCGCCTCTTCTGGGTAATTGAAAATTCTGTGATACCACTTACGATACACTCCACCAAAACATTCTTCTTCACAGGTTTGAGGAAATGCTTAAACCAAGTATAAACATGTGTGATCCTGGAACTAGGAACATCTGAGCCAGAGTGGTCATAAAAACTGGGGCGGGAAAGGAGAATTCAGTGAGTTCCCCATTAACGTCTCAAGGTTTATGAAACTTCTCAAGGTTTATGAAAGAGTTCCCTATCAAACGGGCCCCCTAGAAAAGTGCAGCTTTAGAGTCGGCACATAGTGAGGGGATGCCAATGTTTTGAATAGCCTGTCCTACTCAATTATTTATTGCTTCCTCCTAGAAGAGAGAGGATAAAACATTGCTCTCTTTTGTAGCATGTTGGCCACGTTTTAAACAGTTACGCCCATACGCCTGACTCTTGCTTGTACGGCACGTTCTGTTGTGTTTTTGCTGATTTTGGAAGCCTAGTTTTCCTGTTGTTTTATATGTAAGGAAGAAAAAGCTTTTAGTGCTCAGGTGTGAAATGTTTGTGGAATAGCTTTTGAACTAAGCACATTTTCAGCTGAGCATGATTTAAGCAGGGTAAATGCAGTTTTTCTGTACTTGTCTTTCATCTTGTGCTCTTATTGGTAATATGGCCCCAGTGCATCTAATTTTGGTCAATTATGGATAGAAGCCTGAGGCCATAGTAAATTATTGGCTTCCTTTTTACACTGGAATGTTTGCTGCTTCTCTTATCATTTGCAGCTACACTGTAAATAAATGATTCAGTGTTTTGGTTCAAAACAGTAAGTAACATGGCTGACTTAAAATTGTGGTTTTATTAAAGTTCAAATAAAAAGGAAGGCGTAGAATGTTGTTCTGTTAACTTGCTATTAGTTGTTCTGTAAACTTGCTATTATAAGCTACAAAAACACCCCACTGTGAACTGATTGTTTTTGTGATGTCACAAAAGCCAGCACACTTAAAATTTATCTGCCTGTTCGGCCTACAGCAGTTTAGCCCTGCGCATTCAAACAAAAGTTATAAGGAGTGAGCTGCTTTTTGAATGTGAAACAATACAGGGCAGCCAATCAGAACAGAGGTCATTTCCATACATCAGTCTTAAAGGCACAGTAAAAAACAGCTTGTTTAATTCTAATATATAAAGGGAGATTAGGACATGGTCATGTGAAAATAAAATATGACTGTTTATGGTACATAAATCAACAAAAACATAAGACCTCAGAAAAAATAAAATACATGAAAAATGTAGGATATGGGCCCTTCAAGTTAAAATCATTGTTTACAGTGTAAGGAAAGTTTGATGAGAGAGACAGGATAGGATTTTGGATCTTGGAAGGATTACATATATACTCCTTTCTAAAGGAGCACCTTCGTCTTTGTTGAACAACAAATGTAATCTCTTCGTTTGTCCCAAGGGAACACCGAAAAACTCCTGTGTCTGTATGTGGGCGTATGTTTGCTTTGTAATAAAAAAAAAGGGTGAATTCTTTTTGTTGTTGTTTTTCTAGGCTATTAATAAAACTTATAAATGCTTTTTTTTTTACATGCATGCCTTTTATTTCCTTTGCTTGATAATGTTAGATTTGAAATAAGATTTTTTATTTTGAAATAAGATATTTTATAAAGATTTTTCCATCACTTGTTGCTTTATTCTCATCCAGTTGTGAAAAAGCCCGCCTAGGTTCCAGCTGGACCAACCTCTGGATGAACTCTGTCTGCGTTTCATCAAATGCACCCCTATTCAGATGTTCTGATTAGAGATGTTACATCATAACAGCCTTCATAAACATTTCTCATTCCGTCTGCGTAACCTCATGAAATCTCAGTGTTGAGATCCACAATTAAAAGCATCTGCACGCCTTTGGGTATCTCATTATTACAGATTGAGATCTAAATTATAATGATACAGAAGCTTCACATCTGCATCCAAGTTCACCCTCAAGCTCCATGGGAAGGTGTGTGAAGTGATTTGGGGGTTTTGAGTAATTGAAGGAGGTTGAGAATTCTCTAGGGCCTGACTAAGAGCCCTTTAAAGCATCTTTGTGTCTGGACATGCTTGAGCTTCACCCAGCTTTCTCCTCTATCTCCCCACTTCCACACTGTTTTGCTTGGCATCTTCCCTCAAACCTGATCTGGAGATAGCGGCAGAGCGTCTTTTGTGGGTGCTGGTTTGGAGAGCTCTCTGAGACAAGATTGTTCTGAGTTGATAGGTGTTGTATATGCCAGACAAGTTTTGGTTGGAAAACGTGACACAGGGAAGGTTTGATGTCAGTTGTTTATAGATATTACTGAATGTTGTTTTGAGACAAGAACACGTAAAGAGGATGAAAGATACTGTCTCTTAACAGCCTGTATAGTTCAATATACAGTACTATGCAAAAGACAGAGATTTAGTCACGAACATAATTTCCTCGGAACAGCCATTTAGTGCAAGTTATTCATTTTTTAATGTCAGGAACAAAGCAGAAGACATATATTTAACAGAAGCCTCAATAATTTAATATAATAACAATATTCAGTATTTTGTGTGTCCACCCTGTGTTACTGCTTCTGTTCTTTTTGAAACACTTGTTTTCTGTTTTTCAAAGAAATCTGCAGGTATATTTTTCACATCTTCAAAGTTCAGTCATAGAAGTTGGTTTCATTTTCCGAGTCCAGTCTTGTTCTGAGATACCAGCAGCTTCTTTGTTCGATGTTGCAAACATTCTTCTTTTTGTCTCTTTTTTTTGCCAGTTACAACTTTTAGATAGCTACACATCCTTTCAGACCCATAGTGTTGTCATCTCACAGTGGTAAGATGGCCCAAACACCTGTGAATTTTTTTTTTTTCAGATTTAAAGCAAGAGTGGAGCTTAATTATCTCTCAAAGGTGAAAGCTTTAAGTAGTGTCTATCTGATTTGATGGTTTACCAGCTCTCACACGGTTGTTAGGAGTCCCATTTTCTCTGTATCTTTTTAATAATTTTTTTAACTTAATTTTTTAACTTATTTTCATTTGACTTTCTGTTTCCTTATGCAAGGCGATTATTTTATATCTAGTCTTCTCAGAAATATCTCCTGAAAAATGAATATCTTATACTTATTGGCCATTTTGACTGGAAACAAAATAGACTTTTCTACAGTACTGTACACACTTAAAAAGATGGTTCTGTTTTTTTAGTAAAGAAAATTGTTCTAAATAGAACTATTAACACTTAAAGGACGCTTTGCATGATTGAAGGGTTCTTTGCACCATGACAGCATTCTTCAGATTAATGGCGAATGTGCTGTAGAAGGTTCTATATAGAACCTTCTTGAAAAGGGTTCTGTGTAGCACCAGAAAGGGTTCGTATATTATTACATTGCTTGTAACAACAGAAGAATCCTTTTTGGTGCTATATAGAATACATTAGAAAAATCTACATAGGACTATCTACAGCATATTCTCCATTAATTTGAAGAGCCCCTTCACAATACTGCAAAGAACCCTTTAGGGTTCTTTGAGTGTCCACAGTTCTATATAAAACAGTTTTCTTTACTAAAGATTCCTTAAAGGACCATCTTCTTTAAGTGTGTACAGTACCAGTGTAATGTCTTTTCATAAGTATACACTGTTTTTTATGGAAACAAGGCATATCGAAGCAGTATGCTAGAACAGTGTGTCTAAGTCTTGCATTCCTCAAAACAGTCCTTTTCCTTAGTAACAGCTTCAGGCACAATGCATTTAGTTAAGTTTGAGCATGAAATCACACCACAATTTGGTGTTTTCCTGGACTTTTTACAATCCCTTTGGTTCGGATTCCTGTTTCATGAAAATTGTATTCATTTTACTGTTCAAATTCTTGTGTGGTTATCTGCTCGTACAAAAAGACCTCTGTCATGTAATAGAGCATCTTTATAGAGGCTCCATGCAGTTTCAAGTGTAGATAATCATGAAAAGCCTTGTTTCAAGCAGGTGTGCTCAAACTGGTACCCACACAAAAGCAGTTTTGTGGTTGACAGTTCCACCAGCTGTTTTTGTTGCGTTCCTCCAATATATCCACATCTACCCTGATCAAAGAATGGCCACATGGCCACATCTAATAGATTTTGGCCACATCTGAAAATCCTTCATGCAACTCTTGATCCTGAGGCCAATGAACTGTCCAAATCTCTTCTCGCAGCTGCATAAAGAGGCTGCGCTCTGCTTGAGTTTCGCCCTCCCTCCAGCCCTACTGCTGATTATCTCCCCAGTGATGGCACCATGCCTACAAACAGAGCCAGGCCATGCTTCTTTTATTTCCTCGCTCTCTTTGTTGTCCAGCCCTCCCTCCGTGGTTCCACCATTGGCTGCTATGCCCCGTTGGAGAGAAGGGCCTTATATGGGACAGGCAGGCAGCAACAGCTGCCGTTGTGCTCTAAACCCCCCCCCCGCCCCAAGTACTCTTTTGGGCCGGTCCAAGCCGAGAGCCGAGAGCAGGCCAAATCAGGCTTCTCACAGGCCACAGAGGCTGAAAAACGTCTGATTCCTGTTGTTCTGGCGCGAGTTCTCGTCATTGACTCTGACTGTCAGGCTTGCTGTCTGTGCCCAATGTGTGTATGTGTGTGTCCAGAATGGGAAACAGTATCCGGGTGTAGAGAGAAGGCCACTGTTTGAAGCTGACCTTCAAGTTAATGATATATGAGCCCAGTCGGTGTGGTGGGAATGCTGTGTGGTTAGCGCACTCTCACTGGAGAAGGGGCAGCTGGACGAGACAATACTACCGAATGATGTCATGCCACAGAGGTCCTCTCACTTTTCTCCCCGAGACGCTGGTCTCCCAAAATGTGAATGCCTCTAATGTGGTTCTAAGGAAAGTAATATTATTTCAAAGATTATTGGAAAAGACTGAGGTTTATGGTTTGAATGTATGAGGATAACTTGTGGGAAGACAGAGCAGTTGAGTTTTAATGGAGATGTATTAATGTGCTCACAAACCCAGACCTTCTGAATGCTGCAATACGGTATAACAGACATTTAAAAACATCCTTAAATAGTATTTATATACTGTGTAGTGGGAAATATATTGAATTGTCATTGTTCTGTCATGTGTATACTAACATCAAGAGATTCAAACTGCCAGAGTAAAACAATGTTGCCTTAGTTTTATCTTTATTTATTCATTTATTCCTATGTTTCTTTCCACAATTTACTTCTTATACTAATAAACATGAACCGGCATAGGAAAAGTAACAGAATCCCACCTCCTTCACTCAACAAACAGTTGTGGCCAAAAGTCTGAGACCACACTGATTTTTTTTTTTTCATTTAAGCGTGTAAATAAAAACAGAACGATTTAGAAGTAAAATAAAGTAGAACTTTTCAGTATTCTGCACTATTTCTATGTCACTGTTCAAATTTAAGCAAATATGTGACATTGGCCATGTTGACGCCTTTGTACAAAAAGGTCCATTGAAGCAGATGTCGAGACGACTCTCAGATGGACTTTATCTACTCATCAGAGGTTTTTGTGCAAACTTATGGAGTTGATGTCAGCTGAAGTGCACACTGTCAGTAAAGCAAAAGAGGGGCATACAAAATGTGGAAATTCATATTAAAATATCAAAGACTCATATAATTTGAAATAAAAAACGGTGTTAAATTGGAAAATAATCGAAATAGAAGCATTTTCAACAGTGCTCTCAGGCCATAGACTCAAAAAATAAACCAAATAGGTTCTTTGCCATAGAGTGCGATAGAAGAACCACCTCTGCCTGAACAAGGAACCTTTCAGTGGATGTTTTTAATTAACCATTCATGTAAATGATGTGTGTGAGTGTGAAAAACCTTTTTAGAGTTTCATAAACCTCAGCATATTGTAAAGGTTCTATACCAACCAAGTTTTTCCAATACCATTAAAAAAATGGGGTTCTTCATAGGTTCTTTAATGTCTATAAATAGGACCATGAGAACTCGGAGAACCATTTGAATGTTTAAATAATTCTTTGCACAGTTAAATTATTCTTCTCTATGGCGGACAAACTGCTATACATGAAATAAAAAAGCCTTCCTCTATTGTTATGAATCAAAGAACCTTTTTGGTACTACATAGAACCATTTTGTGAAACCATGCATTCAAACTAAAAAACATTTATTTCTTAACAGTTTAGTTCCCTCGCTGCACAAGAAATAGCTGCACAGGGCATAACATATTGTGAAGCATGTACTGGCATATGAATCACATCTTTTTCTTAGTCTATTGTTTCAAGCCAAGAGGAAAACGATTTAATAAAGCTTATTCTATGACAGACAGAAAGGAATTTATAAAAAAAAGGATACTTTTGGTACTAAAATCTGATTGGCTGAGCCACATTCTAAGTTGTAAAACTCACTGGAATGGATGACCTTTGCAGACTGTGTCTCGCTGAGCCTGGTCAGATGGGGTTTGGAATATATGGAAAAGCCTGGTGTATTGTTTAGTGAAGTGGACTGGATACAAACTGTTTCGAGTGACCCTGGTTAAGAGGCACTTAAGACGTCTGTTTAGATTTTGTAGTCTGGCAAACTTTAGTTACATGAAGTTTCTAATGTTGTGCCCAGAATGGAGAAACATCAAAGTCAAGAACATTTACAAAAACAGCCTCAACAAATGTAATTTGTTCTGGTTTATTTGAAACATGGATCACAATGACTTGAACTGTTGTTGAAAAGATTTTCTGTTTACTTGGGCTTGTCATGGGTATTGTGGTGTTTGCTGCTCGCTCTTGTCGTTTTTCAGCAGCTATTATGCACATCTTGTGTGTGTCTGTGTGTGTGTGTCTGTTTGTGTTTAGGGTAAATGATCCCCTTGTAATCACTGGATGCAATATGGCAGAGGGAAACAGTGGTCTGCTTAGGGAACAGTGCCTTGGGTGTTGTCTCCTATTGTTCACGGCTGGTGGGAATTCTCCCAAAGTCTGCTCTTGACATTTAGACTGCCTCTCCTTTTTTGTTACTGGAAGTGAATGTGTACAAGAATGCTTTCATTGTTTTGGCTTTGTGTGTTTATCTTGTTATTACTGAGATTTACTCTGTATGTGCAAACTATCAAGACACCCCTTCTGTTTAGTAGATTCAGCTACCCTTTGCTGACGCAGGCATTCATGTGCACACAGACAGCTTGTAGAATCTCCATAGGAAAGCATATTGAAAGGGGGTGCTCTGGGGCAGCCATACTTGAGGATAATGCTCAATGCCAAGTGTTGACTAAAGGGGTATAAAGCCCCTCAGCCATGGGCTGTAGAGCAGTGGAACTGTGTTCCCTGGAGTGACAGAGCTCCATCAAATACCTCTGGGATGAGTTGGAGTGGCGTTTGTGATCTAGAACTACAGCACAAACATAACCATTTTATTTGCTATACAAAATGACCAGTGAACATACATGTTTTCCGAGTGTTTATATGTTGATAATTGTATGATAGTCGGAAATCTGGGAAAAAAAGGAATTATTTCGCCCTGTGAGTTCCTCTCCACCATGAATGAATTATAGGCCAAAACTGTTGTAAAACAATGTTTCAGGCATCTGGCAGCGTATTCGTAAACATTTCATTTAAAAGCTTTCTGTGAGGTAGCTATTAGAGGCATTAAATGCTTTGGACATCTGGTTCCTATCACCACTGCTGTGAACTACTCTGGCTTGATATGTTTCACGTTTCACATCAAACCACAGTTTTGAAAAATCATTGTAATTTTCCTTTAATCTGTCTGGGAACTGAAACTCTATATTTGCTGTATTTCCACTTACAGGAAAAGTTTTTGACCGTCATATCTTGATGGATATCATTGTCATCATATGTGGTCTGACTCATTATCTAACACTAGAGCTACATCCTTACTCTAAGACTCTAAGAACCTTGATGCATTTGGGTCTCATATCCATGGAAAAGGAATTTCTCAGCAGTAAAGCGTATGCTATTACTATTATAAGTTCTGTGTTGTAAACTTAATGCTGCATATTTGAAGGAAAGGTTTTCTTGAACATGCTAATATCACCTTTGATCTGTAAACTAACAGTGCTGTGCCGCTCAGTCCCTAAATCCTCTCTCTCAAACACACTTTGCTTCAACTGAAGGGAGGCAAACCAAAAAAAAAAGAAAAAAAGACCTCCACAATAAACTCGCAATAAACCAACAATAGGCATCCCTGTGGGCCTTTCTCATTCTAATGCCTAGCCCTTCTGTGGCCTGGAGCGGAAGGCTGCCCATTGATCCTGTGAGAGTCAGGGAGATTATTGGCGGTGTAAGATGGAGTCTGAAAAGAAAGCCGGCCTTTGTTCGCTGGGGGGATCTCACACACACCGGGATCATTATTTCATTGCCGACTCTTGTTAGTCCACATTGGCACTTTTCTTTAGCTCTGCTCCCCCCCAACCCCCAACTCACCTCCCTCCTCCCTTTCCCCTACCTCCTTTGCTCTGCCTCACCGGTGGGATATCTTCCGTTAATCCCTGCAGGAATGTGGCTTCGGCTATGGAGAGGATGCCCAGTGTGTGCCCTGCAGGGCCAGCCGCTTCAAAGAGGACCGCGGCTTGCAGAAGTGCAAGCCCTGCCTGGACTGTGCCCTCCTCAACCGCTTCCAGAAGGCCAACTGCTCCAGCACCACCAACGCCGTGTGCGGCGACTGCCTGCCGGGGTGAGTCTGCCTGAGCCAACCCTCTTAAAAATAAAGGGTTCTTTGGAGCGATGGCATGGAAGAACTCTTTGTTTCTCTAAAGAACCTTTCAATGGGTAGTCTTGTAGACTCTCTTTGCAAGTGCCCTTGTGGGAAAGTCAGCTAGAATATTTTTAATTAATATAATCAAACAAAATTTTTTTCCCCTGTTAAAGATTAACTAGAACACTGTTTGCTCTCTGTATGTAAAATGGTGAGCTGCTAGTGAGCAATGAATGGTGAAAGGGGCGGAGAGGTGAGGACCCCCTGCTGTGAAAACAGACAAATACAGCTGTGCCGAAATAATGGACAGCTGCAGCTTTTTTATCGCAAAAAATAGCTAATGAAAAGCATTTAAATACATATATACATATAAAAACCCTCTTATAAATGTTGACTAGCTTGCTAACCTATGAAGATGAAAATCCATTTCTGATTTTGTAAATCATACACATTTTGATTGAAACATATTCCATAATTTTCTGAAGGAAAAGAGTGCAAAAACTCCAAAACAGCAACTCTATAATGAGCAGAAATTGCTGCTGAAAAGGGGGTTAAAGAACCACTTTTGTAAATTAGATGTGCAGGTGTGAAGACCCCAACATTTAGGAACCTCCACATAATGTAAAGATCCTATATGAGTTGAAGTTTTTTCCTGGAACCATATGTCCAAGCCAAGAACCTCTTAGGATCCTTTGTAATTAATAGTAACGGAGACTCCTGAGGTTAACATGAAGGTCAGGAAAGTAGACACTAGACTACAGGAAAGGCCCAGACATGCTGCCAATGCTGAAACATGTCTGGCCTTTGAAGACCATTTTTAAGCAGTTCATCATGGTGCAAATGTTACTTGTCACCCCAAAGCAGCAGCCCACTCTCACCTTTTAGTCACTTAATTACTTTTGATTACCCCTGATTAAGTACTTTTGCTCACTCAGTTAAACAGCTTTGGGCAAATGTTCAGAACCTCCTTTCTTCTTTTTGCAAAAGAGTATGATTTCTGCTTTTCAACAAAGATGCAGATAAATATCGTTTTGAGCTATAATGGGTAAAGATTACAGGACACATCTCATTCTACATACATTAACCCCTTAAACATAGGGGTCTGTATGTGGTACCACACTTCAGCCCTTCACTCTTTTAACTACATAACTTTCATAATAGTTTCACAGTAAATAATTGTTATTAATTACAGAATAATAGATCTTACGATTAATACCTGAATAGTCCAAGGGGGTAAATCTGGCTGAGTTTACTTTTCAGTGATTTTCACAACTTTTTTTTTTTTTTACCTCTTCTTTTGCACACCAGGTTTTACAGGAAGACAAAGTTAAGTGGATTCCAAGACATGGAGTGCATACCGTGTGGAGATCCACCACCGCCTTATGAGCCTCATTGTAAGTACTCTCATGTGAATAGAAATTTATAAAAGTCCCAGCTGTTTTGGATGATGGTCGACTCATGGTATCGTCCAACTGAACAAGCGATTGTCTCAGTGTCCCAAAACATAAACCATCAAGGAGTATGAGGAATATAATTTTTTATACGGAATAAGGGAAGCATCTCGGTCAGTCAGTCTTATTGGTTCAGCCAGCAGTGTTTTACAAGCAAATAAATGCCTCATTTTACAAGCCAAGACATACAGGAAAAATTGATTTGAAGGCTGCCAGCATGATTGTTAATCATAGCAGAACTGAGGCTGCACTGCTAGACATGTCCTTTTTTTATTTGCTAAATGGATTTTCGAGTGCATGTTTATAAATTGAATAAATTGGTTTTAGTGTACTTGTTTACATCTTATATTCATTTAGGGTTGTAGAACTCTGTGTGTAATTAGCTAGCTGTGTGTTATGAGCCAAAAAGTTTAAAGGAAAAACAGCTGCAGTCTTGTAATATCTCGATTTTTTTTTTTAAACCAATGCAATACATGTGCAGTTCTATAGCTGTTAAAATCAAAATGTACAGTTCCATGTTTAACTGTGTCTGTTCATTTGCCGTGCTGTTCTTTGGCAGGCTGTGGCTCTAATGAGTCTCATTTTACCCACGACTGAGTAGCATTGTGGAACGTTGTGTCTTTAGGCGCTTAACATATGGCAGCGTAGTGCTAAGCTAAACTACTCATAATCGAGTGTGACTTCCTGAAGGCTGCGGAGCGAGCAGCTGCTTCTTGTGAAGATTTTGGCAGTGTGTGATAGAGAAGGTTTGAGCCAGGTTTAGAACGCCTTGCTCAGATGCACAGGATAACCTTTTAGGCATAGCACAAAGCCTGACCCTCGGATGTGAAGTGTTTTAACTTATAACTCTTAAAACTGTAAGCCTCATCTCATGTAACACCTTATGAATCTGTGTTGTGCGAACAAAGGTCGGTAGATAAGTTTAACAGGGCTTTCACTGTTGATGTTAAGAATTGAGTGATGTACAGATTGTTTGGAATGAGTAATCAAGTAATCAGAGTAAAATGATAAAAATGGACCTAACTGAACAATAAAAAAAACATGCTGTATGTTACTGTGCAAAAGTCAGAGACCACTCAAAATGGGCATTAAGCACAAGTTATTCATTTTTTCGGCATTAGGAAAAAAACAAAAAAACGTGTAGTAGAACATAAATAGAAGCCTCAACAACTAAATGTAACTTAATACAAACTTTTGTCCACGCTTTGCCTTTATCACAGCTTCTGTTCTTATCAGAGGACTTAACCTTTTTAAAGAAATCTGCAGGGATATTTTTCCACACATCCAAAGTTCAGTTTTAGAAGTTGGTTGCATTTTCTGCTTTAGACAATCCAAGTACCCTCAAACACATTCAGTGAGATCAAGGTCTGGACTCTGGGTTGGTCAGTCCATTGTTCTGAGAACACCAGGAGCTTCTTTCTTTGATTTTCAATTTTTTTTCTCAGTAACAGCTTCTTGACAGCTACACATCCTTTCAGACTCATAGTGTTGAGTTGTCTTCTCACAGTGGAAGGTGGACACAAACACCTGTGGATTTTTTTTAGACCCGAAGCAAGGGTAGAGCTTGATTTTCTCCTTTTAATCAAATCTGAAAGCTTTAAGTGCTGTTTATGTGATGGTGACAGTTTTGGTGTCTACCAGTTTTGGTCTACCAGGTCTTGTACGGTTGCTAGGAGTCACGTTTTCTCTATTTTAATCATTTTTAAAAAAAAATTTTTTCTTGTTTTGGAAACTTTTTTCACTTATTTTCTTTTGACTTTCTCCTTACTGAAACAAGTACATTGTTTTATATGTAATCTTCTCGAAATTACCTCCTAAAAATGAAAAAAATCTATATAATTTAAAGGTCATATTGACACTATGTGGCAAAAAGAGCATATTAATGGGTGTGTCCATCAGGTGTTTATTAGGAGGTTTTAAAATGTAGATTTTCATCATACAAACTGGGAACCAATCAAGAAGGTAAATTGTATTCATAATAAAATTATAAATAAATATAATATATAATATAAAATACTCAAGGAAACACACTGATATCCTCTTCATTGTGTTCTTTTGACACACATTGTAATATGTGTTTGTCTTCAAATATACAAATGCAAGATCAACTTCTGTTCGAAGACCTGGACTCCTAGTTTTCATCTCAGTCTCTACTGAAAACAGAATGTTCCTTTGTACCTTGAGCTTAAAGCCGTCGTCCCCACAAAACCCATTGAGAAGGTTTGAAAAGACCCTCCTCATTCTTCTTCGTCTCTGCTATCCGACGGAGGGTGGTGAAAACTTAAAGGCCAAATCATTTTAATAGCCCTGCACTGGCCTGGGGCTAGCCCACAGCTGTGCGAGGAGGCCAGTCCTCAGAGAAGACCATAAATCTGAACCCCCGTCGTCAGAGCAGGGGGCGGAGAGAGGCATTTTATGGATTCCTCTGGCCGGTTTAATGTAATTCATCTGCTGTTGTCTCTTCTTGTCATGGGAGAACTCTAAATATTTGGCAAGGCTCCTCTCCAGCTGTCCCGTCTAACCATTTGCACTGATGTTAAGCCAGTTTATGAAACAGTCACATGAGACCAGGGTGACTGAGTTGATAATAGGTGCGTGTAATGAAAGTTGGCATTAATGCGCCTGAAAACGATTTTGAAGTTTTTGAGCTCTTTTCAGGCTATGATATACTACCACAGGACCACGCCTTACAAAATGTCCCTTTAACTAACATTACTTACTGAATTTGTTAACATGAAGAAAGTGAAACTTCAGCATTAATAAAGCAAATAATGTTCAAGTAACTGACACTTGTATTAATTGATTAGTTTAAATGTTATCATGTTATCTAAATATTGAATGCCTGTGTTAGTTCAAGGGAACAAACTATGCACTTTAACATTAAAAAGCCCTAAATTAAGGATTAGGATTGGGATTATGTCTAGTACAATTCTACAAATTGTAACTTATTTTTTGCTATGAATGGAATAAACATTAGTTAATTCAGGTGTTCATTATGAAGTTAACATGAAAACAAACATCAGTTGATACAAATGTCAGTTAGTTTGGTAACATTACTTGTGACTTATTAATGCTGATGTTCCTGATTTGTTAAAGAGCCCATACAATGGAAAAAAACACTTTTTTAATAAAAGAGGTAATGAAGTATGTAAACATTATTAAAATTCCAGAAAATTTCATTCACTACACGGTTCAAATGGTTCATAAATTAAGCTGCAAAACAGCGCATTTTGAATTCACTCTTTTTGTGATTTCATAAAAACCCACATTTTTAAATACAGCTGCCTATTCATCCTACAGCCCTGCCCTTTCATGCTGAAGTTACAAGGACTGATTTTTGAATGAGGCCCAATATGGGGCAGCCAGTAAGAATTGAGGTAATTTACAAATATGATTCTCAAAGATGCGGAAACACAAACAGCCTGTCTAATTCTAATGGACAAACAGAGATTGAAAAATGGACATGTAAAAATAAAATATGACAGTTTGTGGTGTATGAACCCACAATACCATTGTAATTAGACCTCAGGAAAATAAGAGAAAAATATAAGCCTGTTAATGTAAACTGGGGGACTGTAATGTAAAGCTTTACCTACATAGCTTCTTAATTCAAGCAAAAGCTGCATGGTTTAGAGGAGGCTTTTCCCAATCCCATTCCTAGAACACCCCGTACAAGAGTTTAGTGCTCTTCATGCTCTAACACACCTGATTTAGCTCATGAAAGGCCTGATAGCTGAGTTCAATCGGGTGTATTAGAGCATGAACAGCATTGCACTGTGCAGTGGGGAGGCGCTTAGGACTGGAAATAGGAAACACAGTCATGGATGGAAACTTTTCCATTTTTGTTCATATTTGCTACATCTTTGGCCCATTTAAATGGAATCCAGCAGGTTTCACAGAGACTAAATGTGCTCTCATTTTTAATAGCACTTCACCAAGAATCAGTCATGGTTCAACTGAAATGTGCAAACTCACAGTCTGAACTCAGGGATGGATCATGGTCTTGTGGTGCCCCTGAGCACAAGAATCTTTGGAGGCCTCCCACACTCCTAGAGTAAAGCGCAAACAACAACCAAAAATGAGATCAAACAATATTTCATGTTTATGTGCACATTGAGCAATACTGGAAATAGCAATTTAACTTTTCTTTTGAAAATAAAATAAATTAGCCTTTTCAATGCACAATATCCTATTGTTTCTGTCATAACAATTTGTGCTTTTTCTGTGAGATTTGAATCGAATCATTGAAGGGTAACCACTAGCTATCAGACACTGTCTAAAGCATCCTATTTGAATAGCGACAGCAACATCTCGTTAGACAATAACAAAAGTTGAGGGACCTGGGAACAGATGACCTTTTTTCGTGTTTTCATTTATTTAGTCATTTGTACATAAAGGCTATTCGTCTGTGTAATGTTTACATCTCCAGTGATGATTTCAACTATTTGAGCCACCTCAGTCCTTGTAGTTTACGGCCCTGTGAGACCCCTGACAGTCAGGAGCTCCTGGGCACTGGCCTTAACAGCTCGCTTAGTAATCCATTGCTACCAGAAGTTCATCTAGCCATTAAGGCCATTCTGCGTTCACTTCTGTTTGGTAACAAACAATTACCACAATAACAGTTGCAAATGTGAGAATTTAAAATATTTTGGAGCATTTCTCTTTGTCCATTCATTATGAAATGTTCACATTATGTAAAGGGCAGCTGGCATTTTCAAATGGTATCAAAAAGTTGTTTTTTTTTTTTTTCATATGACAGCAACTTTTTCATATGACAAGATCTATATTTAACCAATCGTTTGCAATAGTTTGCACATCCTGGTCAAGTTAAATGTTCAGTTGATTTTCTTATTAAAGATAACACGTCCACTACAAGGAACCAACTTAAATATGGAATTTTTTCTGTACACTTTAGTGCACAGTTACTTTTATTTGCTGAATATAACACTTTGGAAACAATACAGCATAAAATGTAAAAGGTGCCTTACATTTTGCATTGTTTTTTAGGTTTTATTTTTCCCAGTGTGTTAAACTCAGCAGTAATTGTTGATTAAAATGTTTGTTCTCTTTAGAGGATGTGTTAACTTATTTTCACTCAGATAATCAACAAAATTCATTTGACCAAGGGCGCCCATACCTTTGCCTACGACTCCATTGTATATACAGCTATTTTGTATGGAGTAGTTGCTCAGGGATGGTTTGGCCATTAGTAAGCATTAGAGTGTCTTAGCTATTATCACTGTCCAGCCTGTGGTCGTGTGAGCCTCATGTCCGTGTGTTTGAGTTTTGGCATTCTCCAAAGTCAGCAAGCACAGCGCACATTTCAAAAGGAGCAGTCTGTTGGCATTGGGGGCGGCTGATAAGATCAACAGGTGAGATCTCTTCAATGGGCCGGCCTTTGTCTGTGTTTGCTGCAGCTGTGGGGAGCTGATAACACAGGGAACGCTTTGGTTTTGAAAAGAGAGAGAGAGAGAGAGAGAGAGAGAGAGAGAGAGAGAGAGAGAGAGAGAAAAAGGGGGGAGGGAGGGCAGCACAGCTGGGGCACATTTGCTGGCACTGAGACGCAGCAGCTTATGCAGAGGCTGCTAGCATGCTGCTTTAATAAGCAAATGCTTAGGTAACAGGCAGAGAATTCCTATGGCAGCATGAGAATGAAAGGTTTTGATATTCTCCCCCAGTTTGTCTATCATGCTTTTTCTTTTCATGTCCATAATCATCTTTTTTTTTCTTTTTCTTTTTTTTGTGATGCCATTGTCTTTCACACACAGAGGCTTTCTAACAGAAACATCTAAACTCATTTATGAGAGATAACTGAGTCAGGTTTTAATTTACCCAGAATTGAAAATCACTATTCACTATCTAACAGCTTTATTGACTAAATATGTTTCATGTTTTTAGCATGACCATGTGTTTTCTAATTAGGCTTGTCATGATCATGAAATTTTGGCTGACAACTAATTGTCATGTAAATAATTATGATTAATGGTGTTTGTTCATTTAATGCAACCATTACATTACAAGCCTAAAATGGGCAAATTGGCTGATCAGCTATCTTGCTTTCTGACTATCGTCATTAGTGGCTTATACTAGGTTGTACTGATATGAAATTATGTATTGTGCTGTTGTGTATGCTTACACTCTGAAAAGTGTCTACAGTTACACGAAATCACATGTAGAGTCAAGCAAAGATTACATTTTTGTGAAAATGTGAGCAAAAAACATCATTCTGTAAGCACACATGCAAAAAAACATTACTCGGCTCTGCCTTCTAAAGGAAGTGTGAATTTTTGTTGCTATTGTAAGACTCATGACGTGTATCTGTAAATGTACTTACTGCTTTTTTTATTTACATTTATTTTGCACAAACCAACATACCGAATTCACATTCTGCTTATCGTGACCTAATATTTGAAAGGGATTGCAGGCAGCTTAAATAAGTGTGTTCAGGCGATTATGTAGTAATTGTGACTGGCCCATCTCTTATTAATGCTTCCTTTGTGAGTATGTCATAATGGAACATAAACATAGCTTAAAAACAATCTCAGCACTGTTAAATCCCCCAGTATAGCAATTTAGATTATTCAAAGACTTAAAATGTTGCAAGTCATTTTCCTCTCCATTTAAAAAAAAAAAAGTATATAGATTATTTCTTTATTTCTTTCAACTCAGATTTTCTGAAAAAATACTGTTTCTCCATTGTATTATTTTGAAGGGATCATGTAATGTTTACATTGTCCTACTCAGAGGGTTTGAATTTGCAAAGGCCAAGCCCAAATTTACTCAGTGATTAATGTGCTGAAGAACAAACACAGAATGCTTGCGTGCATGCATTGAAAAAGGCCTTAAATAAATAATTGGTTCATATTTAACTTCATTAGATCGCAATAATACTTTGACACAAAGCAACTTCAAAAGCCTTTATCTTTCTCTATAAACTGCATTGTTTGTGTTTTAAGACACAGAGGGTGGATAAAACGCTGGAAACACCACATGAAAGGGGAGGCCGTATTCTGAAGTGGCTAAAAATTGTCTTATCAGTTTCTCATATAAACAAATTTTGAAAGAACACATCAAAAGGTGATGAGTTGTGTGTTTAAACTGCAGGTGTGCAAGTCACACAAACATAAAGTGTATTTAAAGGTGCACAAAGCATCCAAAATGATCAGTCTCAGGAAAGAGGAGCAATGGCAGAAAGTTAGACTTCATTGAGAGCTCTATGAAGACACTTAAAGGGGATTGCTGCCTTTTGACAGGCATTTTTCTCATCAAGCCAAAAGACATTGTCAGCTTTCAGGTGACCAATATGGTAATACTGTTATAGTCTATGTTCCTTAAAGACTGGTCCAGTTTCCCATTAGGAATTATATATATATATATATATATATATATATATATATATATATATATACATATATATATATATGTATATGTTTTTCTGCACCTCCTGCGTATATAGCAGCTTGGTGAAGGCATAGCTTACAGTTAATCAAAACATACAGGCCCGAATAGCCTGGTGTGGTCAGTCTAAACTGGTTTCCTGGACATCAGATAAGCCTAGGATTGGACTAAATTGTAATACCAAAAATCAAATCAGTAAGCTTCAGATTTCATATTGTCTATATTATGAATATGATAGACTCTCAGTATTAACTTGCACTGTGGTTGAACAAGCATTTGCTTACTTTAAAATGTCACTCTGTTAATACGACAATCTGGGCAAAATGAACATTTTTAACCATAGCTGCATCTGTTTTAAACAAGTCTACTTGGTGCTGAGTGAGATTTCCTGGTTAAAAGACTAGAAAACCCCTTCTAATGATGTATCTTGAAGGTGGGAGGAGCTATTGATAAACTACAACTGCTTTAGTGTGGATTTTTTTTTCTGTTAGCTGGTGAATGCAGAAGAAAGCCAGATATCTAACATTACTACAAAGAAGCCGAATATCTTATTGCAGCTGTGGAAATGCAGTAGCTGTTCTCCCATCATCATTACAATGGATTACAAATGAATTACAGGAAATGGATGACTGAAATGCAGCTTCATATAAGGAGGATGACAAGCTAAAAACTAAAGTTTGAAAGATAAAGTAGTTTGACTTATTTTCTCTGGCTGAAAGGGTAAAAAATGGTCTTTTCCTTTATGATTTTAGTTTGATGACTGAGGTAAGGGTTATACTAATGCAGGCTTGGTTGTTAGGCCATAGCTCAGTGGCTAGGTTAGCAGTGGGATTGTTGTATGAGAGAATGTTGATGAATGAAATATAAAAACCTGAATTCTGTCACTGATGAGGCTGCACTATAGAATACTGCATAACACAACAAATAACATTAACTTCATTTTAGGCCAGAATGCTCCTTTAAAAATGTACTCATTTTATTGCTGTCAGTAAATGTCGGTACAAACAACGATTTTGAGGAAGTGGCAGGATCTTATCAAGTTTGTGGTCTCATGCTGGCATGTCTGTTTTCCTGATAACCGTAAATACTCAGGGATGTTGCTGCACTGGAGAAATTTTCTTCAAAAGAGGCTAATCTAAAATCTCTTGAGCTGAAACTGCTGCACACGAGGCTTTTCGATGTTGACTTACTAAGTGGATCTTTTTAGAATATTTGAGGGGAATATACTGCTATAAATGGTCCAGCCTGGCTGAAAAAGACTTATTGCCAAAGAGGTAACTCTTGTAATGCAGATGTTGTTTCCCAGGTTCTCTCAGAATAATGAGATACATGGGGGTGGGGGGTGGGGGGATGGGGGGGGTTAGTTAGTGGCAGCTGTTTTCTCAGGTTCTACGTATATTCCCTAGGCCTGCCTCAAACGACCAGCCCTGCCTGATCCTAAGCTTGATCAGACGCTTAATAACAGAGTCGTCAGACTGGCATGTAAAGGCCCGACTGCCCTGGGGTTAGGGGTGAAAACTCATCTGCAGCTTGAGAATGCTCACCCCCAGCTCCCACCCCTCAGCCTGAGGGCATTCTCGCTTTGAACTCTGCCGTTTCCACTGGAACATTCTTGCCTGTTGCTATGGAGAACTCAAAATGGGTTGATATGCTGTTAGTCAGACACAGTTGGTCAACATGAACTGAGACTGCTGTATTTCAGATGTTTACTTAATAGACTTAATAGATCTTGAACACAAGAAAGATGTCCTGCATCTTATTCTGCTGTAACAAAAGCGATATTGAGGTTGCTCAAGAATGAAATTTTGATTGTTAGCTCTGTTGATGACTTCATTCCACACAATACCATCTGTACCATCAAAAGAGCACAGTAATGACTTTATGAAGATACTGAACCAACATAACAAACCAAAAAAAGATGTAAACTGCTTGTTTTTCTATGACGCAACCAAGCATGTTTGTTTTTTTTTTTAGCTTAAAAGGAATTTGCAAAGCTGAAAACCTCCTTTTTTTCTGCTGTCCTTCAGGCAGTGGGCGTGTGAATCTGGTGCCCATCCCCTCAACAGTAACCAGCCCCAGAGACATGGCCTTGGCTGCAGTTATCTGCAGTGCCCTGGCCACTGTCCTGCTAGCTCTGCTAATCTTGTGTGTCATCTACTGCAAGAGGCAGCTCCTGGAGAAAAAGCCTGGTAATTATCATTAACACCACTTGGCAAGACACCACTGAATGTGTTTATAAAGGTTCTCACATACCGAAAACTTGGGATTTAAGCAGAAATGAAGATATTTTCATTATTGACAGAACTAAATGCTACAGTTTAAAGCTACAGTCCTCAATCGCTTTAAAAGTAGTGATTTGTCAGATTTGTTTAATGAAATATCGCAGCATTACTGAGGTCTCAAGACGGTCCCTTCACTGGAGCAGAGCTGTCTTGTTTGGATCGGCGGCGAGTTCTGGAGTTTTCCCAGCGGCCCTGCTGCCACTGTCACCACATGCCTGGGCATACTTGTGGTGAGTTCCAACGATGTACTGAGTATCAGTCCAAACATCTTGTGTATGGCTATTGTATCGAACAATGATTTCATTCTTTGATACTGATGTTGGTTAGCAGGTCCTGTGCACCTGATTCCCTCTCTGTGCTGTGAAGACACATGCAGTCAAGGCCACGCTCAAGACAACAGCCCCTTTCAGTCTCAAAGCAGTCTCAATGAGAGGTAAGAAGGTACCAGAACCAACCATGCACAGCATGCAATGGCTGTCAGATAATTAGCTTGTCTGATAAAATAGCAGCTGCTTAGAAAAGCTTTTTTGAAAGGTTACAACAATGGAACTTATGACATTTCTATGATCTCCACAAAAATACTATGCTAGCTTTTTTTGTGGCATAATATCAGTTCTAGGGACAAATAGAATTTGTCATTGACCAGCTATTGCCATTGATAAAAAAGCATGTGGTAATTTTACATTATTTTCTTACTAGTAGGTCATTTAATTCTTAATTAATTCTTAATTCTTTGGAAAGTGCAGATTCTAAACATTTAACTGATACCATATTTGTGTGTTAGTAGAATAGGAAATATTTTTTTTCTTATTTAGATTAGATGAAATTATGTTTTGTGGGAACACCATTCTTTACATTTTTGATGTTTTTTTTTTGTTGTTATTTAACAAAAACATCAGAAGTGCAGACTTGAACTAGTCAATACAGGTAATTACACTGAAATAGCATAGCAAACCGATAATAGATCTAGACCTCTTAGGGTTAACCAGATTCTCTGTACGAGACAGTCTAGCTGTCCATCCTTCTGACTCATTCTGTCCCCAGACTGCTAACAGGTGCTACAGTCAAAATACATTCTCCCTTCAGCAAACGCATGCTTTTCGTTTCAACCCCAGACATGTAAACCCATCAGTGAGGAGCAGCCAGGGTGATCTGGGACAGGCTCCAGATCCTCTTCTTGCTGAATTCTCTGAGGCATTGCCGCTCATGGACGCTGCAGAGAGCAGAAACCATGCGTCCTGCAGTTCACAGCCCACAAAGAGCAGCAGCTCATGCTCGTTGGAGGAGGAGGAGGAAGAGAACAAGCAAGTGGAACACAGCTACAGTTTGGTCTCAACCAAGCCCACTTCAGAAGTTCTACAAGATGGATGTAGCTTGTCAGAGACCTCGCTCCTGTCACAGCAACATCCGTCTACATTGGAAGGTAAAGTAGCATAATCCACAAAAACGGCCTTCTTCAGTCTTGCATGGCCACTTACCAACAGACCATCATGTGTTTTTCCAGTTAGTATCAAATTATTCCTTAATTGACTGTTCACAAGTTTGGAGTCCAGCCTTCCTTAGTAGTTCCTGCGTCTGTCAACCTTTCAGTACAGACAACCTTGTAACAACTGCAGCACTTGTAATAACAGACTGAAAAGGAACATTTTGAATTGCACAGATGAGTACATTGATGTTCAGTGCAGACATACGGTTGTGTGCAAAAGTTTGGGTGCTATTGGTCAAATTTTAGTTTGGTCTTCCCCACAGATTAATCCAAAACTTTTTCAGCTTCAGGAATAAAATAAACACATCACTACACTCCACATGGTCAGGACAGAGTATGTCAGGTATTAGACATTCCTCAGTAGCACCTTTCAACCCTACCTAGCTCTCTAATAATTCAGACTAATTTACTGCTATCGCTATTTGGGTTAGTAGTAGTTGCGTAGTTTGACGACCTTGCAAACGGTCAATTTAATCTATTTTGGGTGACCTCATGCGAACCGACAACATTAGTTTTCATTCATCGTTAGCCGTGTTAACACTGCTTGTTTGGAGTGTCCTCTATGCTCATTTAAAGCAAGAGTGCTGAATGGCAATGTAAGAGCCAAAGCAAAGCAGAGCAGTAGACAAACAGAGCTTAGGCAGTTTCAACAAAGCACCTTTGGAGAAAAGCAGAACATCAAAGGAACAAATGATTCAGTTCCTTCCAAAACATAAAAGGACATCTCGACTATGTTAAACACCTCAGTAGTGTCAAAAGCATGTTTTGTCATGCGTTACTTCGGTGACCTGGAAAATGCTACCAAAATGGTTACTTATTAGACTTAAAGAACTAGCATACATTTGTTTCTCTTTTTTTGGATCCTTCAATACTATCAAGAGTATAGCTCGATGAACTGAATTTCCCTAAGACAGCAGAAATATATTATACCATACCAAACAGTACTGCCAATTTATAGAGGCAGTAATTTAAAAAAAAGCTACTGTTTGTCTCTTAAGTGGTACCTTTGTTAACAAGTAATCCTCATTCTTCTTCATTGGCTTCCGCTCTCCCTGTCTAGGATGACCTGGCCTTATCTAGCTCGTGTTTGTCCTTAAGAACGGCTCTGGAAGTGAAAAGCACTGGGGAAGATCCCAGCTCAGATTACAGGAGGCCACACACATACTCTGAAGACCAGGTGACGTGCTATTACCTCCAGCCAGCCTGTGGCCTCCAGTTATCCTGCCCAAATCAGGACAGACTCTGTAAATAAACATAAGCATGATCTGTACAGAAAAGAAGAAGACAAAACTAAAGCAGGCTGAGGAGAAAAAGCTTGTGCAATGCAGTGTTGAGCTGGCAGGCACTTGTGATGAGTGCCACTTCCGGTGATGAAGCTGAACCGGAAATTATGGATTTCTGTTTTTGCAAGCATGGCGCAGAACTGAAAGAAAGAAGAATTGAGAAATGCACACTATTGGAGCTTTTCTGGGTGGGAAAGTAGTCATTTTTGAAGATATCTAAACTGCTATGTGTTGCTCAAATGCACCCAATGTGTATTGCAATGTTATAATTAGAGCACAGGTACTTTTCTTTGGCAACAACACCTGAACTGTCCAGTCTAGACTGGGGTGCTGGATCAATCCTGGTCCTGGAGGATATACCACCCTGGAGAGTTCAGATCCAGCACACATGGCTCTAATATTCAGATGCTCCTGAAGTCCTCCATTACCTGGGTCAGTTGTGTTAGATTAGGGCTGGAGCTGAACTCTGCAGGGTGGTACATCTCCAGGACCAGGATTGGGCACCCCTAGTCTAGATGAATCTACACATGGTCGAGATTATTCCATGTGTGATTTCTTGTTTGTTGCTGTGTAGATACTGTATTATAGGAAATTGAAGGACAATATTTTTATAATGTAGATAATACATGGCCACTCACTTTTCGTAATTATAGTTGATGAGCACTTGCTTCTTCTTGTGTATAAACTTTATTGCTCTCCACTTGTAAATAAACTATAAAGAATATGACAAGGACTTGTTATTGAACTCAACAAGACTCACAGTATTTTTGGAACAAGAACCTGAATTGCAGTGGCTCCTTGTCCAATGCACAATAATTAAAACATACTTCATGTTGTTACAGTCTGCAGCAGCTTTGTCTGCTGTTTTCATCTAAAGTTTCTGATGGAAATACCCAGGAAAAATATAAAATCCATAATATGTGCTTCCTAACCATCAAGGCAGTTTGGAGGAATTTAGCCAACATTCCACAGCTACTCTGTAGTTGGAAAAAACAAGCTAGCATGGAATTTGCGGTCACATGTCTTCGTGGCTTTGGGTTAAGGTAGCGGCAGATATCAAAAAGATGCAAGAATCTCAAGGATCAGCTCGAGGACTGATATTAAACACGGATTAAAACTCAAGAAATTGACAATGATCTGTGAGTTGTGGAATGCTCCTTTAAGAAAACACTGACTTGCATCAGGCATGGAAACAAAAGGGCACTGAGCTTTCGCAAACAGACTGTAGCAGTCCAACAAGTACAAAACCTCCAGTTCGACACAATGTGAACATCTGAAGTTCTGAATGAAGTTCAAGAGTTCCTGATTTGCATACACATTATTCTTATGCTGTAAATACAATTTATTGTTTTAACTTAAAAAAGTACCCTGGCAACTTTTAGTAAACAAAATTATAACCAGTGTGTTCTACTCTGTAGACATTTCAATAATATTTCAATTTTATGGCAGCCAGGTTACTTTTTTTTCAGTGTACATAAATTAACAAAACACAAAAAATGACTTCATGCAAAGTTTGCACCCTACATTGTTTGTAAAAGAATGAGGTATAATTAGTGCATACTATGAGCGTCACAAGAAATACGTACAGCAGCCCAATGAAGGCCAGACAGTCTGTAGCTGCTCCAGCCACACAGACCAACACCTGATCCCACTTGTTAGATTGTTATAAGGAAAGTTCATTACTACAGCAGGTGGTGATATGCAATGTTGACACTGTTGCTGACCGAGTCTTCCGTTATAAAAGACGGAGGCTTCGGGACTTTGAGGGTCGTTTAACCCTCAGAGTCCATGATAAAGGTCTCAAAGTCCGGGTCTAGATCAGAGACTAAGGCATCAACAAAATCCTCTGTGGATGGTCTTTTCTGCAACATGCCTGCACAATAAAAAAACAAAAAAAAACAAAAGAGAGAGAGAAAGATTAAAGACAGAAATAACCCTGCCAGTATAGCTGCTATTAGGGCTCTGACAACTCAACTGCACAAAAATAAATAAATAAATACATAAATCTCCCTCTCTATGAAAAGATTACACAGCAGTTTAGTTTGCTTGATGAGAATGTGACAATATGTATTTTAAAGTCTCTTACTGGTCTCTTAGACATAAAAAAACAGGGCCTGAATGAACACATTCATTTACATTTAAAATGTTTTGTTCCAAAACGCACGATAGACTGCTTTGAAGAATATATATTTTTTCCCATGATATACACGCTATTGTTGGGAGTGGGCTTTGCACATATAGGAAATATTGATTAAGACCATCTTTATTAGAGAAATAAAAATGTGTTTTCCATTATCAATCCTGTTACATTCAAAAATAAATAATAAAAAAAATATTATATATATATATATATATATATATATATATATATATATATATATATATATATATATATATTTCTCATTCATAATTGTTGCAAAGGGATATACAGCATTGTGGAGTTTAACACTTCATATACAGTCTTGTGCAAACATTTGGGTGCCCTTTGTCAAAGCATGTGTTTTGTTGATTTTCTAAGTGGAAATAAGTTAATGTATTCTCTACAGAGAACAAATTAACACATATTTCATGCACAATCATTGTAAAATTACTGCTTTCTTACTGAATGTAACATTGGAAAAATTTTAAGCACAAAATGTGGCCTGTGCTAAAGATATGGCAGATTTTATATTTTATGTTGTATTTTTTCAAAGGTCTTAAACTCAGCTGATAAACAGAGATCATCCACTAAAACTTAATGCATTAATACACACACTGTGCATCATACTCCAGCACAAGTTTTAAGTTTTCAAAAAAAGGAGAAAACATATTTAATATTTAATGTGTCCACCCTTGGCCTTTTTACAGCTTCCATTTATTTTAGGAAACTTGCTTTCAGTTTTTCAAATAAATCTATATTTCAAAGAAAGAGGAAAAAGTATTGAGAGATTATTGCTTAAATAGCAAAACTAATTGTGTTTATTATAAAAATCCCTATTCTATATTATAAATCCTTTGATTATAACCATAATAATACTCAAAAACATTATGATGAATTCTGCAGTACTACAGAGCAAACTGAAAACAAGTACATGGAAAAGAACAAACAAAATCGCCAAAAGAGAACTGTATGAATTCAGTATGCTCTCTTTCTCTCACACACACCTGCTAACCTGCCCCCTCACTGGCGAGCAGAGAGATTCTCTGTTTCAGTCAGAGTCAGTGAGTGTTGCCTCCTGAACTGTGTGTGCACTCATTTTACAATTCCACTGCTCTCACGCTTTGAAGTCTGCTCATTTCCCCTTGTAGTGTTGCCAATGTAAATAGGCCCTCCTCCCCACCCCCTCTTTCCTGCATGGGTCACCTCCACACACACACACACACACACACACAAAGCCCACATGCAGAGACACAGACTGTTAAAGACACCAACAATAACCAGCTCTTATGAAGAATCACTACCATAAAAAAGAAAAAGCATCCACAATAGTGAGGTTTTAGACTCATTCACGGACGTTTTGTGCATGGTTTAGTTTTACATGGATCCAAACCTGACTGCCACACTTTTCCATTAAAGGATCCAAATCCAACATTTTCTTTGTATTTTATTTTTTTTTACTTATGCATTTGTATTGCATTTTTGTTTATGTATCAAAGACAGTAATTATTAATTTTAACATGGCCCTTTTTTATCCCCTATAATTAAACAGACTGCTTTTGATATATGTAAAATTACCTCTGTTCTGATTGGCTGCCCTGTATTGTCTAATTTTTCATCACAAAATCAATGAGTTCATGACGGGCTGTGCTTGCATATTAATTTCCATATGCAGATAGTATCGAATGGGGAGTGAAAGATACTTTACTGAAGCTTTACTAATGTTTATATACTGCACCAAACTCTTTTTTAAAAAGGAAAAATGTGGTTTTCCATTAAATAGGCCTTTCAAACTCTCCTGACAAAAAAACAAAACAAAAAAACACACACAAAAACAGCTCTTTCTACCAAAAAGAGGAATAAATATAAATTAAATATCTACTACATATCTTGCGAAAAACATTCTTATTCAGAAGAGCATGTATACATGCTCCTTTCCACATAAAGGCAATACTAATCAAATAACTAGGTAATAACAGTTAATGTCACTGAGATGAATTTTGGAGTTTGAGGGGATTTTGGTGTGATGTAGAGGGCCATAGACAGGCTCATGTAGCAGTTCAATAGTGTCAGCTTTGGTCACACCTTACCCTGGGGCAACTGACTGACAGATGCATGCACGCACACACACACGCAGTCCTGACCTGTATTACACACAGCGCACAAATGCAGAAAGAACAGGCCAATAATGTTACCTAACTTTAAGTCTGTAATGATAATACACATTAAAACACATTCAGCATGCAGTTGACCCACTGTATGCTGTTCTTGCAAAGTAACACATCGCTTTCTAGTCTTATAATATAATAATCAGTGCAATGTTGAGCACATCCTTTAATCTGTGGGTGGATCTGGATTAACTGACCTGTATTCTGAGGCTTCTTGTCTCCTGCGTCATCATCACTTTCTATAATAACTGCAATTTCCTGACATGCTCCAAAGGGAATCTGCAGCCCAGCAGAATCTGCTCTCTCTTTTTAGACAACAGTTGTCCCACTAAAAGCCTTCTTAAATGCCAGAATAAAACCTAATGATAAATCTACTGCTTAAATCTATCTATCTATCTATTGCTATTGTTGTCAAAGACTACAATTTCTAAAAAGAAACATGTCCAAATTGGACATTTGGAGCATTGTCCAATTTTGGAGCATTTCTATTGGTCCAACAGAAAGTTTCACACAATTTAAATGGAGGTTGATATTCTCAAATGATGTAGGAAAAAAAATGCATAACATTTAATATGACTGCAACAATATGCTAAATTAATTCAAAGTACCAAGACAGGGCTAAAATAAATACAATTTTGCAAATAACATAATTAAAAAATGTTTTGAAAACCCACTATGCACAGCTCTAGGTTGAACAAAAAGTACAAAAAACAGACTAGATTAATTTTCAAATGTAATTTGGCAAGCGCTTCCTACATTACACTGAATATTTATTTATTTACAGGCAGAGGAGGAAGATGCCTATCTCTGTGATTGGTCCAAGGCTCGACAGCTCTGAGCTTAATGATGACTCTTGGGGCACAATCTTACTATGAAACAACATCAAAGTGTGAGCGAGACCCAGCTCTCCTCCATTAATCCCCATGAAATGGCACTGTATCACTCCTGCAGGATCTGCCACACCTTGAGGTTCTCCCAGCCTAGACTGTGGGTTAGCTGGGCACAGTCAGGCATGGTATAACATGACTAAAGTTGTCCTGCTTTGACTTTGTAAACTGCACAAAAGGAGGTTTTGATTAAAGGTACACCACCACAAAGTGGCGACCTGGTCATTCAATACACTGTAAAGCTCAAACAGGTGGTTGAAGGTGGTATTACTCACATTCAAAGCTATAGATACAACATCTAATAATCACACCTTGAAGAAACGTTTTGAAGCTCCTGTTGTTTACACTACTATTACAAACATTGTGAATGGGCTAATGATGGGTTAAAGATCATCACTCCCAGTGGCCTCTGTACTGGCTTCTTAAATACTACTTGGACTTCAATGTGTTGACTGTCTTGTACATACATAAGCCCCAGCTACCTCCCTGCAGCTGAAAAGATTTTCTGGTTACTCCACTGCTTTTTAGGCTTGCTCGTATTTATGACCATTTGAAACATGTCAAGAATTGTAAGTAATAACTTCAGGTTCAACCTTAAGGCAAACTACTTCATCATAGCCGCTATAATTATGATTCAGAGGCAAACAAGCCTCAAATGATTGTAAGGAAAAAAAGGCTGGGTGTAATATAGTTCACGATTAGGTACATACAAATCAGAAGTGCTTTTGAAAAGGATTTCCAATTAATAAATTCACTTATAATAACCAATTTTTCCATTTGCATATATACTTTAAAGGTGCACAGCTGTAAATGTACCAAAACCAAATGATGTAAAACAAAGTTAGAAGGAAAACAAATTGGGGAAAAACAGCACATCAAAGCATCTGTGAACTACACTACTAGCATATAGCCCAATACACAGCACCTGCATACTGTATACTAGCATATGACCAACGTAATAGCACTTGTATTCTACTTTACCAGCTTATAGCCCAGCTCAAAGCACCTACATACTAAGTAATAGGATATGACCCATCTCATAGTAACATATACACTACTTGCATACAGCCCACCTTAAAACCCTTCAAAACCTTACTTGATATATTACCTTGCATATAACCCAAGGATGAGAACTCTGGTCCCCGAGGGCCAGATTCCTGCAGAATTAAGTGAGTTTCCATTCAACATATCTGATTAAACTTGGGAGCTAATTGCCGAGTTTAGTAGTGTGTTAAAGCCGAGAAATCACTAAAATCTGCCAGACTCTGGCCCTCAGTTCCCCACCCCTGATGTAACCTAACTCAAAACATCTGTGTGTGAGGGTTGCCAACTTTGGTGTGGTGACTGGTTTCCACGGTGGGGACAACATTAAATAAATTTCAACTTTTGCCAGTGCTCACTGTGGTCAGCACATGAGAAATGGCTCTATTCAGGTTACTCAGCAAAACACATGCAAAACATTTTTCATACAATTGTCATACAATTTTCTCACAATGGACAATGTGTAAATGTCCATCAAATCAATTGTTTGTCCCTCAAATCTATACAAATGTGCACTGATATTTGGGAATGATTATTTAAGTTTTTGATATAAGGACACATATAGCTTTGACAAAAGGACAGTAATTCATTGCAGCATAGGTAGCAGATGAAAAAATGTGAAGTTTAAACAGGAGTTTAAACTTGAGCACGTCATTAGTTGAGCTGAGGTATTTATCGTGTGTTCCCCTCGTGGGATAGGGCAGTATCAGAGCAATCCTGGAGCGAGAGAGGATCCCAACTTTCCAGCTCCTCACACTGTGCAAAAGCGTGCCATTCCATTTCACTCCACACTACTCACTCTGACCGAGCCAGCTGCGAGAGATACAGCCAATGTTCTCGCAGTTGGCTAAAATATGGTGAGAGGTCATCAACCAGAAAGAACAAAGATAATTGCTGGCAAGATTGGTCTGACTGGGTAGGTAGGTTGGCCATTCCCTGGCATAAGATTTCTTTGCACAGCATGTAAGCTTGGCAATAGTGATGTGAACAACACTACTAGCATATAACCTACCTTAAACAAGTGTACTACATGTAGCACAAGCTCAGCTTAAATAATTTGCAACTATACTATTAGCATGTACCAGTGTCATGACATCTGCGCACTAACTTACACTACTTCTATATAAACCAGCTCAAAGTCTCTAAATACTACAGTACCAACACATAACCCAGCTCAAAGCATCTGTGTACACAACACTACTAGCATATAAAGTGTCTGAGTACTACATTACTAGCATATAACCCACCTCAAAGTATCTGAGTACTACACTACTAGCATATAACCCATGTCAAAGTATCTGAGTACTACATTACTAGCATATAATCCACCTTAAAGTATCTGAGTACTACACTACTAGCATATAACCCACCTCAAAGTATCTGAGTACTACATTACTAGCATATAATCCACCTTAAAGTATCTGAGTACTACACTACTAGCATATAACCCACCTCAAAGTATCTGAGTACTACATCACTAGGATATAATCCACCTCAAAGTATCTGAGTACTACACTACCAGCATATTACCCACCTCAAAGTATCTGAATACTATATTACTAGCATATAATCCGCCTCAAAGTATCCGTATACTACACTTCTAGCACATAACCCAATTCAAAGCATCTACATGCTACACTACTAGCATATGACTAGGATCAGGAACCTGGGCTTTCCATTGTTCTCCTACTCTGGCCTCATGAAAGGCATCTCTATGCTGCCTGTGGCTGGAGAACACAGCCTTCAGTCAGCGCAGCCGTCAGTTGATCACTTTCCTTTTCCTGAGCCGCTGTCTAATCCAGCCAGGACTTTTCAGCACCGATGGCCTGGAAGCCAGTCAGGAATTGGTGCCGAGCTGTGCTGGAGTCTCTCTAGGGCGGCTCCGATTCCACTTTAGCCACTGTGGAAGCCAGGCAGAGCGGAGCTGAGCTGGGTGAAACTGAAGTCCCTGTCTAGTCTGCTATGTATGGAAAACAGTCAGACCGCTTCAGGGAAACATGCAAGTGCTGTATTGTTGCTGAAGACACGTGTGTTTTTGCATAGCGTGAGAACGACTGCCATACACATTTTTGATTCTTCGCACAAGACACTGCAGTATAGTGGTGTGAAGAAATAATAAGCAAGGCAAGGTTAGACAGGGACAAATTATTTTACAGTAGAAAAATAATATATTAAGCGTGTGCCCCGAGTTACTACTAATATAAAGTCTGCAAAAGATATTGCAGTTTTGCGCCTGAACTAGAGCAGCAAAGCCCCTGAGAAACTATGAGGATTTTCCACATTATATCCATTTGTTTATACATTACGATGGCAAAGAGATTTAGACTGGTCAAAATAATTACTGCTTGATCCATGACCACAAGCAGGAAAATTCATATTTTATGACTAATAGAAAAGTAACTAAAGGACAGGACTACTGTTTTATGTCCACTGCACTCCCTAAAAGTGAGTCATGAAGTAATAATACTTCAAACGCTTAAGAACCAGCGAAGCCAGTGGCGTATTTGTAATTACACCTACCAGAGCGACGGGAAACTCCAGTACACTGCACAGTTCTCTGCTCTAAACTAGTGCTGTCAATTATAACTGCAATTCAGAAACCCAAAATTATTTTGGCAATTATCCAAGTAATCAGTTATAAAACAGTTTTAAAAAAATGCCAAACAATAAAAATGAACTTAACTGTAAGAAACCATGCACAGACTAACCATTTCAAAGATGGCAACCCATTTTACTGGAAAAATATTAATTAATAAAGGACAAAAAAACACTGCAGCAAAATGCATATAGATGAACATGTCTATTAGGCTCTTTTTCTTACTGTAAGAGACCAATATGACAATTAAAAATATGTATCATCATGCAAACTGCCAACTTATCATTGCCAGTTCATTTAATTAAATGTTTTTTTTTTAAGTAATGAAGTTCTCTAGTTCTCTAAATCACCCAATTCAACATGTCAAGAATTTGCTAATAACCGTTACACCCTTAGAAATGGTTCTACAAGGTTTCTTTAGTCTATATAGAACCATATACTCAAAGTACTATTTGAATGTATAAATGTTTTTTTTGTATGGTTAAGTAGTTCTTCTCTATGATGGAAAACCTGTTGTAAATGGATCTTTAAAGAACCTTTTTAAAAAAAGTTCTACATAGCAGGTTTGTTACTATATAGAACCATTTTTGCTGTAGAGCATAGGAATCACTAAACTGAGCAAGATTCACATTAAAATTATACGTTATAGCAGAAATGTCACCAAAGTGCCACCAAAACTTAATTTCGCATCTCAAGAGTACAACTCTAATGCATGACCTTGTTGTGTCTCCCTTGATGAATGGCTCCAAAGTTCAAAGTTAAAGGTAAGCTTACCTTGCACCATCAGCATGGGCTCCTTTCCTCCCCCATGGGCCAGCATCTCTCGCCGGTAGCGTTCTCCGGTTTCCCTGAGACACAACCAGCACACACACACTTAGATTACAAAGCTAACATCACCAGCACAGACTGGCCTCAAATACAGACCACGTTGTTCAGCACAGTGTGTCAGGAAAACACACATGCTTAACAAAACCAGGTGTTAAGTGAGAAGACAATCTAACAGCAAAACAAAGAGAATGATTCAGAGGTAATAGGGGTGAAACCAAAACAGTCATGGTGGTGTTTTCTGGACTAACTGATGAAGACATTTCTGCTATGGGGGATGATTTTCATGCAAATCTTGCTTTCAGTGTTCAGAGTTAAATAACCTATATTTTTTTTTAGCTTGGACACCAAGAGTTCCTTCACAATCATAAAGAAGCGGACAAAGAGGGAAAAAGAATCTCTCTCATACACACAGACACGCACCTGCTTAAGGGGTCCTTATGGAAACACTGTCTCCACACCATGGAGGCCACAGCTCTAGACATGAGATAGGAGTAGTACTTTGCTCCATAGCCTACAAGGTGACTGAATCTCAGCTGCCATGCCTGTAGAGTAGGGATGGGTGATATGACAAAAATAATACATCACAATACTTGACAAAAAAGACATTTTCAGGAAACATGACACATACGATGATAGTCTGTTTTTTTCTGAGTTGATATGTTTGTACAGAAAAGAAAAATATCCAAAACTATGCGCACAATGAATTTTGTTCAATGTTTTTCATATTTCACTGAACTAAATCCAATTAACCAAGACTAGTTATGCTTTCTTATTTATGATACATGCAGTTCTTTAAATACCAATACCCATGATATGCTCAGAGATGTAACTGATTACAATAATGATAACATATCATACTGACTACCACTGAGGCACAACAAATGGACAACATTACAGTTCAACACTGAACTGACCAATTAATGCTGAATAGGCCTGAAATGTTGGCCCTAATCCAAATACAAACCGATAATTTTCTGTCTGAGCATAACACAGCACCAAATTTTGAGTCTGAAATTGACCTATGACCAACAAAATTCTGTCAGAAACTGACTCAAACTCCCCCAGTATCACCCAAAGTGCCAGATAAAGCCCGGTAATTGTAATGATAGCACTGGTTAAATTACTGTGTAGTGAATAGGATAAATTAATTTTTTTAAATAATTTAAAAATAATTTGATGTAATAATATATCCTGTGTGCTGTTCTTGTGCTGACCAGTACTGACACAGGTATCTACTCTACTGAATCAAAACTGCCAAAATCAGAACTGCCAAAATGTAGTGAAAATGATACTCTACCGAGCTGGTCAAGCTGTAGCTAATCAAACAAAAAATAAATTACAACACCCCTGTTATCTATCATAACAGGGTGACCTTTTATACATATAGAAAAAAAAACAGCATTTCAAAAAGAATAATATGCCTTTAATTTTAAAAATCTGAGCTGAATGCTGAATTTATTATTAGACTGAATTACATTTTTGGTAAATTTTGCTAAAGCTTGTCCATCAGTCCATCACGTATGAGAATATTTTCTATCAAGGGTAATGATCATTTCTGTTTACACAGTCTCCATTTGTAACCGTAGTAATACCTTTAGTAAGTATTTCTAATGTTTACAGTAAAAAAAACCCTTTCACAGCAGAGTTAACCTATTTGGAAGTTGAATTAAAGAGAATCATAATGTTTTGCATCATGCTGAGTGCTGAAGGTAGAGTAATGTTTTGGCCCAGTGATCTCAATTACGGTTTTAAGGGCTTAGCAGTTCAAAAGCTTTGCTGAGAGACGAAGACATGCTTAGACAGTCGTTACACTGCCTAACAACAGTACATCTAATCCTGCTTGGGAAAAAACACAAGGATAACAATGTTTATTAAAATGCTATAATATTACAAAACAAAATCTATATGCTCCTGGGCATAGAAAACTATAGGCATAAAAGAAGATGTTTATTAGATGCTAAAACACTGTAAACAGTCTAATAGAATGTTTTGTTCCTGATACACCTGAAAAACAGATAACATGTTCGTCTGGAGCAAAATAACCCTGACAAGCAACAGCATGGAAGTTCAGCAGAATGTGTGTACAGTTCAATGTTGGACACTAGCAGGTTGTTTGAAAAGGCTGGGCTTATTTAGTGTTGGGAGAGGGAGCAATTTGGCTGCGTGAAACACGCTTAAGCTGCAGAGTGTCAGCCTGACGACTCCCATCTGGCACCTAATGACTTTCATACGCCTAAACAGCACTCAAGGAGCGGGGCTTAAAGTGTGAAAACTGAACATTAGTGAAGGCCACAATCACACAAGCTACCCCACAGTACTATTCTCACAGGTCAAAGCTTATAGACAGATCACGAGGTGGTATGTAGGTAGACACCGCAAAGTTTGCTGTACTACTGGTTAAGACTTCAGGGGCCATACACATTAGATTTACTACCAACACATTTAAAAGGTGACAGTGGAATCAACCAATCATGTACTGATTTCTAGTGAGGCCAATTTTTTGAGGAAAAACATCTCATTCTTGGGAGATGCATTCTTGGTCCTAGATGCATCACTGACTGTGAATATGTTCATGCTCATTGTCATAAATGTCAAAACTGTTAAAAATAAACTAAAAATTAGACATGTTTTCTCCCCAGAAACCCTGCAGGTTCTTCTCACATAAAATCCTACATTTTGATCTATTTTAGATTTACCAGGTGTATGTGTCATGACTTCGGCATGCAGTTTGCATGACGGTAATTAGTGGGCTATAAGCTTCCATTTCTTGTTAGCTACATTAGTCTTATAGCTCAAATGCAAAACTAAATAAGCAAAATTTAGACACCAAACATGTCTTGGCTGACTGAATGCATTTGCGATAACAGGGAAAATTATGTAAATCTGATTTTTTGACTATTCCATACAAATAATTTGCCCAAACAAAAAATTATCATGGTTCTTTTCTTTGTTTGAAAGTGTGTTAAATCATTTTGTCACCTGATCCATCATAATCTTCATCATCATCTCCTCTATTGAGCCTTGGCACATTATGATATCGATCTTTATTCAACAGTGAGAGAAACATAAACTTTAAGACAGTTAGGTGCGCAGGTATTCATTAGCCTTTCCAATGCGACACTGAATGAAAAAGTGATCAACCTTTGTGTACACATCAAACAATGAATTCCTCATTAAACCTAGTATCATCATAATGCGTATGGTGAAAGCACAGGGAGGTTATATCCATCAGTGGACTGAAGGAATGTTTGAGTATCTCTTTTATAGTTGTGGAAATATGCTTTAAACAGGAAAGACAGACACATATTATTAGCTGCATTCCCCCGAGAGGGAGTTAAAACAGATAAAAAGGGAGGGTGCAGTGATTTAAAGGGATATTAAAGACATTGTGGCTGCAGCAATTAAAGGGGAATATTTAGTGCTGGAGAGTTCTGATTCCCCACGGCTGCGTGTAATTACAGAGCAGGACAAATGGTTTTATGAAAGTCAGTCCAGACTTAAATGTGTGTTTTAGATTGTCCTGGACCCCAAATGGCCATCTCCGTCTTTAGCCCCCAGCTGCTGAGGAGCTGCAAGAATCATTTTCTTTTCTTTTCATCCTTTAAATGGCTCCTGAAAGAAGAGTTTCAAATATTTCCCCCAGGGAGTGCTCATTCAAAGTATACCTCTGCTTTGTTATTTCAGAAGGGCCCCGAAAAACAGAAAAGAGAGGGAGGGAGAGAGAGAGAGAGAGGTTTTAATCCTATAAACACCACTGTGCCTGGGTATTAGATATAAAACCAGTGTTGGGAGGGACGAGGGCCCAAATTCTACTAGCTCTCACGTCTGATATGCTTTTTGTAATGTAGAACAGAGCACTGTAAGGTGTTACTAAAGATCAGTCAAATCCAAATCCAAAGAAATCCAAAACATTAATTAAGTTTAATAGCTGCAATAGATCATAACAATTCAGACCACCAACTGTAAATCTGTTGTAACTGCTGTTTGGCATTATTTATATTTTTCCAATAACAAGTGTATAACTCAGCATGCACCGATATGGAAATTCTGGGCTGATCCTGATATCCAATATTTTTCATGTGCATATCTGCTGATACTGATTACACAAACATTCATAAAATGTGAAAATTGGGACTAGATCTATCTGGATTAGCATTACAAAGAAATGTAAGACTTATTTGTAGTGGGATACAAGTTCAGTAAAATTAATAAAATGAAGACATTTTACAGAGGTATCCCAGCATCACCTAACATTCAGCTCTTCCACAGTACATTAAACACATCATCAAATACTGATTTAAAATATCAGTCAAATTTCAACATCTGTTCAATGCCAATGTATCTTTTTAAGCAAATGTCTGGTAAAAACTCTAGGACTTCAATATCACTGTGTAATGCAATGTAAAACGTCATTAATATTATTAGCATGTCTCCTAAAGATTGGCTAACATGCTCCTGTTTCATTATGAGGACAAAAGACATGTCAAGCCAAGCAGGTGGGATGTTTCCAGAGCATAGAGATGGGAGCGGCTGAAAATGTATAGTAGCTTAGACAGTATTTATTTAAATAGTTATTTTGGTAATTTTCAATATTTGCATCTGCAATCACTTAGCTTTGAAAAGCCCAGTAATTCCTAATAGATTAATTTATTATTACCTTTAATACTGTGAATAAGAAAATCTGATTCAAATCCATCAACTCCTCTGCATCTTCATTAAAGCAATGAGATGGTTAGACTGTGACTGGTTAAAGCTCTTGGGCAACATACAGAAATGGATACATGTTAAAACCTCTTTAGGCATTTTCCTAGTGATTCCCTTTTACACAACACATCTGTACAAACAGGTGAGATTCAGTGCTGTAAAATGGAATTCTATGGTGATTGACATTGAGTATATTACCAATTAACCATGTCACTGAGATTGTGTGAACAGATTTTATTTTTGTTTTTTCCCCAATAAGACCCAGAAATAGAAACATATTTCCAAGTGCCAGCATTTATACGAGGTGGAACATATTTGGAGCCTTTCTAGAGTGCAGGTACTTAGTCTATACTGTCTGAAATGAACTTAAATTCATGGGCATGATTTTGTGATTAGAAAGGGTTTACAAAATAGCTTAACTTAGTTTCTGAGTACTTACTGTATTAGGAACATATGGCAGACCATAGTATTTCTTTTGCATATCTATCAAGATATCTGTTGTTGATCGACTTTGGGGTTTGCCATGATAAATCTGGTCCAAGACTGCATAGAAAATCTGTGACAGAGAGAGCAATAGAGAAGATCAGTCAGCATCCAGTGCCAAAGCATTAACACAATTTCACTACTAGATTAACATTATAAAAGAATGTAATGACAGGGAATTACTCAAAACACTGTAAAAAGGTCACTTCAAGCTTCTCAATGCACCTGGATCACATTAATTTGAACTGTCATTCAAGATTATGCATTCTAAAAATGTAAGTAACTAGATCTTTAAAAGCCAGTGACAGAGAGGAGTACCTGAAGTTGAGTATCAGCAGCACCACACACCTTTTTGGACTCACAGAGTCGAGCTACCATGCTCTGTGGCAAAGGCTAGGACGAATTACAGAGTTATATAACCATTAAGCATTAACAGAAACACCTTTATGGTAGCCAATAAAACAGTGTGAATATTGCTTTGTACTGCATGAGTAATATTACATATTAACACATATTACCTGTCCCGTCTGATAGTGACGAGCAAACTGGTTGATAACGCGATAATCAGTGGCAAAATACTCCATTAATACAGAAGGCACCTCTGCAAAATCAGTAGCACAGCGGGTTCCTTTAAAAGAAGGAGAAAATTGCATACACATTCAGGGTAACCTTAACAATTAAAAACAAGACAATATGCATCACACATCTAGATAAGACAAACCACAGAACAGGCAAAAGTTTCTGATAGAGAAAGTAAATATAGGTTATTATTTAGAAATATTAAAAAAAAATCAATAAAGCAATTTACCTTATAGTGCAAGATTGCATTATTATAATTTTATTATTATAATTTTCAGTGAAAAGATCATTTAAAATCTGTGACCTCACAATAATTAGTACTGAAATCTCAAATTTCACCATGTGCAATTGGTACAATTCAGAATTATTTTAACAATACAATGAGTACAGAGATGTGGCTGGACAATCTATTTACTTAGTGAGATAGTGGAATTCACTATCTGATCACACCTGTCACATGCTGATAGCGTGTACGTCCAAGCATGGAGTGCATGGCATGACCCATCTCATGGAAGAGGTTCTCCATCATGGCTGGTGTGAGGAGCGTGGGGGCACTCCGGGTTGGGTGAGGAAGATTCAGCATTAGCACCACCACCGGCAGCTGATACTGCCCATCGTCCAGGAGACGCCCTCCACGGATAGTGAAATGGCAGTCCTGTGCACAGGACAGCAGGTGCAGACTGAGCTGAGAATTACTTAAACAAATACTGTGCCCAGAAATGCTAACAGACAAAGCTTTTTTCCATGCATTATTAGCAATGAAATGAATACATTCGTCGTACGTTAGCAAAATTAACACTCATGACCTTTCTCAATAAACTAAACACTCTAACGCCAAATTTTGTCATGCAATGTTAGCAGACAGACATAGAAGACTGTGGAATAAGTAAGCTATCTTTTACCTGATGAGGTTTGTCTGGTCTATAAAAGAAGTCACAGTAGATATATCCCAGCAATCCTTCAGTTTCATGTACCACTGCCTGAGGGTGTAATTAAAAACGGCAGATTAGAGATGAGCAAAGATATTCAGGAATCTCCACCTGTACATCCAATACTCTTTAGTGTTCAAACCAAAAAGCTTCCCAGTTCCAGTGGCCTACAATTATAGCATCTAGATGGTTCATTTTTACATATCTTACCAGTTTGCGTACATCCTCGCTCCACACCTCTCCTGCATTGGGCTGTTCAGCCAGAAGTGACACACCAAAGAGCTGCGTAAAAAGACTGTTCAGACCCTCCATACAGGCCCCTAGAGAGAAGTAAGGACTGTACAAGCTGGGCTCAATGTTGAACCTACAAAAAACATAAAACACCAAAGACAAAAATGATGACAGCTTTCCTAGATAGTAAAACCATTGTTCCCTAAACAAAAAGAAAAAAAAATAAATAAATAAAAAAAAAAACTTATGATAGCAACAAACTGAACCACATACATTAAAAGGACTCATATCCTACATTTTTCTTACATTTGACTTTTTCCCCAGATGTCCACTTATATTTGTGTGGTTTTAGGTATTAAAAATGAATTAAGTTGCAATTCATTTTTACATGACCATTTGTCAATCTTTCTTTATCTGTTTGAATTAAATAGTCTGTGTTGTCACTGTTTGTTTGAGATGGATATGTGTGAATGACTTCTGAATGGCTTCTCTGTACCAAGCCTCATTAAAAGAGCAGTCTGGGACTAAAACAGTCCTTTTAACTTCAGTGGGAATAGATGGAGCTTAACTGCTGTAGGCTAAATAGGTGGACAAATGATTTGGCTTTTAATGATGTCACCAAAACAATCAATTCAAAACAGGCTGTTTTTGCAGCTTAGCTTCATATATTGACAGTGGGGTGAACAATGCTTTTTGAAACTTGTAAAGTTTACACACTGTAAAACTCTTTTTATTCCAAAAAATGGATTTTCAAAAAAAATTAGTTTTCCATGATATGAGCCCTTTAAACTTCTACATTATAGAGATACTGAATTCCAGCATTTTCCACATCTTTCCAAAGCAAAAACCAATGTATTTCCTACTAAGGACTGAGAATGGAATAAAGTAGGGATACACCAATATGGAAACTGTGTGCCAGTGTGGTGATACAATATTTTTAATGTGCATATCTGCCCATGCCGATACAAATATGTAAGCGTTTATAAAATGATCTGTGGTTCTGATGAGAAAGAGGGGTCTAAAAATTCTACACCATCTACTTGGGTTAGCATTACAGAGAAATGTAACACTTGCTTATATGCTTATAAAAGTAGGAAATGAAAAAAATGCAGATAATTTAGCACAGTAGCCCAGTGGCACCTAAAAGTTCCGTTCTTTCAGAGTACAATAAGTGCGTCCTCAAATATCAGTCTGAAATATCAGCCACATCTAACCATCTGTCTGATTTTTTTTTTTTACCAAATATCTCCTAATGCTGATATGATTCCAGTATCATTTTGCATCCCTAGAGGGGATTTTGGGAAGAGGGCTGTATGCTGATAACAAACCTACTGTTGTGACTATTTGTAGCGCGAGAACAGTCACGTTGTCCTAGCGAGTCTTGAGGCTGGTTCTCATGTTATTAGGGTACCTATTAAAACTGGTAGAGATGCTTTTTTTCCCCTCAAGCAGATCAAACACAAGAGGATTAAGAAGACTGGACAGCACATTTAACCTGAACACTTCACAGATCAGACTATCTGGCAAGAGATAACAATCTAAAATAACCACAAAGTTTAAAACTAAACATAGCCGGTATTGGTATGGATTTAAGAAACGACATCTACAGGACCCACATAACTTTATTTTTTTTTTGTAACGACCTAGATATGCACATCTTATACAAGTTATCTTTGTGTGTCACTCCCTCATTATATTATGCCTTAATACACTTTAAAAATACCCCAAAAGAATGAGTATAGGCAAAAAAAACCCATAAAAATCTAAAATATCGCTTGAACCCTAAGCTAAGGACAGCTCTTAAATGTTTCGGAAATGTTTCAGTCTCATCTAATGGCAGTGAAAAGAAAAGCTCAGTCTTAACGACTAAAGAGCACTTCCTTTCCTCCCTTATTCAGACAGAACTCCTGCCAAAAAGGCCTGTATTGGAAACAGCTCTGAGGTCCCCCAAGAGCAGGAATGCCTGTAATAAAAGCCCTTTAACATGTCTGCCAGTGCATCTCGGCCTCTGCTGAAGGACTGAACGGTGGAGCCAGAGCATAGTTCATTAATAAACTGGAGACAAGCAAGGCTGAGCAGCCCTCATTCTGCAAGCCAAACTTCAAACAAAGGGCTTCAGCAAAGGTCTGGGCTGTGTAACAAAGAGGAACCTTCAGCAGACAGATCTCAGGACTGTGACTGTATTTGAACTGAAGTGAGATTAGACAGACTCGTTTAATTCTGTTCAGTTACTTCATAAAACTGTCAATCAATTCACACAGAAATTGCAAAACCCTTTTACATTTCCTGAATGGTAATGCTTATAGTAACTATTCAGAAAAGCACTGAAACTCACCTTTCAGCACGTATAACACCACTCAGATATGGGTGGTCCCACGGCATTAAGTCCTGCAGAACAGAGACAGGATGAACTGAATCTCATCCCACTGAAACATACTTGAGTCAGCTGCTTTCATTATGTCATCAAAATGAGGTGCCAGTTCTGCTTACTTACTGCATTTCTGGGATTAAATTTAGTCTTCATATCCTTCATCATTTCGAAGTCCTTTTCAGTCCTAGAGAATGAAAATGCATTTGTCAGACTAACAATAGGAAAAGTATCAGTAGTCAGAATACAGTTAGTGCATAGTGACATCTAGTGGATTTAGAGAGTAATGACATCTGCTAATTTTAGAGGCATCATTTAAATGAGCTCTTACCAACACGAATAAGGTTTAAAGTATATCTGATACTCAGTTACGTATAACATTTGTCAGCCTGTTAAGACATGGATCTCTCCATTTTATCTATACATACATTATTCTTAACAAAAGAAATAAATTGATAAGACAAACAATACTGACTCAATTTATACATTTAACATTAAACTTCTATATGATGTTTTGGGTGCACTTAATAATAAATAAATCCAACTTGCATGGCATCATAAATGTATCTATTGTTTTTTACATCATGTAAAGAGAGCATAACTTAAGTGGGAAACTCTACCTGTCTTTGAGTTTGTCTGTCAGAAGCTGTAGGAAGTTCATGACCGTATCTGTGAAGAGGAAAAAATCAAAGAGAATAAGTAAGGGTTCAAAAGGTACAACCAGAGTTCAAATTACATCACTGGTCTTTTCTATGCACACTATACAGAATTCCTGCTTGATCTAAATCACATGGAATAGTCTTTTAAAATAACAGCTTTACCTGGGCTTTTGGCCATGGTTCCTTTCAATGCTCTGTGTGCGTACGACTCATAGCCAACCAGCCTAGCCAGTTTATTTCTACATGATAACAGTTCTTCTAGGGTGTGCATCATTTCTCCATTTGGGTACAGGAAAATCCTGTAGGCAACTTCCCGAACCTGAAACAATAAAGACTCTTAAACAAAGAGTTTTGTTGCTGTTTTGTTGCTGCACTCCAAATGAACAAATCAGATTCATTCATAGATTGGTAGACTTCAGCTTCCAGATCATCTCTCTAGTAAGTGAATATATGAGGTTAACGAGCCAACCCTAAAACCATGCCAAGCCTTGGCATAGATGTTACAAGTCTCTTGAAGTGAACTGGAGGGATGGAACATCAATCTTCCAAAACATATTCCCTCAATTGGTGTTTTGATCATGGTGGTGGAGAGCACTGTTTAACATGTCAGTCCAAAATCTTCTTGGGTGTTCAACTGGGTTGAGGTCCAGTGACTGTGAAGGTCTTAGCATATGATTTACATCATGTTCATACTCATAAATCATTCAGTGACTCCTCGTGCCCTCTGTATAAGGGCCGTCAGGACTGAAATGTTTCATTATAGTGTAAAGGTGACCAGTCAGAATGTCTTTGTGTTGATTTGAAGTGACCCTGCCCTGTAAGTGGACAAGTGGACCCAAACCATGCAGGCAAAATGCCCCCCACAGCATATCAGAGCCACCAGACACCCTCTCTCACTGTTTTCTTGATGCACAGCACACATGTACGCACCCACTTGTGAAAAAAATGGTGAAGCATGACTTGTCTGATGGTATCACTTTTTCCCCCACATCTTTGTAGATGAGTGCCTAAGGTTTTTGCACCACAGGCCTCTCAAAGTCTTTGTAATAAGGTGTTTTTGCTCTGTAACCGTACTATTGAAGTCAACTGGGCCTGGTCAGAATTTCATACATGCCACAGAACAGTGACAGGAGGTTAACTGCTTAAATGTATAATGCAGTATAGTTTAGAAGCAACTGCACTCATGTTTCTCTAATCATTTATTCGAGTTTTTCCTTTAATAGTCTGCATGTTGGACATTTATTGGGTGCCTCAAGCATTTTGTGTGATTAAACTAAATATCTGTCATTTAGCCTATGGATTCACACAGAAAACACTCTAAACGAGACTGGGCCATTGGTCTGGCAGAACCTTCTATATATGCCATTTTTCTCCCAACACCTTCTTCATTTGAGAGACCAACGGCACCTAATTTAAATGATGCATTAATTTGAACTGTATTCATCTAAACTGCTGCCATGCATTTTTCCTCTACTTTGAAATTTGCCAAACATTGTCAAAGGTCTTATTTCAACTTTCCCTAAAACCCTGAAAGGATGCTGTTAACTACAACACAGACAACTGTGGGGCTTACCAGATCATCTGGTGCATCGGCATGCAGTCCTCCAATCTGAACATAGTTCCCTTCATTGGTGAAATGCTGGTGAATGTGATGAGGAAGGGCTCTTTTATCTATCCTGTTTGGCATATGGCAGCCCATTAGAAACTGATTATTGAGATCCAAGAGTCGAACATTCAAGTTGACTGCCTCCTTCCTCTATGAAATAAAGAAGGCCAAGATGAGGAATACATATTTGAGTACATAAAATGTTTTAGAATTAACTAACCTGTAGATGATTACTCATCCAACATTGCTTTTAGTAAAAATCAAACCAAATCAAAAGAAACTGACCTGCTTTTCATCCAGATGGATCCCACTTATCTCGAAATCAAACATGAACAGCTCAGCCACTCTCCTTTACAGAAGACAAGTGAGCAAGAAATACTGTAAGTGAAATGAACCTTTTACAGAAAAACAATCTAGGTAAGTCCACAACATAGTTTGAAAATTTTGTAACAATCAAAGCAATAATAATAATAAACATTGCTTGATATGTGCTTCTTTATGATTGGTTCGTCAATTTAAATTTAACCGATCAAGTCGCTGCTTATCAAACTTATGTTCCGTGATCCAAGTGTCAAAATCAAGTGCACTACTTCACTATTATTTTATTGTAACAGCAACTTGTGCTGCAAGAATGATATGAATGTCTGTCAGGAGTCAGACCTGAAAACAGAAAGATTATGCAGATAGTACAGCGCTGATGTGCTGCTAGAAAAGAGCAAAGCATGCTCTGATGTTGTATTCTATTATTTGGTGCAGACTATCATAAAAATATGCTTCCACCAGCAGCAAACTGAGCCAGGGTTTGGTGTGCACCTGAGTATGGGTGGAGATTCACAACTGACAAAATGATCCAAACTAAATAAGGTTCAACAGGTCTGTGCAAAACAAGCTAGGTGTGAAAGCGCCCTATGGCAGATTACAAAACATGTCCACTCATCTAAGAGAACCTTTAAATACTATATAGTTTTGTGACAGCTACACTATTTCTCAAGAACTTAAAATAAAAGGCAATGGAAAATATGGCACTACAAAAAAAAATAATAATAATAATTAAAAAAAAGAACAACTTTGCTAGAGATCCTTTATCAAACATCGCCACCAACTTTTGCAACCAGTATAAACAGCACACACTTTTAATATTGACAATATTTTTTAGAACAGCAATCAGCTTAGAACTGAAGTTTTGAAGAGGAGAGAAGACACTTAAACACATCAGTGAATTAAAGAGTTTAAGACACACCTTGTTTCAGGATCCAGCTTAGCCATAACCTCTTCATTGTCTAACAGGTTCTTTAAACTCTTACACAACTCCACATTTGTGTTAAGCCTGTTGTACAAATAGATCAAAAGTTCTCAACAAACATAATTTCTCCAAATTTTGTAATAAGTGAAACTGATCAAAAACAGTCATACTTCTCCACTGTGGTGCCAATCTTAATGCAAGTCTTCTCTGCAGCTTCTCGATACAGTGGATCTGGGTGTGCCACTTTGATAAAGTCTGCCTATTAAAACAACAAGATATTTTAAACAAAGTAATACCCTAATTAAAAGGGCTGGGCATTTCAATCAGCATTAGGAGATGACACATTCAGTTATTTACTGCCTTTTGTCCTTTGCTGTCACTAATGCGACAACAGAATGAAACAAGCAACGTTACCAGATCTGCTACTCTGCATAAACTGTCAGAGAGTTTGTCGAACGTCTCCACGGTCACAGCACTGGGCGAACTGCTGCAGGCTTTCTCCACCAGCTGACCCGTCTCCAGCAGGGCTCTTTCCTGGATCAACTCGAACCCCTCTGTGGAGCTCAGCTCAGGAACACCAAACAAGCCCTATATGTCAATCAAGGAATATGATGGGCCAGAGAAGAACGGAAATAGCGAGAGGCACCAAAGCACAACCACACAATAAGAGATAAGAGGAGAACCTGCTGTCATGTTAGCAATGGAAATCTAGTGGCGTAGTTAAGCTGGCAGTTCTGAGTTTTCTGAAATGTTGCAACTAGTATAGGTTACTGCTCTGTAGTCAAAGCACTGTGGACATTACCATGAGCATTTTCCTGCTCCTTTAATGTTTAAACACTTAGAATTTACTGTGTTTAGCGACAATGCTAATAATTTGAGCCAAAGTGTTTCTAAATTCAGTATGAGTTTTGGTTATTGAGCAATAATATTTTATATTTTTGGAAAGTGACCAAAACATGTGATTGGATATTTTGGTCCTTCAAGGGTTCTTTAGTATAGGCAATGGCTCTATTTACCATCTCCATTTCATGCTTTAATGGTTCTTTGCATGGTAAAATGGTTCCTCAGATTGATGGAGACTGTGTTGTATGTGGTTCTATTTAGCACCAAAAGGGTTCTGCTGTTGTTACGATGTCAAGCTTGTAACAACAGAAGAACTCTTTGGTGCCATGTAGAACTATTTTCAAAAAGGTTCTACACAGAACCACATACAACACATTCTCCACCAATGTGAATCACCATTTCACCATGTAAAAAACCATTTAAACATGAAATGGTTCTAAATATAACCACTGCCTTAATAAACCACCCCTGAAGAACCACCTATTTAAAGCGTGCAGGATATTTGGATATTTAGAGCGGGGAGTGAAATCCAAACCAGACCCATGTCCTTAAGTAACAGGACCCCAAGCAAAACAGGGGCTTCACTACAATTTTATTGAAGGGGTCTCACTACATCCTGATTTACTAAATAAACGTTATAAATGTACGTTAAGTTTGTTCTTCAAAGGTAGTAACGCTGGTATGAACACATAACCTCACAGTCAGGCCTCTGACTGTTTGGAGTCAAACGTGTATAAGGGGTGAAAGTTGGATGCCATGCCTACCACATTTTTCCTGAATAAGTCCGGTCTCCTGACCGCCTGCGCGTTGAAAGCAGCTCCAACAAGTGACCAGGTGGTGACCTTTCTATGCAGCCTTAGCGTTACTGCACTCCTGGCCCTCAGCAGTCGCAGCAGAGGGTTATAAGCTGACATAGCTGACCCACCCCAATGTGTACCGCCAAAGCAGTGAAGATTTAAAGTTAACTGTAACGTTAACACAAAGCGGAGTTACCTAGCGTAGCCAACACACGGCTGCATGGGGGACATGGGTAAGTTAGCTCGCTGGCTACATATAAACACGCCTCAACTCATGAAGCAGCACTTTCCATAGTTAGACTAAGCGCTCTAAAGTCAGCATTCACTGATCATGATCAGAGGTTTCTTGTCGCTGGACGCTGAACTTTAGTTAGTGGTGATATTTTAAAGGTTATTCAGGGAGATGGCAGCCACAGCCAGTCCACAGCACACGGGTTAGGAGCGTCTTCTTCGGGGAGTTTCAGAGGAAAATGAAAACATTGCACTGGTACACATCGCCACCTAGTGATCGCCACTTTCCCCCTCCTGATTATCTCAGCCTTCTGGTACTATCACAGGCCAGCGAATGGAGGCTTGACCGTCCAGGAAAAGCACTGTACGTTCAGTACAGTGGAACACACACACACACACACACACACACACACACACACACACACACATCTTCTAAGCCGCTTATCCTTCTGGGTCGCGGGGGACAGTAGAATATTTATTCGCAATTATTTAAAACCTAAAAGAAACCAATAAGAAGAATTCTAGGCAAATGGTGTCTCACAACCTTGAGGCAATGCAAATGAGCTCAAAAAAAGAATAAACCACAAAAATGTCTGTGTAGTCTCCCATATGGAATTCTGATTTAGGGCGATATATGGACCCTGCTGAAAAAAAACATAGAAACCATTAAGTGTTTCCATTTGGTTCCTAATGCTGTTGTAATGTGTTTGGCTTTTTAATGGGTTAACATCACAAATTAAAAGACCCTAATGGTTTAACAGATGACCAATAGCTAATTATTAAGTCAGTCGTGGGCTGGAGGTTAGGGAACCAGCTTTGTGACCTGAAGGTCACTGGTTCGATCCCCTGAGCCAACAGTATGCGACTGAGGTGCCCTTGAGCAAGGCACCTAACCCCCTGCTGCTCCCTGTGTGCTGCGGATAGGGCTGCCCACCGCTCTGGGCAAGCGTGCTCACTGCCCCCTAGTGTGTGTGCATTCACTAGTGTGTATATGGGTGTTTCACTGCATAGATGGGTTAAATGCGGAGGTGAATTTCCCCATTGTGGGATTAATAAAAGGTAACTTAATGCATTTGATGGTTTCCTAATGGCATCTAAAGGTGTGCTGCAGGAAACTAGTGGTCTTTATTGGAAACCATTAAGCCAATTCCTATTAGAAAGCAAAACCAAACCATTAAGTTTTAATCCTAATGGTTTTTAATTGTTCCTTTTCAGCTAGAGACTTCAAGTATTTGACATGTATTAACATATAACTGTTGCTCTAGATATTATACATTTATTTGTTCTCACCTTTCAGACATATATGTATGCTTATATTAAGCATATAAGTTCAACTTTGATACCTATGTGCATATATTGCCATGTATCAGATTTCCGTATAGGCTTTGTGCAACTATAATAATTGTTCTTTTTTAATTTAAGTGACATCATGTCACAGCAGTGACTTCACAGACACTGAAGTATTATTTCTCTATAAAACAAGCATTTTAATGCTATTTTTTTCAGTTCAAATTGTAAAAATGCATTAACATTGTATTGTTGACTGTTAAAATTATTTTTCTATATATAGATAAATATAATGTTGTTTTTTGATAAACCTTGTCTCCTTGGCCAATGATTTTACAGAAGTGTAAAAAATGTCATTAATAAAAGTCTTTTTGAATTACCTCTTGCATGCATAGATAGACTAGATCTGAGAGGTTCAGATAGTGAAATTTGTCTTTACATTTCTGATATATTTGACTAAAATATTGGCAGCAATTGTGATTATCAGTGTGATCTCATAAAACATTAAGTGCTTTTAAGAAATAAATTGAAATAACTACATGGATGCAATATTTGTCATTTTCTATATACATTGTGACTTTGAACCTACAGTGTCAGCGGACTATTTTAGAAGAGCTCAGATTTTAGTAACTTTGTCAGTGATGTTACAACTTAACTGATGTTGTTTAATATAACAGACTATGTTTTACACTTGAATTACACATCAACATGCATACTTTGCCACTACAATGGTAGAATGACCCAGCCCTCAACAAACTATAGCTTGATGGACCCAGAAGTTCCACTGTAGTTCAATAAGTTACTCAGTATCAGGGTTTGTAATTATGTAATTATGTACTTCTACTCAAGTCATTTAGGGAAGAGTAACTTTTACTTAAGACTTTATTTAATTGATGTAACAATAGTATCACCTGTATGAATTTAGGCTACTCTACTTACCTCTGATTAAACCATTTCATGTCATCATTCCATCAAACTGAAGAGTTCATACACACCGTTTATTTGTAAACAATGTGAGTAAAATTAGACACATTTTTTCTCATCATCTTGTACAAAGCTATTGTATAACATGAGTTACAATATTGCGTATTGTACTGTTCAGAATTTGCAAAGTCAAGTTAGTGTTTAGTATAAAGGCACTTGAAACCCCCAAGAAAAAAAGAGAAAAGTTTAAAGTATCAACCTATGTGATGCCATATAATACCATACATACCACTTATAATGTCATATAATACCATATAATACTAATCTAATTTACCCTTCATATCAATAAAATAAGTATAAATAAATATTCCATCCACCTATGAATTTGTTGCATTAATCCAGTTTATCATTAACTTAAAAAAAACTTAACTGGCATCTTGGCACTAAGATCACACTTAAATGGTAGAGCAGACATCACACTTAACACTCTCTGCCAGTTAATATGATCATAACACTAAGATGCTTTTGGGAAAGTGAGCCCTGAACATAAATGGTGCTGGTAAAACCACCAGGCCAGCTTTAAATTATGACCATTTTTCTGCCCAATACACAAGCAAGCATATTACACTAACATCCATACTGGGCCATTGGATGGTCACTCCACTCAGGCAGACTGGAGAGTGTCTCTTCTGTGCCAGGCTGGATGGGCCAACCCCAGGCTTTGAAGAACGGGGCCAGGTTCCTGTTTACCACCTTGGAGAATGTTTCAGCGTACAGGTTCATCTTGCCGTTGTTATCACCTGGCACATTATTTATGTTGTGGTAAGCAGCAAATACTTGCTTAAAGGCATCCCAGCCAAACGTGTCTTGCAGCTTGAAGGAAACAGTTATAGATAATGTTAAAAATGAATGAAGGAATAGAACAGAACTTTGAATGTGTCTACTATATGGCTTGTAGAGTGTCTATATACTGTACTGTATACTGTACAAGCTATATGGCTTGTACAGTAATTAAGCATATAAATACAGAGTACATAACATTATCTCTCCAAATACCTTTATGCAATTTAAAATTCAAATCAGTAAATTCAGTCAGAAAGTGTGTATTTGTGTACCTGCATGTAAGTCTCCAGTGCCGTCCACATACTCCAGTGCTCCAGATTTCTGCCTGCCGTGGCGTAACTCTGAGCTCGACTCTGCCGTCTTTCTGGCCTCATGTTCTCATGAGCAGTTGCTCTGTTCACACCCAGCACCTCCTCATGCACATACACAGACCACAGGTTACAGGTGCACTCAGTGGTGTGTGGAGGGAACTCCCAGACAGAGCGCTGCTGGTTGTGGCCTAATTCGTGGATGGCACCCCAAAGACCATGCTTACGGGCTGAATCAGGGTTCAGCAGCTCTGGACCACAGCTGGAGGGGATCATAATGGGGTAGCCAGCATGCATGAAGCCTTTAAGAAAAAGACCAGTGACAGATGAACCAAGTAAGCTAATCATGCTAAATGTCGCTAAAGAGTGAGGTAGTCTTTGTAACAGTTTGACACAATCCCTATACAGATGTATGCAAAAGTTAAGGCACCCCTGGCTGATTTTTGAAGAGAAAATGCATGAACTATTTGAAAAAATAACTTTTTCTGCAAATGTTAATGCAGAGTTACTTTATATTTGTTCAACTTCAAAAATAGAAAAAATAGTAATTGTGGAATACGCAAAAGTTAGGACACCCTTCCAGTTGTAAACTCTTAATGAACTTGTTAGGATTTAATGAACTTGTTAGGCAGGTCAAGAATTGTCATTAGGAACTGTCAGCTGATGATAGTTCCAGAGTGTAACAAGTTCTCTGACTCTTCAAAATGTCTCCAACCAGCGGCTCCTCTAAGCAGCTGCCTGAGCATCTGAAAATGAAGCTAACTGATATCTACAAAGCAGATGAAGGCAATAAAAAGATGCCAAAGCACATCCAGCTCACAATTTCCACATTACAAAATGTCATTAAGAAGTGACATTCTCTCTTTTTTGTGACACATGCAGTTGTTCAGGGTTCTAGAAGTACTGAAGACACCCATGATATACTCTTAAAAGTGTACTGTGGTATAACTTATCACAACAAGATATCATGATATTGTACATTCTACTACACCAGTACATACCATGAGAGATCTGAACATCAGCCACAAAACGTTCCTTGCGTGGAAACTTTGCAGGCCTTGCGGCCAGGTCAGCAATGCCCCTCATGATGGAATCCCACAAATTGGCCACCTCGTCAGGGCGATCCAGCTGCCGTATCCCCTCCGAGTGTAAGCTGATAATGAGATTCTCAAACTCCAGCTCAGCCCAAGGCGCTGGTGCGTTACGGATTTCATTCACCCAGCTGGCTACACTGGTCTCTCCTGAAGAAAAGGTTAATGAGATTTTACTTCATACTACAGTGGAAAAAGTAATGCATTGAGTTGGTTCAAATGTGTACATCTTTTTTATATCTACTTACTTTGCCAAACATTAGTAAACTGTAAGACTAATTATGTTGATGTAATATGTTTTACACATCAGAATTCAATGTATATTTTTTTCTATGAAGAATGGTTAGTTAAGTAGAGTACATTGTTCAAATATCTTGTCAGCAATTTGAGGACTTTTTCTGTTGATTTTTTCTTTAGAATTCTTAAACTCAAGTCAGTCAGGAAAATTAAATACATAAATTATTTGCAGTAAATTGCTAGCATAGTTTTACAATATTAAAAGAGTAGTAAGTGCTGGTGTTCAGAGAGAACATAACTGAATTTACCAGATTTGTAGTATGGTGCTTTTATGGCTGTCTGTATCACAACCTCCACCCCATCCACTTTGCTGTTGGGTGGAGCGATCAGGTATATGAGTCCTCCCCACAGATTCCACACCTGCGGCATCTCTTTGTCCAAAGCAAACCGTTCGTGGACCACAGGAGCCCGTTTCAGGACATCTGCATTGCCTAAGTAATCTGTCTGACAGCCAATCTGCAGCTGCAGATGTGATTGGAGCATTAGCCTACATTTACCTCACTTTTATTGTAAACATTTAGAAAAAAACAATAGTTTTGTGACATGTACATAATAATGCACTGCCCAGTTTCAGTTTCTATTCAGACAAGCAGTTATTAAATACTCCAGAAATTTATTCAAAGTGAAGTTGAATTATGCTATGTAATGCAGTTACCTGCCAACCTTTGCCAATGAGCTCTGCAGGTACTGCAATGTAGGTCCTCATTCCATGAGAAAGATACAGACCCGTGCTTATCCATTCTTCACAATCTGCAAGAATCGTAAACACGTTTTCGGGTTTTCCACACTGTAAATCTGAATGTTTTGGTGTTTTTCAAAAATAATCACATGACATTCATGTCTTTAACACTGAGGAACAACTCAACTTAAAGGGGAATTCCACCAATTCTTCAGAATTAGAAGGCGTACAAGATGTAAACAAAGTCAAAAAGAGTGGTTTGATGTAAAATGTACCCTTCTAAAGAAATCTACACTGTCAGAATTGTTCACAGTGGTAGTGATAGGAACCAGATGCCCACCTCTAAAAGCTCCCTCACAGAAATTTCTTACATGAAATAGTTCTGAATAAGCTGCATGCTGCATGCTCCAATGATGCTGCAGCTTTGGTACTGGTAAACTATTGTTTACCAATAGTTTTGACATAAGATTTTGGCCTCAAATTATTTTTTAAAGCCGTGTATGGCACAGCAGGACATGCAGGGTGTTATAAGGCAACGTAGTACTGAAAGAAAACAGATTTAAAACTATTTCACCACTGTCAAAAGTATACATAAAAACTTGTATGTTAACTGTTCATTTTTGTACAGCAAAGAAAATTGCTATATTTGTGTTGCAGACACTGCAACCCTTGGTTCTTCTAATGTAAAGAATTCTTAGTTGGTAAGTTTTTCTACAATGCACCTTTTTACTCTGAATTACTTTGTATACATCTCAATCATTTAATTATTCAGATTTTTTTTTAATATGTGGAATTCCCATTCAACACTGATGTGTTTGAAAACTGTTATAGAATTGAGACATTTGGATTTACAATGCATCTTCATTTTCCCCAAGACTGTGTTCCTCTTGATAACATCTTTAAAAAAATCTTTACCAGCTGTGTTTGCGCTGATGTGGACCCTTGCGTTGGACACAGTGGGAAGGCTGGGTATATCTGTGATGAGGAATGGCAGAAGTGCATCAGGGTCTTGGCAAACCTTGTACACTTCAGTCCCCACATGAAGCAGAAGTTTATCCTTGGCACTATTAATAGGACATGTATGACACACCTGTGGAACTCCAGCCTCTTTTATCAAGTCAGTGAGGAGTGCTACCACTGAAGTGTAGGAAGCACAGTCATGAGCCTGCATTCGGAGGTAATTTTCACAGTCATGTCTGAGCTTTTCCATACACCCATGGTCATGCTCTGTCAGATCATGGCCCTGGGTCACATGTCCAGCAAAGCGCTGAAGCAAGTCACGGAAGTGGTATGCCTGTGTGGAGTTCCCCACTTCTGTCACCTGTTGGGCTTTATACACCCCAGACTTCACGGTTCGACCCATCAGACACAGGCCCATCTTATTGAGGATACGATTTCCAGGGCAATCTGTCATCACATTGCGGTTAGGATTGCACTGGGCCCAATACCAAGCATGACCTCCTATCAAAAGACCTCCACCTTCAGCAACAAATTCCTGGATCTCCTGACTTTGAGCATCACTGTAGGATGTACAGACAAAGACACTTAGGTCTTCCCTTAAGCCAGTGAACTGGCAGTCCAGCCCTGACCTGCTCAGAATCTGATGGGCCCCTCCAAGGTTGTGCGAAACACCAATAACCCCATTGCGCCCTTCGTCAAGCCAGCGGATAGCATTGATCATGAAACTGGACAGTGATTCACGACCCATATAGCCTTCATGAGTGACCACAATTACTCTTCCCTGTCCATAGTAGGCCCCTGCAATGAACGCCCTACCATCAGAGGTGACTCCAATAGGAAACGCCAATGGTCCATGTGCCATCACCTCAGATGCTAAAGCCCCACCTTGAATGTCAAACTCAGAAACACCTTCTAGCAAGAATTGTAGGTCCTCTTTGAAGTCCTTGCCTATTCTGTGAATGAACAAAAAATGAGAGATATTTTGAGACAGTCACAAGAAAACGGGAAGAAAAACAGACTTGTGCTTTACTTACGACACTGCTAGCCAGCTAGAGGGAATTTGCATGGGCACAGGAAATTTGCCAAGTTCCCCTTGATGTTCCGAGAAGTAGATTCCTGCCACGCTGCACACCTTATTCCCAGGGAAGCTGAGTAATGCATTCTCCTCAGGGTGGGCTGCAGCCCAGCTCCAGGCCTGGCCAGCGATCAGCAAGCCTCCCCCAGTTTTAAGAAAGGCCACTAAGTCTTTAGCACATGCGTCCACACTGTAGGCATCAGAGATATAGACTGCAAAATCACCCTGGAAGTCGTCCACTTTGGTGTTCATAGATGTATAGCATAGGTTGGTGGCAAGTGAATGAAGACTCTTCTGAATGCCTACTGTGGTCCTTTCACCACATGAGGGCATGAGCCAAGCCAAAGCATTCTCTATCAGGACTGGGAAACGTGTTATGTACTCCTCATGTCCCAACACCACTATACGTCCCTGGCCGTAGCGTGATGCAGCTATTAGGACCTGGCCTCTTGGATTCATAGAGAGTGGAAAGGCGTGGTCACCTATTAGCACAAGATCACTTGGCACTGCTTTGCCTTGGAAATCAAGCTCTTGAAGCCCATGCATAAGAGCACAGTAGTCCATCTGTCGTTCCATTGTCGTTTGGGTATTTTTTTAGCAGGTTAAGTAAGTCTAGCTGGTCTTTGGTCTTTCAAAGCAGTGTAAAAAGAGCTTCTGAAGGTGTAGCACTGAAGAAAGAAAGAGGAATCAAAGTTTTACAAAGTCTTAAGAGTGTACATAAAGCATTATGAATGCTATCATGAAACTCAAGTCTGACTATGTATTCAAAATGGTTATTATATACCACTGAAAATGTATTTTTTATTATTCAGTTATTCCTAAATGCAATTAACATATTGCCGCGGTCGGGACAAAATGTTGTGGGTTGGTTCAGGGACAGGGTTACACCTGTTCCTGGACTACATTTCCTTTCAATGGAGAACCTCTGAACACAGAATACTGTGTGGTCAAGGACTAGGCTTAAACCAACCGTAATTTGAAAGTGCCAGCTGGCCTTTGCACTGCGTGAAAATTACACAGTGAATGGTCCATTCAAAATTGTCTAAAAGAAAACAATCTTGCTAAATGAACTTCCTTAAGAAGTTTTCCCTCTTCAGTAAAGTTACTGTTTTTACAGATAAAAAGTTTTGTTCTGACAGCAGCAATATATAAGCAGTCTAGAAGCTTTGACTTACCTGTATATAAATGAACGCCTAACAACACAAGCTGCCTCTCCCTGAAACTTCAAGAGTTTATGTGAGGGTTTTAACCTGACAGCATTAATAAGACTGGTTCTGGAAGAACAAGATGGGTGTACCAGAACAGCCAACTGTTTGCTCTCGCAGAGACTGGGTGTGGTAAGGGGAAACAACTGTCAGCATGGTAATTATACAGCTCCTTTGTTGAAGGCACAGTGGAAAACTTCAGAAATTTTGACAGTATTTCTTAGAAAAATAAAATCACAATACTGCAAATTCTTCATATTCGCAGCTCTCCTCATTTTTTCTTGTCAACACTATCAGTGTAAACATGCTGCTTTTCTATATGCAAATTAAGCTCAATATTGGAACAAGTTGTCTCAGTTGAAAATCCTTTTAAGTCTGAGACTACACCCAGTGTGTAAATGTGTATTTTATTCAATTTGTCATGCAAATGTGCATAATGCTGAGAGAACACTTGATTAATGTTAAATATTTGGTGGCCAAAGAAACTGGATAACAAATGTAACCAGCATGTCATATTTCAAAGTTTCAATTAAAATCCTCAGCAAATAAGCAGCTACTTCAGAGGTAAGCTATATATTATTAACTGCACACATTACATCACACATTGGCACGCCTTTGTCCCAGACACACCTCTCTATACAGAACAAAAAAAAATGTTACTTATATCGCCTAAGCAAATTAGTACTACAAAGAACCCACACTGCATAATATAACCTTTCACTTGGCCTTAAAAGGGCCACAGATCTTTCAAAATTTCTGCGCAATTGAATCTTTAAGATGTAATCAAAGTCATTCAGTGGTTTGATGTGAAATGCTCCACTCCAGAGAAACTCACCAAGTCAGAATTGTTCACAGTGGTGGTGATATGAACCACACGTCCAAAGTGTTTAATGCCTCTATAATCTACATCACAGAAAGCTTTTATATGAAGTGTTTACAGATTTGCTGCCTGATGCCTGAGATGCTGTTCTATGATGGAAGTTTTGATGGAAGTATTTAGCCTAAATGTATTTTTAAGATCTATTCAGGGTGGATCAGTACATGCAGGGTGTTATAAGGCAAAATAGTTCCCATGACTGAGATAATAATTTAGAAATATATGAAAAACAAAAATTGTTTTTCAGAATTACACAAACATTAAAAAGGAAACATAAATAAAAGAAAAGCCCTAAATAACCTAATACTACTAGGTGTAAGAAATATATTTCTCAGAAAAAAATATTCTACATTGAAAATAAGCAAATTTGATTTTGAGAGACAATCTATATCCCTTCATAGTGATTCCCACCATAATCAACATTACAAAAACTACAAAGGCACATGTGGGTTTGCTGATCATTTTGGACAGTAAATCAAATGGATATATTTGTGCTGTAGACAAAGCAACCTCTGGTTCCTATCACCACCATGGTAAAAAGATCTGAGCCTGTATGTGTCTCTACAATGAACCATGTCACATTAAGCCACTCTGAATGAATGTGTATCTCAGTGACTGCATTATACAGAAATTTAGAAAAAAATAGACTTTCCCTTCAATTCACCATCCCCTACCCCAAAACAGAACAAAAGAAAAAAACATGCTCCAGTTTCAACAAATAAATATTTATGTCATTTTGAAATGTGAGTGGTCATCAGGCTACAGCAAAAGCAGGTGAAATTTTGCTCACTTGGTTCATGTCCAACAGCTAAATTTAGTATGATAAGGAAAAATACCCTAGACCTTGTTCTGATTAGTTTAAAGTGATGAATAGTTATATCTCAAATGATCTATGATCTACCTATTTATTAATTAATTAATTATACAGTGCCCATTTGATTTTTTTATTACATGTGATTTGAATCAAATAAAGATTTTTTTATTGTTTTGTTAAAAAGCTGAAGTCCTGTGACACCAAAAGATTGAATTTAACATGATAGAGTGATACAACTAATTTTTTAGCCATATGTTTTGATTAATTTAAAACATTTCTTAAAATTTGTGATCTGGCAATCTAAGAGAACAAATATGAACCAAAGGAATTTAAAAATTTCACAAATGGACCTTAATGACTTAAGTACAATCACACACACACACACACACACACATTAACACCTGTTAGAGGATGAAAATTACATCACAAATTTAACCAAAAATCTAGACACATTTGTGATCCTATACTCGAACACATCTTTGGAATGAAGGTAGAGATAACTGTCTGACACTGAAGATTGCTGCTAGTGACAAGGGCATACAATATCAAGTTTAGCCACTTAAAATGATACAATACTGACATATACATACAAGCATATTAAAAAGACAGATTTTATGTCAACAGTTCACATTTAGTCCCTCTTCTTAGTGATTTATAAGCTATTGTCTCAGGTAGACACAGAAGCTCCAGAAGCAGCTAACTTCATACTGGGGGATTTTAATCTCTGTAAGCTTAATGAGTATATTTGCCATCGTATTATCAGTATGTTACCTGCTTGGATTTATGTTAGCATTCAAAATGTTTACTATTTATCTCCTTGCCTGGGTGGTTCATACCATAACATGAAAAAGTTTACCAGCCTAAGCTTAGGCGTTAAAAGACTAAAAGGGTGGAGGTCAGGAAACGGATCAAAGAAGCAACAGAGACCTTATAGGTCTGTTATGGACAGTTAAGGGCATTAATGAAGGCACTGAGATTACCTCAAGCTGTATATCTTTTAGTGAAGATATGCTTATACCAAAAAAGACAGTTAAGGTTTACCAGAACAATAAACTTTGGGTGACTTGAGAGTTGAAGGAACTCTTAAATAAGAAAAAGCATCTTTATAAGAGCAGAGCTGTTAAAGAGGAAAGGAAAACTTTGCAGAGGAAAATTAAGGAGAAAATTAGGCAATGCAGGGTAACTTATGAAGATCACCTCGAATAACTCTTTAAAAAGGCATGAAAGCATGGAAAGGCATACAGTTAATTATGGGGTATAAGCCTAAGATGAACCCTTTAGATGTTGTAGATGAATATAAACTATAAATAATTTGAATGCTTTTTATTGTTGGTTTGATAACTTTCACTGTGCCGATGTCATGCTTGTAACAACAGAAGAACGCTTTTTGGTGCTATAGGAGGGTTTCTCAACCACTGGGCCGTGGACCACAAGTGGGCCGTGAAGCAAAATTCTGAGAGGAACAGTGGTCTGTAGGGGGCCAGTGATGGCACTTTGTCATAAAAATCAGTGAAAAATAATTGACTTAATAAGAATGAAATTTTCAAATGGTAAACAGTATTAATATAAGCCATGCAACAACATCATAAACACAAAAACATCATTTTTTTGCCTTTTGAAATTTTTAACCTCAAGGAACCATCTTTTTTAAGTTTGCACAGATGAGAACACTAGCATGTAGCTCACCATGAGCTACAGATCAGACAAAATCAAAGCATGCAGATGAGAAAGGAAGATTCACTGAACTGACACAGTCCCTGCTGGAGCACCTGAGTACAACATTCTCTTCCTGGTTTACTGTGTCTGGAGGGATCAACTCCAGCATGAGACTAGAACATTAAAGCTCTAGAATGACTCTTGGAAAAAAAAAAACATAAGAGGAAATACTATTAACTAAGATCTGCTCACCTTGTAACTATCAGTATCCATCTGCATCTTACAAGACACACATCCACTGTGAGACATGCTCACTGTGAGATACACCCTCCGAGACACACCCCTTTGAGAAACACTTATTGTTTCCATGAAAAAATACTGCAGGTTTGCATTTCACTTTTGGAAAGAAATTACTGCTAAGGTACGTTAAAGTTCATACACTTGAAAACAGAGTTTGAAACCAGAAAAGATTTTTTTAAGAGCTATCGGCTTTGCTAGCACTAGTTAGCATGGCATTGATAGGCTACACTTTGCTAGAGAGAAAAAGATTTAAAGGTAACGGTTTCTGTTTAAAAGCATTAACCTAAGCAATATTAATTGCACCAGTTCAATGAAATGTGAGAATTGTACAGTTTTCAGTAACACTGAAAAAGTGTTGCTTTTACTTCACTTGATTCAAATGTTTACATCGGTTCCACATGAATAAAATACATTACATCAACACAAATCTTGGGTAACATTAATGGCAGTAACTGTGTTGATATTTCATTCCTATGGAGCCAATGTATAAAATACATTTGAATCAAGTAAAATCAAAGCAATATCTTTTTCAGAGTAGGCAGATGTTAGTTCTGTCTAACAATCCATGGATTTGGCCAATTTGTTTAAATGAAAAGAACAATTTTTACTAGTATGAATTATTTGAACATATAATTACACTATTATTAATAGCATTATTAAAAGCATTATTAAAACTTGACATATAAGAAAAACTTTGAAATTCTATGTTTAGGGAATGTCTAATTTGTAAATGTTTTTACCTTTAAAAAATAATTGTTACATGTAAAAATTTAGTTCTTACATGTCAGAAATGAAAGTTCAAGAATTAAATTTCAATACTAACAAATCAACTCAAACAAAGGATGTGATAATTAACATTTCAACATGTCAAAACTGAATTTTAATCCATTTTTTATAAAAAAAAATCTTACTAGTGTTAATGAATTTTTTGCTCAAATTTCTTAAAAAAAAAAACAATTAAAATCTAAAACTGTTTTTCATATTACAAAGAAGATTTTGGAGGGGTCTTGTCTCATGGTGAGCGTGTCTTGTGTGTGGGCGTAGCCTGTGGTCTCACACGAACACAAGCATCACACAAGCGGCTCCCCGTGTTTATATCAGACCTGCGCATGCGCGCCGCTTGAGCGACGTTTGCTGTTAAGTCACATGAGTTTCTGTCGCAACTTGTTTCACTAGCCAGTTGGCTAACCCTCCCATTCTGGCGTTTACCGTTTATAATCACGATAGGGATGATGGACAGGCAAGGATGTATGTGACCTTTTCTCATCTCAGGTGATATGTCAGGTTAGTTCTTGCTATTTTCCTTCAGCGTAATCTTCTTTCGGCAAAGCCAGTTAGTCAAGAATAGTTAGCATTAGCTAATTTGACATCAGCTTTCAAAATAGTTGTTTGATTCCATACAAAGCAAAGCATCTCCAAGATCCATCGACGAGCTATCTGGCTTAATCAGTGCTTAAGTGCACGAACTGTCCACCCTTTTACTCCAATTAGATGCTGAACACTAGCCAAGATAATTAGCCCCCTTTATTTGACTCAATAAATCTTGTTTTAGTGGTCCGAAACCTTCAGGAGGTAGCTTAGCTTAATAGCTTACCACCTAATACTAATTTACTAACCTATACATGAAGCAAAGCTGCTTAGTCAAATTTTCCCGTTCCACCTTAAATGGTGCAGCAGGTACAGTGTGGCACCTGAGACTGGTGCACCGTTTAAGGTGGAACGGGAAAATTCGAACAACAAACTGTCGAATAGGAAGCCAACTTCAGCCTCGTAACCTATACATACTGTGCTAATGAATTAATGCGTTACTAGTTGTAAAACAGCTATTTAGTATGCGTAGTAAGTGTTTTTGGACGCGGTTGTTTTACTGGAGGTAATGGGTTTGGCTCCTAGCATACTATCGACTAAGTTACATTCGTCCAGAGAGAGAAGCAGCACACAGCTAGGTTAGTTAATCTACTATGTTCGTAGCGATAGAAAACGTCACCCCCCACAATAAAAATCCCCGAATAAGAATAATAATGGGAAGAATACAAATGTCCGGTGCTACACGAAAGTGATGACTGAGCAATGTTACAGAAGTTAGCCAGCACCGCTAGCAAGCTAAGCTAGCTAATATATCCCGTGTATTTTTGGTGTTGCTACGCTAACAAGCAAGCTAGCAAAATGCGAAGGCCGCGCTAAAGCTGTCAGAGTAAACAAACTTTAGCCTGGCCTGGTGACTCAAATTATTCTTCTTACCTGATGTCGATTTTGCTTAAAATCCACAGTAATGATGATTTTGTAGTTTTCATTAACTAGGGTGGGGCAGAGTAACGTTATTTTGTTTCATGTAACGTTAGCTATAAAATGAGAATCAAAAGGGAGTTAGATTCTTTGCTGATTCTGCCTGTCAAGCAGCTAACGTTAGTCATGCTCATTTGTTGCTACTAAAGGCGTGTCATGTTCACATCTGTCCAAAAGTTTGTAGACATCTGCCCATCCATTGTTTTTTTTCCCCCCTTAATCAGGGTTATTTATAATGGGAAGTCTTTGCACTAGATATTGGAACATTGAAGATGTGACTCCAGTCAGTCACAAGAACATTAGTGAGGTCAGGTGTTGGATGATGGATGATTACAGCACTCCAACTCAGCCTAAAGGAGTTTGATGGAGCTCCATCACTAGAAAACTGCTCCACAGCCCAATGCTGGAGAGTTTGGCATTGGGCATGGTGACCTTAGGCTCATGTGTGGCAGCTCTAGAGCACCCCAGTCTATTGGCAGTGCTTTTCCATGTAGATTATACTAAGCTATATGTGTGGAGTTGAATGCCTGTGTCAGCTATGAGTGCACCTTAAAGTACCTAAAGTGGTTAATTCACAAATATATGTACCTTGTACCATGCATCTTGGTTGTGTTCATCAAGATTGTATAGTAAAATGGGATAACACATGAAGTGGTAAAGCTGTGTGTAAACTGACGATGTATATACTTTTAGAAATGGTGTAAATACATTCATTGTCATCATAGCTGCCAGTAACAACCAGATTAATATTAAAGTGAGCTCCACACTTTTTACAGCCACCTTTTTTTGCCTCTCAGTTCCATCTTTGCATACAAGAATAACGTCATGATCAGATGACATCTATGTGGTGCTGTTCTACTAGTTACACCCTTCTGCTCTGCTGCATGTCTGTTCCTCTTTTACTGTTCTGCAGCTAAAATTCAGCATCATGTCTGTGGATGGCCCTCGGACGTCAGTGTTCACCTTCCAGTCAGCCGTACACACTGTGCATGTCCTTCGCTCCCTGGATGAACAAAGGCAGAAGGACGTCCTCTGTGATGTGACTGTAGAAGTAGGGTGCAGGAGCTTTCGAGCACACTGCTCAGTATTGGCTTGCTGCAGTGACTATTTTTACACCAGACTCCTAAACCACACTGGGTGGAACTTTGTCATCACCCTTCCTGATGAAGTAACGCTTTGCAATTTTTACTGAATATGATGTTGCTTATGATGTAGCTACTTATAGAATGAAATGGTGTCCTATGTTGTGTACATTTTTAAACATAAATTAAGCAAAAAAAAAGTTGTTTTTAACAATAATATGCTGTATTGTTGTGTTTAAGAATATGTATTCTGTATACAGTACTGTGCAAAAGTCAAAGTCCACTCTTCATTTATTGGATGGCAACTAAGTATTATTAAGTTATTCATTTTTTAGTGTCAGGAAAAGTCCAGAAAACTACACAGAAGCCCCAGCAACTAAATATAATGTCATTTCAGTGTTTAGTGTGTCCACACTTTGTCTTTTGTTCTTTTTCAGAGATTTGCTTTCAGTTTTTCAGAGAAATCTGCAGGGATATTTTCCACACTTCCACACCAAGTTTAGAAGTTGGTTGCATTTTTAAAAATCCTTTTTACTTACTATTTCACTTATTTCCCTTTACTTTCCCCTTCCTTATGCAAGTGGATTATCTCATATCTCCTCAGAAATATCTTAAAGGCCTTTTTGAATAGTTGAAAAAATGTAAATAAATGAATAGTGTTCTTTAACATATGCACAGTACTGTAAAAGTATAAAATAATTGTTGTTTATAGTGTTAATAATACTCATAATGTTTATGTTCTAACATTTCTGTGGTTCTTTCTAAGGTCACTGTAGAGGGCTTTGTGCCTTTGCTGCAGTTTGCCTACACTGCAAAGCTTCACTTCACCAAAGAAAACATTCTGGAGATTCACAGATGTGCCGAGCTGTTGGGATTTCACAATCTCGACAAAGCCTGCTTCGAGTTCCTCATTCCTAAGTTCACTGATGGCAGCAGAACCACTCAGGAAGTCAAAAGAAAGAGTAAAAACAGCAGCAAGAGCAAACCCTGCCATGAGAAGCAGTCATCTGCCAATGGAGACTGCAGTATTACCAATGAGCAGCGCATTAATACTGAAACAGACAGTGTGCCTCCGATACCTGCAGCCGAGGCAGCACAGAGTGATCCTGTTGTGCCAAGTGAACAGTGTTCTAAGGAATGCTCCTCTGTCTCCTCTAATAAGGATCTGGACTTAGATTTACCTTCAGACTCATTCGAGGCTGGTTCTGACCAAGACAGAACGGAACTCTGTTTACAGACCTGCGGGCCACAGCTGGTGCCGTCTTCCTCTGTAGCAACTGGTGAGGTTTGTCCCTTTTTTTCAATGCCGTGCACCAGTGATGGTGAAAATGTGCATCCTACCACAGCTGGCTGTGATGGTGACATTTTGGAGATGGGAGAAGCTTTTCAGAATGGATTGCAAATGGATTCTCCTGGTGTTCCTGGCGAAACGTCTGCTTGTGTGACTCTAAACGTGCCAAATATCACAGAAGGCCACTTTAACCAGCCTGTAAGGGTTCTAGAACCATCAGCAGACTGCAGCCAGTTATGTCCTCTAAGCTCCACAGAAACAAGTGAGGTTTTGGACAGCATTGCGTCGGTGAGTAACCTAGAGAGCGTTAACACTGAGGCCACTCAGACCTTTGACTCCGCAGAGCAAATATTCCCTGATCCAGCACCTAGTGATGGGCCCGCAGAGAGGAGCACAGTGGAGAGGGAGGTGGCGGAGCATCTGGCTAAGGGTTTTTGGACAGACTTAAGCTCCTCTTTGACAGAGCCTCTGGCATCTATGGACCAGGCTGCTGTTGGAAATGGTGCCGACTTCCACTGGCTGAAGCACCTGGACTTAGGTGCTGCCCCTGATGACTGCCCGTTTCTCAGAGACCTAAGCTCCAATGAGGGACAGTCTGCGGGAGGTGACAGTCTGTCCCAAGAAGAGAGTAGAGAAAGTTCCTGTGTGTCTCCTATAAACTCTGGCGAGAATTCTGAATGTGACACAGAGACAGACTGTGTGGCTAGCAATGAGCAAGCATGTGAGGTGAGCTAAAAATTTACCATCATAGAATTTAACTGAGCAGAATGTGTCAAAAGAGGCTCGAAGTTCACTCCTGCTAAAACTCGGTTTAGATTCAAAGGCAACCACACACTGACTGAATGAATGAATGAATGATAGTTTGTGCGTTTGTAGGACCAAAATACATTGTAACCCTAATATAAGTGATGGCTAAAAGCTAGCTGACTTTAATAATGCATGATTAAAACAAGCATTGTAACAAGAAAAAGAACAGCAAAAATAATATTAAGAGATGCACGATCAGAGTTGGCCAAGATCATCATCATCAGATTTTTGCTCCAAACTTGCAATCAGCAGTCAAACAATATATTGATTTGATTTTGATCGATTTGTATTGCAATTTTATGACATAAAACACTTGAGCCAGGAGAGTGCACTGTATTTGAATAATGCTTCTACATCGGTACCATAATGTCACAGCATAATTTTGCATGACTCATTTTGTTAAATAGCCAGTTGCCTCTTATTTTCAGTGTAGCCCTTTGTTTGATTTATGTTATATACGTAGGTTACTGATTTGTCATTTAAGAATGTAAACTGTCTGTGTTTGGCAGACAGAACAAAGAAAGTTATATTGCAACTTTGGCTAACAAAACATACTGGAAGCATGCTAGTGTGCTTCATTTAGTCCACACAGTGTGGACCAACCTGGTTTTTAACCGATTGTTGACCAGAGTGTGTCATAAAAATTAAAGCTTGGTGCATCACTTATAATAATAATAATAATAATGATAATAATAATAATAATAATATTCATTATTATATTGCTTTGCTGTTTTCATATAACAGGAATAGTGTAATAATTGCTGCTTCTGTTGTGGTGGTGGTGGTTGTTGTTATTATTAGTATTGTTGTTTTTGATATTATTATAAAAAAAAGCTCGCTGTAAAACATAAGAATAGTACAATAGAGAACATCTTTCTCTGGTTCTCTGTTACCCCAGGTGGACTTGCCTTTCCCAGTAGAGCAGATTTCGAGCATGAGCAGGCGGGCGTTCCTGCAGATGCTAAAGGAGCAGCGTTTGACCCCAGAGCAGCTGGAGTTTGTGCAAGATGTTAGGCGGCGCAGCAAAAACCGCATGGCTGCACAACGATGCCGCAAGAGAAAGCTAGACTGCATCTACAGGCTTGAGGGAGACATCAAGAGACTAGTACGTTTCTGAGCGGCCTTTATCACAAGTATTGTTTATACAGCACTCAATTCAACTCTCTTTGAAAATGTGCATATGTCTGTTTGGTTTCATGCTGTACAGAGGACTCAGAAAGAGAAGTTGCTGCAGGAGCGTGGTCAGCTGAAGCAGAGTATGGAGGAGACACGACAGTCTCTCTCAGGGCTGTGCCAGGTTGTGTGCCCTGAGGCTTCAGCACAGCCGGAGCAGCTCACTATCTTAGCCAGGTACCTTTCCTCAGACTGCCCCACCTCGCTGCCCCTCACTCCCATGGCTTGTTCTGGCTTGACTGCCTCCGACCAGGACAACCTGGCAGAGAGCTGCCTTGAGGCCAGCGTCACTGGACACCCTCCAGATGACTGTCCTCAAGGAAATGGAGCAGGGATGAAACCCGCATCTGCCCTCTTTCAAGATGAAACAGAAAGTGACGTTACAGAACCTCATGCCCCATAATCCAAAAGGCAGGTCCGTCTGGAATTAGCATAGGAGCATGTCAGTGGCATGGGAGCATGTGGTCACCGCTTGTGGAAATCTACCACATATGTGGTAAAACAATTATCGGCCAAGCCAAAAATTCTATTCAAGTTTAACAGTATTTACCGTACTTGGATTTAATCTATGAAGTGCTTAAGACTTCGAGCTGCATAGCAGTGGAAGTAACTATTATGTTGGGACTCTTTTGCTGCAAGCATTTGCTACCTAGCTAACAGGGTCTATAAAATGTATTTGAGAAATTCAGTAAAACAATATAGATTCATTTAAATCCCATATAATCCAACTAATCTTAAAATCAAGTATGTTACATTCTCTATGGCTAATTTGGAATGGTAGCATAAGTCTTACACTCACTTACATTTGTGCAGCTGCAATAAGAGAAGAATCTTAGGACTTGTTACATACGATCTGTCCTTTGAAGAATTGTTATTGCTGTTGCTTATGCTATCATGCTTGTATCCTAAGAGGTGTACCACAAAGCAAGCTCAACATATTCAGGTATTCTTGAAAAAAGATGGATAATCTAATCTAAACATTCCTAGTTAATCAAATCACAAAGGTTAATCAGTATCACGAATTACTTAAGTCCAGCTTTAGTCTGTACATTCACAAATAGGTGGCAAATAAAATGTTATGCCAGTGCAATAAAAATAGAATACACTATTTATGTTACACTGAGCTTCTACAATTGCACCAAGTGCCTTAAACCATCCATTATTACACATTAGACAAATGTTTGGGGAAGTGGATGTCACTGAGTGTGTTTACATGCACTTAATAATCCAATAACGGCAGAAAATCACATTTTGTCAGTAATCTGATCGTTTACATGCACTTGAGTACTCAGATGATGGGAAGACTAGGGTTTACATTGGTCAGGCAGTAATCTGATTGCTTTCTATCCAGCCAATAAACTCACAGAATAAGACATGATGTAAATGTAATGTAAAACTCAAACTTCATGTTGTGACTTTTTTTTTAAACATTGAGCCTCTGTACCTGAAAATATGAACATATATTATATAGAACATCAAGAATATTTATACCAGTAAATTTATCACACATATAGTTTCAACATCGCTTCAAAAGTGTTTTGTCTCCATCTCCCAGGTGCAGTGCTAAACACTGTTAGCTTATGTCCGGTACTGCAGTCTGTTTTCACACATGCGCAGAATGAGAAATCCAAAAAAAAGAGTATACATGTGTTGAGAAATCCGATTACTAAGCTAAAATCCAGCTCTCTTTACTAAATTTTTTATTCATATTTCTAGACCTTATTTTGATCTAAGAAATCGAAAATATGCTGTTTACATCACCATTTAAATAATCAGACAACTGCAGAAACTTCGATTATGATCAGGTTATTAAGTATGTGTAAATGCACTCAATGTCAAACAGGCTGGCTGTGTTAAAATGTATTCTTGTGATGGTAGGCTCTATCAGGCTGTGGGAAAGATCTAGAATAAGGATAAGACCTAGAAAAATTAGAATTGTTCAGGTTTAAATTGTTTATAAATTAAGAAAAGAGTATGTCGGATAATGTTAAACAATTGAACAAAAAGAAAGTGATTATAGCCTACTGCACAAAATAATAGCTTTTTCAAACAGTTATCTGACATTTTTCTCATGTTTAATTGGTTAAGAACTACATTGTTCATGCTCAGTTAAACACAACATAACATCATCTTAAACTCTCCACCTCATGACCGTTGATATTTAAGATGTTATCTCAAATTTACCCTCTGAAATCAGTAAAGTACATATATCCATGTATGTATCTGTTGATATGTATTTATGTGCGTATGCTGAGCTACCCAGGTAATTCCATAACCCATTTATCCTGCTTTGTGGTATAATCTAAACCATGATGGTCACAGCTACTGTGCAGGCCTATCACAATTATTACAGAATTGTCTGATCACAATTATTTAAGCTGTTAGCGTAATTGTTAGCTTTCACAATCATATGTATGTAAAGTTGGTGTGTTTTTATAGACATCTTCTGGCTGGTGCTATAACACTCTTAGAGGGCAGTGGTGAGTAACGTTTGTATATTTAAGCTCGAGCCATGCCTGTCATCAGCTGGAAGCTGCTAAGTATCGACAGCTAGGAAACAAAATAGCTGATCAGCCAATGTGGCCACTTTAGGCTTTACTTTGATAGCTGCATACAACGAATACAATTAGACAACTGTAGCTACACTATGTAAGTTTTGGGGATAAAAATGTATGTGGTCTGAAAAACTCCCATAAAATCCAATCCAAAACTTCTGAAATGATTTGACTCGTAGCTGTGCAAGAACTCCATATTGTAGCATGTTTTATTTTTCTATTGACGTAGTACAGCTTTAAATTATTAGTTAAAATTATTTATATGGCAACTAATTGTGTGACAGACCTACTTCTGTGTAAAAGTCAGTTCATATCATGATATAAATTGAAGGCAATACTGCCCACACCAATGGTCTACCCTGTAATTTTCACTCGGGAGCAAATGTTTCAGCTGTGTAATTCTGAGTATAATTTTCTTTACTTCAGAACACTTTTCATAATGTTTATGAATAAATGTATATATCTAAATTTGCACTGTGTTGCTACACATTTCACATGGAAGTTTCAGGAAGCTTTAGCAACTTGTATTTGCATCATTCTTGTTTGCTGTTTTGTAAGATGTGCATGACCAAAAGGTAAGGATTCTTAATTATGTAAGAGTCTGCTTGCCAGCTTGGAATTCCTTGTCCGCCCAGCACGTTTATCTTATGCATTATTTGTACAGTAACTGCAGTGCTCTTAATTATGCTAATATATCATGATTCTCACTGTAGGAGTAATGGATAGCGTATATGCAGCTTCAGTCAAACGTAGCACAACATTCTTGGCACTAAGTGCATAACATTTGTTTACTGGATATGTTGCACATTTTTTTCCAGATTTATTCATACATGCATATGGATTTATTCAGGTTTTGCAATGACTGCCATGTATGATTGTGTTCTATGTGTTCAATCACTCAAACAAACTCCCTTTGGCGCAAATAATAATGTGTTAAGGATGTGTGTGTATAATATATATGCACATACATTTTCTTGTTTTTCAGTATTGTAGGGTGCTGGTTCCCCAATTTAAAATATTTTGAAAAATGGACTTGTTATACTGTACAGTTACTGTTGATTCTTACTGATTTTAAAATAATAATTGATTAAAAAAAGTAATATTCTGTCTGCAAGTCTTTCTATAACATTTATCTTTTCAAAGGAAATGTCAATAAACTCTCACTCTAAATACTGGCATTATGGTGTCATTTCCCAGCTTTCATTTCTAATAATCCAGTAGTCAGAAATTGCCAAAATGGAGGCATGGCTGCTCCAGGACTAGCAGTGAGTTTCAATACTGATAGAGCTGTTTGACACTTTGGCGTTTGCTTTTCATATTTACAATCACAGATGGGTAATCATAGTATTAGAAAACTGCTTGAAATGACTGTTGATAGAAAAAAATGTGTTGTAACGTGCACCTCTCAGTAGTGGAGGTGATGGAAAGCTGTTCAGAACTCTTTTGAATAAGGGAATATGCATTGTGCTTAGCCTTTAGACGCTTGGTCACTTCTGGATGAGGTCAGCGTTAAGTGCAGGCTCACTAAAAACCCCATCACTCTTAATTTTAACTAAATAGACTGTGAATGCAGTGTTTCTTAAAATGTGAACTCTGACTACGAATAGCATCTGTTTATGAGAAGACTAGAGTGCTCCTGAAGATTTATTGGTTTGACACAAAGCAAGGGTAAGGCTTTTATTAAAATGTAGCCATTTAGCATTCACAAGCATTGCTAATTTGAATGTTGAAGTGTGTTTAATTTAAATGCAGACTCTGCCTCCATTCAAACTTTAAATGTGTAGCCACTTCATACTAGTGGGTCTAACCTTGTGATGGCATGATAATCACTCTGAAAAATTCTTAGTGTTGTTGTGGCTCCATGCACATTTCATGCTAACATGAATGCAATGCTATGAATTTGTTTTGCAGTTGCAGTAACCTTAGCACCTGAATATTAATTTCCAATTTGTGCTTGGTAATTTATACAGTATACTCCCAAAGCTGAAATCGTCAGTCGGTAACCTCACCGGCACAGAGTAATGCCGTCTTGAGCTGAACTCCAGCACTACTTGCTAAAAGGTTGTAAAGTGAACCCATTGCCCCCCCTCAGTCCTTAAATTTCTTTTGATTTATTGAAATTGTGTTTATAGCTTAATCCACATAAGCCTTTTATGTCAACTGACATAGACCTACATAAACACTTTAAAAAGCATCCTTCCAACAGGTGGGATTTGTCATAAAGGCTGCATTTGCCTGCTTTGATGTCAAGTTGACACAACCATTACCAAGGTGACAATGATTTTTTTTTATTTTTTATATTAGGTCACAGTGACATAATGCTAATGTTATAACTTTGCATTGCAAGTCAGGCTGCTTTAACCAAACTGAGTATGTCCTGTAGTTCTTGGGTAAAGTGAGTAAAATCACCCAATAAGGTGTCATGATAAAATAAAATGTCAGATGTTATGTCAGCTTGACATCAAAGCTGATGAAAGAAGCCTTTGAGACGGATGGCGTCTTTTGGATTAAGCCTTATTAAATATTTATATAGGTTTACGCCAGTTATTATGATGATCTGATTAGCCTTATAAACACTGCCCTACAGTAAAGTGTTAGAGTTGGTTCATTTTAAGCCAGTGTTCCAATTCTGCTGAAGTCTAAATTTTCTTGATCATCCTTGCAGCATTTAATATCTCTCTCTCCTTTCTAGGGAAATGGATTTTTAACCTTTGGATTAATGTAATCATAAAAGTGGAAATGTTTCGTTTTCTCTGTCTCTGCTAAGTGGCTAAGCTAAGTTTTATCTATTCAAGCTTGTGTAAGAATAATTGTTAGTTATTAAAGTCATAACAGGGTTTGTGAACAGAAAACAACTAGTTCCCACCTAACATTCCCACCTGACAGCACTGCAAAATCACCACAAAAAAATTATTACAACAATTAACAGTCTGAAAAAAAAATGGCTAGCCTGCTCCAGCAAATTTAAAATGTAGCTCTTGCCAGTGCTGATGTAATAGTGCATGCATCTACTGTTAGAACAAGACTGCACAAATTTGACCTACATGGGAATTGTGCCAGCAGGAATCCTTTGCCGTCTATAAAGAACACTGGAGTGAAACTAAAGTTTGCTAATCAACATCTAAGAAAGCACCGGGACTTCTGTGCTATGGACAGACAAGTCAAAGTTAGAGTTGTTTGGTCACAGTACCAGAAGTCATGCTTGGTGAAAACCAAAGACAACATTTGATCAAAAGAGCTTCATACCAACTGTAAAACACGATGGTGGAAACGGTGGACAAAGCAGTTTAGGGCTGCTTTGCTGCCTCAGGGCCTGGACATCTTGCAATCATAGAGATGCTGTGGGATAGTTTGAATTGGGCTGTAAATTTATGAAACCCCTAAAACATTTGCACAGTTGAAAGAATTTTGCATAGAGGAAAGGACAAAAATTTCTCCCAGTAGATGCCAGAAACTGGTAGGCAGTTATAAGAAATGTCTGCATAAAGTTGTTTCTTTATGCAGACATTTGTTTTATTTTGTTTTGAAATAAAAGATTGCACAGTCAAATTTCCTTTGTTTTTTCTTTGTCTGTTCCATGAAGTTTATCTATATATACTGTTTAACTGAAGATATGAAATACTAATATATCCACATATGCCCAATAAAGAAAAACAATCCATGTGGTGTAGGTATATTTTTACATGACTGTCTATATGTATGTATACTGTACATAGTCAGTGTCAGATGAAAACCTTTTAATTATTCTCACCTGCCTTTGGCAGCTGCACTTTACATTATCCAATAGAAATGATCCAAAATGATTTGTAATTACTTGAACTTTTTTTCTTCTCCTGAAAAGTTATTATTTTGGAGACTTCTATATTCATAAGATTGTTATTGTTTTTTATATATACTGTAGTATGCAAGTCTTAGGCAACCATAAAAATGAGTTAAAGTGATTCATCTCAGCAGTATGTTTGTTTTTGCCTATGAAAACATGACATAACAAAGGAATAAATACATAAATATGGTTAAATAAATACAGTAATAATGTTAAATATCTGTTATTCTTGATTAGAAGAGTACACGTTTGGTCCCAGATTTCTCGCTGCACTGAATTTGCATGAATTTGTTCAATCAGCAGCTCACCTGATTTAATGTAATAAAGGAATGATTAGCTGAAGCAGGTATTGCTTCCACGAGGAGAGCTTTGAGAATATTTAAGCTGACACACAAGAAATCGATGGTTTTTATGTATTTATTTATTTACTTATTTATATTCTAGTGTTAAGGTTTTTGCCTACTGCTCAGATAAATGGCTTTGTATATCATGTTATTGGAAAGCCTAAGCCTTTTTTTTAACTGTACATATGCAAAATTAGGTTGCCTCTAGTCAAATGACGTTTTGTTGAAAATGTGTGAAAAGAATTTTACACATCCTCTACAGAGAACCCACTTCTGCACATTTTAATGCACAATTATTGTTCATTTGCTGAATATAACATAGGAGAAAAAAAATCTGGCATGTGCAAAAGTTATGGCACATTTTATATTTTATCTTACATATCATAATGTTAAACTCGGCAAATAAATAGATAGTATGCACTAAAATTAGCGTTCTATATCTAAGAGTGTTAGAGTGTTTCCTGTAGAGAATGTGTTAACTTATTTTCACTTGGATCAGCAAAATGTAATTTTACTGGGGGTGATAAAACACACACAAACTTTGTCATAGCAGTGGACGAGTTGATAGAACCTACCTTATTGGCAACATGATCAGCTTTAATCCGTCGTTTCAATATTTTATCTTAACAATAAAACACTTTAAATTGTTAAATAACTCAGTGACACATCCACACCTCACTGTGGAGTTGATTTAATTGCTTTCTCATCAAAGTCAGTTGATTGTTCCCAATTAAGTTAAAACTAACTGGGTTCAAAACACTATTAAAAACTCAATCACTTATCTTTAAATTTGTAATTGCTGTGTGGGCTGCCGGCGCTTGTGGGATTCCTGCCTCTTTCTTTAGTTGGCCTGTCAAGGTGATCTCATCCATTTGCCTCTGCCATGCATAATAAACTCTTTTTTAGATTAGTTATTTATCTTTCTCAAAGGTCTTTAATGAGCTGTGTGATTGGAAAAAAGAAGTTCAACAGCTACACTAAGACTAAATCATATGAGCGGGCTGCTATCGAACTGATGCTGCACTACAAACAAGAGCACGCGGCTCTTAGTAATATTCAGAGAAAACTTTCTCCGTTACATTAGGTTTTAATTAGATTGACATAATAGAGTGAGAAATTAGGAATGCCAGCTAGATAAGAGCTCCCCTTTCACACTTTTATTGAGATTATGATTTTATTCCCCAATCCCCCCACGCTGATATACACGGTACAGTTCAGGAGTTCAGGAGTCGACTTCATATCAGATCTTCCAAATAATATTCTACATGTATTTCCCTAGATACCTTTCACTTTTGAGCAGAACTTCAGTGCTTGTGTGTGCTTCAGCAAATGCTGGTGGCAGGTCTTCACAAACTTAATTTTGATGGTAAAAGACATGTTATTTCATGACTTTAAAAACTTCTGGAGACAAGAAAAGGTGTTGTTTTTCTTATTCTGCAGGTTTTGTGTTTGGGAAAAGTTCTGCAGAGTAACTGTGTTGTATGTGTATAGAGTTTGGTATATGCAAATAATATTTATGAGTTCTGTGCTAGCATGTTTAATTTACACTGAATTTTTTCAGCGTATGAAAATACATTACTACTGTCCTCTACAGAGAGCACATTTAATGCTCAATTACTGTTTATTTGTTGGATTTTGCTGTTCTTTATGGTTTATAGTTTTTATTATGGACATTTTCCTAATTAAAATACTTTTTCATTCTTGCATATAAAATGATATTTGTTGATGTATTTATTGTACCCTGAAGAACAGAGCGTTCAGGTGATGCTGGGATACTGTGTATCTGCTTTTTCTTTACTGCATTTGTGACCCTACAGAAAAAGTGTTGTATTTCTTTGTAATACTGATCCAAGTAGATTTAGTCCCAGTTTCTGTATTTTATTCGTGTTCATGTATCAACATCAGCAGATATGTATGTGAAAAATATCAGTTATCAGTCCCAAAAGGTCCAAAGGTGGCTAGTTTGAAACAAATGAACTAGTTGTGTTGATGTCATATATTTTCTTACATGTAGAACAATGTACATGTTTAAATCAATTCAATGCATCTTTTTTTCAGTATATTAGGCATGTTTGATCTTGAGTTTGTGTGGAGTGCAGTGCCACAAGATGCTTCTTCACTAGATGGCAGCAATAAGCTAAAATGCTGTGGAAGAATGAGGGTTTTTGCTGTGGCAACAAATGATGATAACCTGTAGTGGTACGATTATAGCCTTTCTGAATGCATTTGACTGAATTTGAGAGTGATCTAAAATTACAGAGGCAGAACTATTAGATGGACATAATGTTTGCATGAAGAAGAGAGAGCAGATGTATGTTTGTGCATATTTTACTCTCTGAGATGTTTTTTTTTTCTTACAGAGGCATAGTTTGGAAAATGGATATTTAATACTGTAAAAGCAAAACTCACACATTTTCTCATGTAGCCAAAAAAAGAGCAAATTAAATTAATGGTTCTTACAAAATGTCTAAATTCTATTTGATGTTATAAATAGTGGAATAATGTAGGAACATTTAAAACATGTTTAAAAACTGCCCGACTCAGCAGTGCTTAAGTGTTGTATGTTTTGTTGCAAACACAAAGGCAATAATGGTGATTGTTCTGACCTTCTCATGAAAAACTCATCCTACTTACTCACAAGCTTATAAAAGCACACTAATAATAATAATAATAATAATAATAATAATAATACATTGTATTTGTCCATCAGTTTTACCAAAAGTAATAAGCAGTGTTGAGAAGCTAAAGTAGACATACAAACATGAAATGTGTGCAACAGAACAATAAAGATTTAAAATTCAGTTAAATAAACAAATTACTAAATACTGAATTATTCACATTATATACATGCTTTGTGCTAAAAACAAACAAAAAAAACTTGTTCGTCACTTATGTGAATGTAATTATAAAAGTATGGAACACTTTAAATTGCTATGAGCTGATTTTCAGGGCACAGATTAAGTGAAGTCCAAGAGTAAAACAGGTTTTCTATGAAGAATCCCAATTGACAACATAATTTTATCTCATCTGTGTCTAGAAAGCCTGCCCCGTATTGACTAATATACAAATGTTGATCTATGGAATCCCATATTTTAACAATATTTTCCACCAATAATCACTTCAGCAAAGTATTGTACAGCAATATTAGCGAGGGGTAATCAGTCAAATAAATATTGAAACTGCAATTTTTAAATGAACCAGTCTTAATCTCCAGTTCATATGTTGAACAAATGACTGTTCCAACAGTACAGACAGAGGAAAAAAACTTCCATTCATTAAATGAACCAAAATGAAACAAAATTAGGCTCTTTTTTTCATCCTGAGACTGTCTAAGCCAATGACATTTAACAATGACTTTGTGCTTATATGTTTTAAACATCTTTAGACATTAAAAAGAAAGTAAGGGCCATATATAAACAGTGCAAGAATATACAGACAGATATGAACAGAATAACCAGAATGATAGATCCATTAGGTCAGGAACAATCATCAGTTGTGCTTTCAATGATCATTTTCTCCCTTTTTAATGTGTTTGTCAGTTTTTTTTTTGTTGTTTTTTTTTTGGTATCTATATATTACATAAATATCAGTGTCCTTTCTTTTGCCTTTATACAACATTCTTGTTATGGAGTACACTTCAGAGAACAACCACTTTCACAATGTATAATAAAAAAAAATAGACAAACAATAAATATTCACATTATGCATCGCACATATTCTTCCCTTAAAGCGTAATTATTGGCAAAGCCAAGGTTTTCCGACTTGAGATGAACCACATTTCTTGCCGCTCCCTGGTAATATCTGCAAAAGGTATATAACAGGCACAGTGAGGGTGGTAAAGAAAGCAGTATTCACTGGGAAAACAATTAAATTGAATAAGCACAACAACGAACACAGAAGGTGTCTGTATATTTTGGCACTTGGCAACTCAAACAAACTCATTTAAGGGAGGGGATGGCAGGGCGGGGCAGGGCGGGGGCGGAGTGGGGGTGGAGGGAGACTTATGCGGTTTTGAGCCTAAATGGACCTGGTGTTACAGTTACAAACTCAACATCTTTTCCTTTTTTTTGCCTTTTTTTTCTTTTTGATTGGCTCTATAAAACGGCAACACTGTCTGGTGTCAAATTTTGAGGATCTAGAGGCTTATATGAGCTCCTTTAGGAGGTTTGTGGAGGGAGACACGGAGAAATAGCCACGCCGGGCTTGCACTGAGTGACTTAGCACCCTCGCTGGCTGGCTAGCAGTGTTGCCGTGACAGTACTGAACAGAAAAAAAGAAACAGAGGTGCTAAATGAAGTACTCTTTCTTTTCCTCTGCATGTGCGTGGTTCCCCTCCGCATTGATGATGGCAGTGTCTGCATCAGGGGCGTCCTCTGCTCCTTTGGCCTCATTGGTTAAGTATGTCCCTGTCCACACAGTCCCACATAGGTCACAGACACATAAGGAACAGCAGTGGACAATGTTCAAGCATTTAGCACACTCTCTACACTATAGGTGAGGGCCACGCAGCCAGGAGCCAAGGCCTACCTTTATGTCTGGCCAGATAGCGGCCGAGGACGATGATGAAGCACAGGGTGATGAAGACCACCACGGCCACAACTCCGCCGATCAGCGCGTGATCAGGACCGTGTGGAGTCAGCGCATTGGGATCTGGAGAATGAGAAGAAGAGGACACTGTTTGCTGTTTTCTGTTTGTTGATCACTAAGATTTAGATCGCTGCAATGCAGGTCAATGCAGGTGCACAAGACTGCCCCCCCCCAATGTAGTCATTGAGACATGTTTAGAGTTTGCTTCTTTAGTTTTGCACTGAAGCTATGAGGCTAACATAGCTAACAAGTAACAGAAATTTATACCCACCCAGTAGTGTTGTGCAAACTGCATGCACAATCATCACACAAACAGTCAGAAACTGTTTATTTAATTTCCTGTCAAAACTATCAATAAGTGTAAGTTACTAATTTTTTCAGGATATATTTCTGAGAAAAAATGGTACCCCTAACAAATGTGCAAGACCTGGTAGACCACCAAAACTGTCACTTTCAAATAAACAGAACTTTCCATCTTTGGGGAAATCTCTCTTGCTTCATTTCCGAAAAGTCCACAGGTGTTTCTGTCAATCCTTCCACTGTGAGAAGACAACTAAACACTGCGTCTGAAAGGATATGTAGCTGCCAAGAAGCCATTACTGAGGAAATAAAATTAAAAATAAGAAAATTGCAAATCAAAGTAGCTGCTGGTGTTCTTTGAACAATGGACTGACCTCCCCAGAGTCCAGACCTCAACATCATTGAATGTGTTTGGGATTGCTTGAATTGTGAGAAGCAGAAAATGCAACCAACTTCTAAGACTGAACTTTGGAGGTGTGAAAATATATCTCTGCTGAGTTATTTGAAAAACTGAAGCAAATCTTCTGAAGAGTATGGAAGCTATAATTAAGGTACATAGTGGACCCACTAAATACTGAAAAACTATTGAAACATTGATGAAAATAATAATGAAAAATGTGAAATATTTAGTTGTTGAGACTCGTGGCTTCCTATGAAATATTTGTATATTATATAAAATGTAATATATATTCTATATATAACTTTCTGTGAAATATATGTTTTCTGATTTTTGTCCAGATGCTGAAAAACAAATAACTTGTTATTGATGTCTGTTTTGAGTGGCAATTAAATGAATGAATGGTGGTCTCTGACTTTGAACAGTACTGTACTTGCTTATGTGGTTTCTGGTACTGGATCATGCTATCTGATGTACTGTACTGTACTGTATGGACAAAATTCAGGCTCCAAGATGGCTACTACTAGTGTTTTTATCTCTGCAATGCACTTTTGTCCATTTGGTTATAAAGTGTCAGGTGTATTTGAGATCACTTCCCAACATGCCCCAGATTGACACAAGCATGAGATGATTTAGGAGTGGCTGTAAGCATCCATTACTTGTTTGCTACATTAGCCTCATAGCTCCAGTGCAAAACTATGGAAGCAAATTTTAGACGCCAAACACATCTTTGGCTGATCATCTACATTTGAGGTAAAACTGCATAAACCTAATTTTTGGACAAACCATCGTTTTAACAATAGCAGCAGCGGTGTGAGTGATGCTGGTTTGATTAATTAATTGACAAGATAGGCTTGTGAATATGACTGACTGAGGGGTTTTAAAGTGCTGCTCTGCTTCACAAATGTCTTTTCATGAAGCCATTTCTTTGGATAAATGTAGACAGAAATTTCAGAAGCTTTAAATTAACTGAATGTAAAACTGGACCTTCATATATCATACCAAAGTGCAAAATGGAAAAGTGCCAGATAATGGACATTACTTAACAGCAGTGCTGTGGAACCTTGTGCATACTGAAAGATCTCTGCCTGCAAATTTATAAAGTGCCATTTTCAGTGTTAATTCTACCATGTCCTTGATAATTCTGATTTAAATAAGGCTGGTTCACAGAGTGAAAAAGCAAGGTGTAAGGAGCCCTCTGCTCTTGGTGATATCACGAGTAATGATTCTTAAAAAAGACCAAAAAAACCCAAATAAATTAATAAACACAGGGTTAATTGTTCTGCATATATATATATATATATATATATATATATATATACACACACACACACACACACACACCAATGAGCCAAAATATTATGACCACTCACAGATGAAATCAATAATGCTGATTATCTCGTAACAGTGGCATGTCAAGGTCTGTGATATATTAGATGGTAAGCGAACTGTCGGTTTTCGTAGTCAATGTGAGGGAGAAGTGGGCAAGTGTGAAGACCTGAGTGACTTTGACAAAAGCCAAATCGTTATGACCAAACAGCTTGGTTAGAGCATCTCCGAAATGGCAAGGCTTGTGGGGTGCTTCCAATCAGCAGTGGTTCGAGAAGGGATAAACCATGAACCGGTGGCAGGGTGTTGAGCACCCAAGGCTCACTGATGCGCAAAGGCAACGAAGGCTATGCCACCTGTTCCAGACCCTTTCCTGTTCCAGCATGACTGTGACCCTATGTGCACAGTCAGGTCCGTAAAAACGTGTGGTCAGGTGTGATGGTCAGGTGTCCACATACTTTTGGTGATATAGCGTGTGTGTGTGTGTGTGTGTGTGTATATATATATGTATAGAACAGTATATATGCAGAACAGTTGTAAACCCATATGCTGACTTGCTGTTCTGTATGTGATGCTGGACACAATAATGACATAATAAAATGTGAAAAATTAAACAATAAAGATAAGACATTTTCCTTTTAAATAATTGAATAGTCTTTAGTAAATATTTTATGTACAGTACTGTGCAGAAGTTAGAGACTGTCTTTCATTTATTTTTGTCACAACAACTAAATATAATCAACATGTCTAGTATTTAATATGCTCACATGCCCACACTTTTCCTTTATTACAGCTTCTATTATTTTAGGGAGACTTGCTTCAGTTTTTCAAAGAAATCTGCAGGGATATTTCTCCACACCTCCAAAGTTCAGTCTTAGAAGTTGGTTGCATTTTTTGCTTCTAATGATCCAAGTTATCCCAAACAGTGAGTGATGTTGAGGTCTGGATTCTGGGGTGGTCAGTGTATTGTTCTGGGAACACAGCTTCTTTGTTTGATTTGCAAATTTTGGTCTTTTTTTTTCATCTGTTTCCTTTGCTCAGTATCAATTTCTTGACAGCTACTCATCCTTTCAGACTCATAGTGTTGAGGTGTCTTGTCGCAGTGGAAGGACAGACAGAAACACCTGTAGATTTTTTCAGATCTGAAGCAAGAGTGGAGCTTGATTTTTTCCTGTCTCTCAAAGATGAAAGCTTTAAATACTGTTTATCTTCTGGTGATAGTTTTGGTGGTCTACCAGTGCTTATTGGTAGGAGCCCCCTTTTTTGTGTTTGGAAATTCAAATTTTCTCATTTATTTACTGTTGACTTCCCCCTTCATTGTACAATTGGATTGTCTTATATTTACTCTCCTCACAAATATCTCCTGGAGAATTAATAACTTGTATTTAATGGCCATTTTGACTGTAAATTAAATGAAGGGTGGTCTCTGACTTTTGCACAGTACTGTAGTACTGCACTTTAAAAATGAGTCTTTGTTGTGCAAAATAAATCAGAACCAACTCTACTAATATCAAGGCTGTCAAATTCAATTGTCAATTAAGCTGATATACTGTATATATTTGTAAAAGCATAAAAACACCATTGCAGCTCAGAATAAAACACAGTAACTATATCACACTTCTCAGCACTGTAAGGACCCAAGTGACTCAGCCCTTGACAAAATATGACCAACTTTAAAAATGTCTGAGGTGGCAGAGGGCCGATTTATCTCTGGGGTTTAACTTTGACCGAGCGAGCGGGCATAGATGGGGGTGAACTCGGTCATCTCTGGAACTCCACTGAGTAATCGCCACCTAGAATAATGACTTCCCCTCCCTGCAGCTACCTCCGGAGAAGCATTAGGCTGCTAGCGCGCTCGCTTCCTGTCATGACTGGCCTAACCCCCACCCTGAGAGGGTGTGGTAGAAGGGCTGCTGGTTGATGTGTGGATGGAGGTGTTCTCTCACCTTTGCCCCTTTGCAACCCTGGGTGTGCTGTTTCAGTGCTTATGAGGCTATGTAAACTGTAACTATGTGTCTTTATTGCACTGCTAGCGTGCTCTCATTAGCTCATCGTGATGAATGGGTCCTGCTGCTGCTGCGCTTGGCAAAGTGACCCTGAGAGATGTGCAGAAAAACGACTTCTGCAGGCCCATTTTTAACACCTAAATAAACCCATTTGCTTCAATTAACACTGTGCTTAGTTTTAACAATGCCCTAAGACAAAGTGGATCAGACAGTACATTTTGGTAATTGTGATTATTTTATGACCTTTTGGCAAAGATTTTAACAACTGTTGTAAATGAGTGCAGTGTTGCTAAAATTCAATATCACAGTATTTTCCAGGTACAGTACTACGAAAGACCATTTCCAATTTCCAGTCGAAACAGCCATTAAGTACAAGTTTTTCAAGAGATATTTCTGAGGAGATTAGAGATACAATAATCCACTTGCATAAAGAAGGGGAAATGCAAAGGACAATATGTGAAAAAATAGGAGATTCCAAGACTAGAGTTCAAAAATCATTCAAGGTGAAGGTATAGAGAAATCAGAACTCCTAACAACTGTGCAAGAGCTGGTAGACCACCAAAATTGACACCATTACATAAACTGTACTTAAAGCTTTCATCTTTGAGAGAGAGGAGAAAATCAAGCTCCGCTCTTGCTGTAGATCTTAAGAAAACCAAGTTTTCTGTCCATCCTTCCACTGTGAGAAGATAACTCCATGCTATGAGTCTGAAAGGATGTGTATTACTGAAAAAAAGGAAACAGACAAAGAAAAAAAAGAAAATTTGCAAATCACACAAAGAAGTTATGATTGTGTTTTCAGAACAATGGACCGGCCACCCTAGAGTGCAGACATCAACATCACTGAATGTGTTTGGTTTTACTTGGATCTCAAAAAGCAGAAAATGCAACCAACTTCTAAGACTGAACTTTGGAGGTGTGGAAAAATATCTCTGCAGATTTCTTTGAAAAACTGAAGTATGTCTCCTGAAAAGTATGGAACCTGTAATAAAGGAAAAGCGTGAACACAAATACTGGGAAAAAAACAAACA